CATACCATTTTCATACAGTTGCGTCTGCATAATTCTTAGTCACCAGCTAAAACGAGTAGAGGATGGCGTTGATCGCCAGCGAGAGTTGGTTCCTGCGCTCCTTTTGGGCGCTTGAAATGAGTGATCTCCGCTGGGCCCGCGACTCCTAAATAACCCGTACGGTATTAAGAATCATCTGTGTTACTGTGCCCGCAGAAAACAGGGCACATTCAGGGCACATTCAAGACATGGGCTTTGAAATATGTATGGAGCGACCTATGTCGTGACCACTTCCAGTATCTGCTGTCGTAGATCTATCAAGATATCTCTTTTTTCTCCTGCTGATCCTTCATTACACTATTTGGGAATCTGTACCTGAATCGGTTGGGTGCATTCATTTCCTATTTTCCTTGGAGGAGGTTGGAAACTTTGCATGGAGTACCAGTAACAGGGCCGGCCCTTCAAAGTTTGGAGACTTTAGATGACACTGAACTTAATCGGTAGCGATGAAGGGGGCACAAAGCAACACAGTGTCGCAGAACGTAGATGTAAGCATACATACCTCTTACATCCATATACTGAGCCTCTATCGTGAGTGAGCTAGTGTATAAGCCTCCCACGTATGACAAGTCACGTCATTGCCCAGGATCGACATAATAAAGAAGTACGCTATGTCCACCGAGATTTCGATTCTTCTTGTACGACGCTGGTTGCTTGCTCCGAAAAGATCCAAATATTCTCGAAGCTCGCTAGGCTAGAGAAATCCACTCCCCACACTCCGACACGCCGACATAGTGGTCACAGTTCTTGATTTATGAGTAAATCGAACCATGGCTGCAGAATGATGTACGGCCAATTCTCTCCGGGGTTCCTTTATGTTTAAGTATTTTGTAAAAAGAAATAAAAATAAAATAAAAATATATTTCGTATGACTGCCGCGTCATGCTGTAAAAGCAGACCCGATTCCTTGTCATTCTTGTTTAGCGCGACTTAAACGACATGGTCGATAGCCAATCGCCATCTGATAGCTCCCCCTGTCTCATCAACAGAAGAATCCCGCCGGGGTGGAGGTTTAATGGCTAATTGACATACGAACTTAGACGAAAGCGGATTAGTAGCATGTCTAGAAGAGAGAGCCCTGCCAATCTAAGATAGCACGGTCGCGGTACCTAAAAGTATCAAACACGTATTTACTACAAACAAACAATAACAATGGCCCTTCAATTCAACGCTTGCTAGCGCACCCCTTATCATCTATATATTTGATGATCGTGCGTTAGGTACTCGGTAAAGTATTTGTAAAATATCGAATGAGCGGTGTTCGAATTTCAAAGGCTTTGTAGTTATAATATGTGTAATCCGTAATATGTCATGCAGTCAAAGCATTCATATCGGCCCATATCTACAGTGTTTTTTCTCCTCTTTCGTATAAGAATGTTGCGAGCTCACACACCTACACCTACATACATGCGTTGCTAATAGACCCTATGCCACTTTTTGAATCGCAGTAAAAAAGGGGAGCAAGGTGCTGCTGGTTTAAATTGTTAATTCAGTAGATGTTAGGTAGTTTTATTAACAAATTTAATGCTAACATAATCTATAAGTCAAAAACCTATATAAATTAAAAGTTTAAAAATATCTAAATTACCACCTTTTAATTTTAATAATTAATTATTTAATTAATTTATAATATTTTAACTATTTAAAAAAATTAAAATAAATTTAGTTTTTAATATTATAAAACGTAATAAAAATTTTAATATAAAACGCGTTATACGTATTTATAATATTTTATATAAAACGTTACGCGGTAGAATATATAGCCGTTAATAATGCGTAAATATAATAAAACCACGATAAAAATTAATTTAATATAAAAAAAATATTATTATTTAATATATTTTTAAATTAAATATTTAAACTTTTTTTCTTAAACTTTTTTACGTTAAAAAAATAGCTAATATATTATTATAAAAACGTAACGGAAAATTTATTGGAAAAAATTAAGCTATAAATTTTATATACCGGCAATTTAAGTTTAAAACGTATTTAAATTGTTAAATTAATTATTAAAAAGTTTTTTACAAAAATCTTAACGTTTATTACGCGTGGTATAAGTTAATTGTTAATATAATAAAAAAAAAAGGTATTTTATTTAAAAATATATATAATTTTAATAAAATCGAGTTTATAATAAGTATAATTATTATAAAAATAACTATTATAAGTTTAAATTAACGTTAAAAACTTTATTAAACTATATTTAAAAATAAAAAATAGTTTATAACTATTTAATTAATTAATTTATAAAATTAAGTTATATCGTTTTTTATTGTTATGGTAAATAAAATATATTTTATTTTATGGTATTGTAATAGTGGATTTTTACCCGATTAAATTATTAAACTATTTGAAAACGGTTAGATTATAAATAAAATTAATTTAAAATAGCTAATATATTTTAATAAATATATAAAAAAACGTATAAAAAATATTAAACGTCTTTTAATATTAAATGGTTATAAAAATTATATATTAATAAAATTTTATAAATATTATTGTAATAATAATATTATATTTTTTTATATATTTACCCACTTATTTTATAAATTTTAACCTTTAAATATAAACGTTTTTTTAATCTTAAAATGCGTATATAAAATAATTATTAAAAATTTAATATAATAAAGTTTAATTTATATTAAAAAAAAAGATTTTTTCCTAATTTTTTAACAAACTTATAATACCGTTTTTATTAAAAAAAATATATAAGCCAATTTCGAAGTTATTAAATTAATCTTTTTAAATTTTAATCAGGTTATTTTATAATTTAATATTATTAAAATTACACATTTTTTTACCTTAAACTTTAAACTATTTAATTTATTTTAAGTATTTAAAATATTAAAAAACATTAATAAAACCGTATTATAATTTATTTTTATATATAATAAAATTTTTACTTATTAATTTAATTTATTAATTAAGATTTTAAAAACTATTAATAAATTAAATAAAATTATGTATAAATTATTATATAAAATAGTTATATTAAAAAAAAAAAAGCTTTAAATTTTCGAAAAATAAATTACATATTTTTTAAATACCGATAAATAAAAAATAAATAATTATAAAAAAGAAAACTTTTTATTTAAAAAAAAAAAACGCATTATTAATTTAAAAAAATAATATTAACGTTAAAAATAATATTATAATTATTAAAAATAATTTTATAAAAAAGTAATAACAAAGTTAATAACATTATAACATTTATAATAATATAAATTATAACGCGTAAATTTATTAAATTAAATTAAAAACTTTTAATAATAAAAATTAAATTAATTTTTAATTAATTTTAAACATTATTATTATATAATAAATAATTTAATTAAATAGATGTAAAATTGTGGGTCTTTGATTTGTGTAGGCCTTTGATTTGTGAATCACGTTATAGTGTACCTAGGTCTTAATAGAAATATATATAACGGACTTAACTACCTAATACATTAAATACATCCGTTTTATACATACAGACATGGATATGTGCTTGTACAATTCCATGTCCCGGCTCGGGAAGCTAGATCCACTAAAACTGCTTGCGCTTGTAATGTAAGTACTTACGATAGAGGAAGCTGGTAGGTTGCCAGGTACTCGCTCTGGTCGTTGTCGGGCGTACTATGTACATACAAGCTAGTTCCTCTGGGCGAACCTGCAATTGCAACGCGTTCTAGCTTTGGCTATGACCCACATTTCAACTGTTCGCTACCTAATATGCTTGTAACTTGTATGCACACCCACCCCCATATCTTAGGTACATCCCTCCAGCTAATAATCCCTACGTACAGTAGTAGCAGTACTAACCCTAGGTACCTCCTACCTCCTACCTCCTACCTCCTAGTCGAATTGGCTTAGAATTGGATCCAACGCTACGTTTATGCTTCTATGTACGCTATCCGCTAGGTAGCTGGCACTGCCAGAAAGACAGAATTCGAACCTCAACTTCCAATCTTCTTTCCCTTTCTATCCCTATGCCCTTCTGAATATCATCAACTCTCTTTCCCCCCCTTTACTATCTCTCCTTCTTCCTATCCCCCTCGTCATATTCTCTATTTACTTAACTACATAGTACATAGCGTTATTCAGAAATTGCACTCTGATTTTTTTTTGTTGTCATCATCCCACGGTTCCCCTTTTGTCAACAGCCCTTTTTCTCCCATCCCTTTCCTTTTTTTTTTCTAGATTTTCTACGTCTAATTCGAGCCATCTCCTTTGCTGCTTGTCTTAGACTATCCAGCACCATCAAATTAGAAGGCTTTCGCATCTCTTAAAACAAGAAACTCCCCAAAAACAGGTTATCTCTTTTCTTGGCCGGCAGCACGGATAGGGTGATCGTGACATCTTCCCATGTCCTCCTACTAGAGTCTCGTTTATTCCCTCTTCGTGTCAATCGTGGCACCGAAACTCTATCGAACCCGAACCGGTCGCTCCTCCAGAACTAGTTGCCGTGAGATACTCGGCATTCTAGATATAAAAAAAAAGATAGCTCATGGTAATAGTGGGCTTCTTACTGGAGATCATCACTCGTTTTTCCCTGGTCGCAGGCGCCCTTCCGATTTCCCGACTTTAACCATCGTTAATATCCCATTACGCTTCTCGTCATCTCTCGACCGACATTTCTACGTACCTTAATTAAGCGTACAATTTGTGAGACGTCGATATTCTCAAGGTGTGCATTTTTCTACTTGGTGTTGACTATTCCCCTTGACCAACTTGGGCCTGGTAAAGTAGGAATTTGGATATCAGGATTTTTCGCTGTTCAATATAGCATTATTACGAGTTATCTTACCTGCTAACATGAATGCTACAGGGTCATCCTTTTACATGGTTCACGGGTAGCCTCTTCCCACCGAAGCCCCATCTAAGTTATAAAAAAAAAACAAGTTAGACAGGCGAATCGAATCGAATTACTTCGCTCGTTAGCCCATCCAATCGAGTGTTTGGGCCTTCAGTCTTTGAATATGGCTGCTCTGGTCCAAACTTACCCTCAGCAAAGTGGAACAGTAACGTTGCTTCAGACCAGACCCAACACGACTTCAGGAATAATGCCGCCGCCCTCGGGAAACCAGCCTAACCAGGCGTACATAAGCAACCAGCAGAGGAACAACTATCATACGTTGTCTGGTAGTGTTGGAGGAGGATCGAATACCTATCGTGGTAACGCACCAACTCCTGTTCAACCATACGCATTTACAGCTACGCCCAGTCTTGCTAATGGCGGACAACGGCCACAATACGGCGCTTATCGTTCATCATCGAGCGTACCCAATATGCAGATGGTAGATCCGAATGCCGCAGCTCGCTCTCGTTATCCCACAAACTCGAACTCGCCGGGTAGTAGCTCTAGTCAAGCTGTAATGTCTGGCGGACATCCTCATGATGACTCGCGGACTATATCTGCTTCTGGGCCCCGACCTCAATTACCTACGTTGAATCTTTCGGCTAACCAGCCGACATTCGCCCAAGTCGCTGCTGCGAAACCTTCACCGGAACGATATAGGCGGCCATCTCCAAGGTATACAGACTCGTCACCTAGTGTTCCGCAGGTGCAACAACCGCACGGTTCGGCAATGCCATCGGGCTCTGGCATGGCTACCGTTGTCCATCTTTATAATCCCCGAGCTATGCCAGATCGGAAAGCAGGGACGACTAGAAATCCCGTTTCACTTGCGAATAGGCCGCATAGTGCCTACGGTACCGGAGTAGCGATGGACGATATGCAGCTATACCGACATCCCACCGAAGAAGAAGCTAAAAGATACCGGCGGCGTAGCATACATTCAATCAATTCTTCCGATTACCCCAACCCCCTGACCCCGCAGGAATTCAAGAAGCAAGCGGAGGAGACATTCCGCCTGGAAGCACTAGCCGCCTCGAGGAAGCAGGGTGGGTTAGATAAGGATCAGAGAAATGCTGCACGGAGCAGTCCTAGTCTTTCTGTTGTTGATAAAAATACAGTGCGGACTAGCAACGGCAGTTCTGAAAGTCTCGTTTCGAGTGGGAGCAGCAGTTCTAGGCCATCTTCAGTGAGTTTTACACCATAAGGAGCGAAAAAAAAAAGTACTCAGGGATTACCCAATCAGGTAACGCCCAGGGGGAAAATTGCCACAGTGAGATGCTAACTGAAAGTGTTGCTATATAGTCTGCCAATCGAAGCTCCAATGCATCTGCCCCCACGGCCAGCCCCGCCTCCTCCACATCTACAGAAAGGAAATCTGGACAGGATCAATCAAAGCAGGTTAACATACCGCCTCGCGGCTCATCATCAACTGATGTCGGAAAACGAATTACAAATCCATCTCCGTTATCGAAGCCGGTAACCATGGCTCCCGGGTCCTCTTCTGATGACTCGGCAGCGCCTGCCCGTGCACCGGAGCCGGCTTCAACTAAGCCTTCAACGCCTTCTCCTAGTTTAATAACGGATAGTCCCGCAGCTAAGCATCTCGCTGCGATTAACGAGAAAGGCGGGAAGTCGAAGACCAAGACGTCGCGATTAAGACGAGCCTTTTCTTTTGGGAGCGCTGCCGAACTCCGCAAAGTTACCGGACAGGATATCACTTCTGACGCGGGAAAGACATCGCAAAATGAGCCGTCCAAGTTGCACAAGGATGCCCAGCCTGTGGACCTCTACGAGGCGGAACAAGCACGGATTGCACAGAAGCAGGAGGAGAGTGGTATCGGTAGTAGCATCTACGCCGGTACCAAACTATTCGCGGGATCAACGGATAACCTTTCGATTTCCTCGACAGCATCTTCTGCGTCGATTATGCTCCGCAAGATGGGACGGGGAATGAAGAAAAGCGGTAGATCGTTAGTTGGATTATTTAGGCCTAAATCGATTATCGGAGCGCCCGGTGAGGATATGACGATACCCGAGGGTTCTCAAGCGGCTGTGTCGATGGTTACGGTTGAAGCTGAGCGCGAGCGAGTCAATGCCAATTCCACCGCTTCGCAACTGGCCCCTACCTTGCCTCCTTTAGAGACTGGTAACGCGGAAATCTCTGTTGATGGTCATCCTTCCGACTATCTAGGGAACTCGAACCTTGACAATTCGGCCTCGAGGAAAAGCATTGTCGGCGGTGAGAGGGAGCGAGCCGAAGTCCTCGCTACTATCCGGAAGGGTATTCTGAAGAGTAGGTCTAATGCCAAAATTGTTAACTGCTTTATCTAACACGGTTGTAGCTCGTAGCAATTCACCTAGTTCTTCCGGAGGCCCCGGCCTCGATCTCCCAGGAATTCCCAACGTCTCTAACTCTCCTAGCTCTACCACTCCTAGTACTCCAAACGACGATCAGGGCCAAGCCCATAAGCGAAACGAAACTCTTACCATCGGCAACGAGGATTATTTTGTATCAGCGTTACGCCTTCGCCAAGACACGAAGAGTGCGCCGACGACGCCTCAAGGAATATCCGGCAAACGAAATGCTACCTTCAGCCCGCGGATCGTGTTCTACGACACGTGGCCGAGCGGAGAGTACGACCGCCGTGGTGATATTGCGACCTGCAATCGTCTAACGCCCATGCTCGCTCAGCAGATCAAGGAGGAGTTGAACACTTTCAAAATGGTAAGCAAGAACATAAACGTTCTGCAACTTTTCTTTTTGGAGTTTCGCTTACATGTAACTACAGGAAATGGAGGTTCATGAGACGTCCAAGGTCTATACGCACTTTTTCTAACGACGATGAGCGCTACACCACGATATTCCAGCAAAAATTGGGTTCCCTTCTCGATTAAAGGCCTATAGACCTGCGATCATGTATTTGTCACTCTCGAGTCTACGGCGTTTGCACACGGTCAGCATAGTAAGGTGTCGCGGCGTTTTTCGAATTTACATTATGGAGCTGTTTTCTGAGCACAAAAAGAACCTGTTCGTTACTATAATATCCAAATAGTACCGGTAACAGCGGGGACCTGATGGCTCTATTGAAGACATCACTTTCGTCGGAACATATTTGCATCAGGCATTCGCCCCTCCGGCCCTCACGTATTCAGGGGTAAAAAAAGCTGTGGCTTGGATTTGAGCTGATGGGAGTGTATTTGGTGTGGCAGGCGTATCACAGGAGGCGGTCAGACATCTGGAGGGTGACATCCCCAATAGGTAGAGATATGCTGACCCGAAAACACCTCGTGTCCTTCGGAGCGGAGGAGGAATACTGCAGCACTGGGGGGGCTAGCATGTGAAGACAAGGCAGATCGATCCCTTCAATGGATGGTCGATGACGATGGCAACCTATCTATCATCTCCCTTGCCTATCTGAACTAAAACTATAATTACCCCCCGACGACACAGCTAAGCAAGATCGATTTTTTGGAATCAATCATAGATTTATGTATCTATGTTGTATTCTGCCATTCTAATTTTTTAGCCAAGGGGGGAACATGAGGGAGTCATCATTTGAAGTTTGAACGAGAGAATAACAGTCTATTTTGTCTTATCGTTCACGACTTCCAGGTGTTATGATGATGTTTGCTCTAGTGGATGGAAGTAATGTACTATTAAGGAAAGATTTGATGGCCACGTATTTGAACCGGGACAAGAGTGAATATCAGTATCCAGCATTTTCCAAGTTCTTTTCGGCGCTATGCATACCGTATTCCTTGGTTTCTCCCCTTGACCAATATGTAGGTACTTGTTTTTCCAAGGGTCTTCCTCTCTTAGCAACGGCCTGGCCTAACCGGAGGGCGTTAGGATGTTGGCCAAGAGGTTGCAACGGCCAAGCGCGATCTCTCCAAGAGTAGAGGTACTCGGTCGATTAATACGAGATGTAGAGTGTACAAATGAGGCGCAGCGCTTCGGTTCCATTTTCCTGTGCCAAGATTATTCTTCTTATGCGAACTTTTTAGCCTCGGGGGTTTTTAGGGGTCTAATGCAATGCAAGGCTGAGATGATATCTGAGATCTGTTGTATTTTGTGGGAGTTATGTTTGTATGACGTGTTTGTGAGGTTGCTTATTTTTATTTATTTTATTTGGTTATATTAGTTGAATTCTTTAGGTATTGTCAACTGTTATTACCTGGGACTTTATTATGTAGGACTATAGTATACCTATAGATGCATACATATAGGTAGTAATGCTAACTATTAGGTAAGTATTCTTATATCATGATACTTGGCATTGGTAATTGTAAAGAAAGCGCAATCCGGACATTACCTAATACCTATACCGTATTTCGGAGCTAGATAAACCCCGCCAAAATTATCAATTATCGTAGATTTTCTTAGCTTTTCTTAGCTTAAGGTACCTAGGTTCAGGTACCTAAACCAAACATTTTTTTTATGCGAACTTCATCTTGCGATACTCTTCAATCGCAAGTTAGTAACCCTCGCAGTCGTCATCCTGGACATTGTTACGAAATTGCGTACGCGCTGGAATATTACCGGCCTTGGCTGGAAAATAATAACCAGAAAGTACGTCGCAATGGCTTCAACTACGACCAATGGGGCAACGACCGCGGCCAAGACCAAGTTACATGGGCGGGTATTCTATGAAAGCATAGGTAGTCCTAAGTTTGTACTTGCGCCTATGGTCGATCAGTCCGAGTTCGTATGTCTCCTATATAGTCATACTATAGTGATAATGTCGAATACTAACTGCCGTTCATCCTAGGCCTGGCGCATGCTTACTCGGTCGTTTCTCACTCCAGACGAGAACTCGAAACTCTTAGCTTATACTCCTATGTTCCATGCTCGATTATTTAAAGAAACAGCCAAATATAGAGAATCGCACTTCGAAGCGACTCGACCCTCTCCGTCTACTCCTGCTTCGACAACGTCGAATTCTACGCCTGCATCTACAAACACCGAACAATTACCCCCACTCCTAGATGGTAACCCGGCGTTCGATCGTCCTCTGTTCGTACAGTTCTGCGCCAATGATCCTGAACACTTACTGGGTGCAGCAACCTTGGCCGCGCCTTATTGCGACGCCGTCGACTTGAACTTAGGTTGTCCCCAGGGTATAGCGCGCAAAGGTCACTATGGCGCATTCTTGCAAGAGGACCAGGAACTCGTCTACAATTTGATCAATACCCTTCACAAGAACCTCCCCGTGCCTGTAACAGCAAAGATTCGTATATTGGAGACTAAGGAGGACACTCTAGCTTATGCTAAGAATGTGTTGGCTGCGGGAGCAAGTATCATTACCGTCCACGGACGAAGACGAGAGCAGAAGGGTCATATAACTGGTGTCGCAGACTGGGAATACCTACGCTATCTGAGAGAGAACCTACCTAAGGAAACGGTCATCTTCGCCAATGGCAATATTCTCCAGCACGGAGATCTGGAAAGATGTCTTGAGGCAACGGGCGCTGACGCCGTCATGAGCGCGGAGGGAAATCTGAGCGATCCGGCCATCTTTGCGCAACCACCACCTCCTGGACAAGAGGGACGAGAGTATTGGCGAGGCTTAGATGGAAAGGGCGGCTATCGAATAGACGCCGTGTTTAGACGTTATATGGATATCATACACAAACACGTCCTACAACGGGATCCGCCAGCGCGAAGGCCCTTATTTATTATTGGGGATGATGAGGGTTGGCTTACCGAAGGAAAAGATAAGGATCCAGAGCAGGAGGAGGGCCCGGCGCGCAAGAAACGGAAGAAGGATGGTGGCAGCAGGAACGAGAAATGCACCTCGCCGAATCTCCTTGCGGTCCGACCTCACTTATTTCATCTCTTGAGGCATTTCATATCGAAACACATAGATATCCGTGACGCTCTAGCAAAGTGTCACGCTGGCGACGTTCCAGCTATCGAAAATATTCTCGACATGGTAGAGCGGCGTGTAGCAGAAGGCCTTATCGAATACGAGAGGACTAGAGGCAAAAGCATAGAAGAACCAGAAGCACAACCCAAATCGGTAGAAAATAAAGAGTCGGCAGAATCGACAAAGACAGAAGACACCGAGAACGCAGAATTCGACCCGGAAAGCTCGATAGCAACGGTCAAGAAATGCAAGCGGCCGTGGTGGATTGCACAACCCATAGTGCGGCCACTTCCGAAAGAGGCCCTGGCGAACGGGAGCATAAGTCTAAGTAAGAAGGAGAAGAAAAAACAGGAACTAGAGGCCCAAACCGTGGCGGAAAAGGATGTAAACACGGTCGAAAAGGGGGTAGATGCAGAATTACCGAAGCCCGACGGCGTAACAGGGATTAAGGAACCCCCTATGGATGCGAAGAAGCCGGGACTTACGGCTGATGAGCTGGTCTGTGGGTAGAGGCTAGATATTGGGAATATATAAAAGTTACTATAGATCACGGCATAGCAAAAAGCGTGTGTTAGATATAGCTATATCCAAGGTTAGAATCCATAGAAATTTACAAGTCTAGCTAAATGCAAGGGGTGGCACCGCCACAAAACGAAACCATCGGATACTTTTAGTAGCGGTGAACGGATATTGTCTGCTTTGAGATTCGTAGGCTATCATACTAGCTGTATGTGACCTATTCATGCTAATTACTAGATGATAGGTATAAACGTCTATCTATTACAACGCCCACATGTTTTGACGATTCACTTTGCTACGTTAGGTAACCAGATATGTCTACCGCAGACCTGGAATACTCAGCAGACGGCGAAATCGCCACCTTCTTCGTCAAGACCTCCATCACCCGGGCCCAATGCGACGCCCGAGCGGCGGAACTCGCGGGGGGCGGCACCGTCGTTCCGGTCGGAATACAGGGGGTCTGTAGTTATTCCGTGTATGCCGGGCGAGACCAGGAGTACGTCGTACAGTTCCGGCTCCGGTCTCTGGGGCTTAAGATGGAGACTGCGGTGTTAGCGCGGGAGGTTTATGGAGAGTTGGTCCCGACGGTTTCGTTTGAAGGGCGGATGGGAGTGGATGGGGATGGGAAGGAAGGGGTTTGTGTGTATTTGATGAGTCGAGTGCGGGGGGTTACGTATTTGGATTTTACGCTGGCGTATGATGGACCTGATAATTCGCAGGAGTGGCTTCGTTGGCGGAGGGATTTGATGGTGGATATTGCGCGGTAGGCTGGATTTCTGTTTGCGATGGCTTCAGCTCGCTTAACTATCACGAATGAGCGTCTCTAACTTACTTCTTAGGTTCTTCGCCCGCTCGTGGAACGCCCCTCAGCTGGTCAGTCCAGAGGATCGTGAGAAGCTCCGCGGGACATACGTTAGAGAGTTACGGCTGTTATACTGTGCACTTCCGGATCGCTTTCGCCGTATTATCCAGAACTGCGTCGATTCCCTAGACGCTGTTATGTCCCTACCTATGGTGCTCCTACACCGTGACTTCGGCACGTGTAATATTATAGTCGACGAGACGTCGTGTCATCTCGTCGGCGTTGTCGATTGGGCTGAAGCCGAGATATGCCCCTTCGGGCTAAATCTTCATTTTCTCGAGGCTTTAACGGGGAAACTTCATCTTCGCGACGGCTGGAGCCGATATGGGGATTATGCCACTTTGCAAGATGTATTCTGGAGCACATTTACACAGCAAGTGGGAGGAGTGGATGAAGATACCGTCCGAACTATCAAACTTGCACGGATCACGGGCTTACTGCTTTCTGTCGGCTTCACTAGTCGTCTTGCGAACGAACCTGCTCCATTGCCTATTTGTGATGATGAAATTGGACGGTATAAGATGCTATCCCTAGATGGGTTTCTTATTAATCCAGAGACGAGGTTTCATGACCTTGCGGCATGAGCTGGGGATTGCGGTTATAGATTGAGACATCGCTCTATTGTAACTAATCACCCAAGATTGGGAAAACATGTTCGGTATTACGGTGTAAGCAATGATGATATAATAAAGTACAACTCTTTATGCCCACCTATAACTTTGTAGGATTAGACTCCTACCTGAGTACAGGCTTTTGATGTTTCATCTATGGAAGAGTTGCCTAGTACCTAGGTAGGTATACACTCCCTTTGGTTGATATCTCAGATGGCCGCAAGATGTAAGTATTTTCTTCTTGCTCATATCCAGGTACCCATGTAGTAATAGACCATGTTTATATCACCTAGGAGCTAGGAATTGGAGGACTTATCCCTTGCAGTTGTATTTTTCCATCATTGCGATGATATGTTCGATATCTATTGTCCTGCGGGACATTCTTTCATTATAATCCAATATGAGTTTTGCAGCAATCAACGGCGTTAAGCCATCATCGGCTTTTGAGTTGACGTCCACCTCCCCCGTCTTAAGTAACATTGAGATAAGGGCATCTATTTCATATATGGGGCCCTTTAAAGCCCATCGTAATGGGGTTCGTCCCTGGTTGTCTTTCGCGTCTCTGTCAACTTCTGGCTGGGCGAGTAGCTTTTCAACTATATTTGGCATGCAGAACTCAGCCGCGTAAGATAAGGGCGTACGACCTAAATCGTCTCTGGAGTTAGGATCTGCCCCTTTATTCAGGAGCATTTCCACCATCTCTGATTCGTGGGAACTGATTGCGTGCGAAAGTGCTGTTCTCCCTTCCACGTCCCGGAGGTCGAAATTGAGCCAACTATCATCTTCGAGAAATATACGGCAAATTCCGATATAACGTCCTCTACCTCTCGTTCTCCAATACGTTTTATAAAAAGGTGATGAGCAGGAATGTACTAACGCGGTCTGGCCCAACTTGTCCACAATATTCTTGTTAATGTTTTGATGCGACCAGAGCCATCGAACTACATTAGTAGATCCCCACATGCTAGCATGCATCAGAGGCGTCTGTCCTTTCTCGTCCAGTTGATTGATATCTTCTCCTAGTAGAACTAGTGCCCTCATGGCCACCACACAGTCCATCTGTGCTAAGCAGTTGAATAAGCTCAGCTCTGAAGGTCTATTCTCTGGTAGATCCATATAAATCTGGTCAATCTTCAGCTGTGAAAAGAACTCTTCTTCTTGCTGATTTATTTGAATATCGAGGCCTTGGTCTAAGAAAACTTGAAAGCCGAGATCTCGGGCAACTTGGCTGCAACCGCATGCTAATGCGGCGATTAAAGGTGTGCCGTAGATACCTCCCCTGATACTCGTGTGCTGTAATCTATAAGGGGATTGCTTGGCAAGATGGATGAAATCCTCACACGCAAAAACATATAATATGCTTACGTCGTGCCAATGCATTTTGAAAACGTCCGACCAAATATTGTGAAGCCTGATCCATGTAGGTAGCGGAAATTGCTCGATCCAATCCGACTGCTGTATTCCATAAGACTGCGCTTCGTTGGAGTGGAAGAGGACGTTGGAAACAGCATAGTGAAGAAATGGGTAGGCTTCTATTACCTTAACCCTCACTTCCCAATGGTAAATATCCATTGGATCAACATCAGGCACCCTGGTCGTTATTTCGTTAAAACAAGCCCATTTAATCGCATCTTGACTCTTGCCTATAAAGTTCGTACTCAGATGAGGCCAATATTGTTGGACTACGCTTCGCAGCCTATGACTGTCAAGTAGAAAAAACTCTCGAACAGATTCGTGGATGAATTGCATAGAAGATTTAGAATTAACGTAGACCTCCTCAACTAAACCTTTTGACGAGCTAAGAATATACCGGCGCATCGTATAATATTCTAGGAGAGAACTATGCGGGACCGGGTCATTGAGGCCGGCTCTGATGCCGCAGTAAAGTTCTTGTAAGCTCAATGGACAATTTGCAAGAAGTACGAGCTGGATACAGAGTAACATGGAATCGCAATTTTCCGAATCCCGCATTAGCATATCGTGGAATAGGAGGCTGAGCTCGGTTGGTAGTTCATGAAGTCGTTTATTTAAAGCAATTGACTTTCCCGAATCAAAGGCTTTGTTTAACATTGGAATTATCAGAGCTACCCAAAGGAAGGCACCTGAGGACTTTTCGAGGATCCGAGATTTGATATCTTCGCCGGATTGCGAAGAATCAACGACAAGAGTGGAGTCGATATAACGCTGGATATCGATCATATGACCGTCTTGACCGTCAATTACCAAGGTCAGCCCTTTTCTAATTGTTATATTTGGATAAGGCCGGCTTGAAAAGCATACGTTTAGGCGGTCGCCTTGTTTCATGGCCAGTCGACTGATCTCTTGGAAGAACGTGACCATGCTCCGCGCTTGTTCTTCTGGACATTCATCAAGCGCGTCAATGTAACAAACGAGTTTGCGACCTTTCAATATTCTAATGGCATATGAAATCAAGTTTTTTAGACTCTGTTCCTGCCAGCCATTTTGTTTGACCGGGGCGGGGTTAGTGAATCCGAGTTCAGCGAAGACTCTCTTAGTGTCTGGGAAGGTCTTCATGATTTGCGATAGAAGGGCTTGATATAACCCCTTCACTGTCCGTTCGAGTTCGTGTCCTCTCGCATTGAAAAAGAATGAAATGATGTCGAAACCAGGCATCTTAACCGCCGACTCTCCCAGGAGATAATTCATAAGTATAGATTTCCCTACACCTGGCTTTCCTTTGATCCAGAGTAATCCATGGTGGTGGCTGATTTCATATGGGTTAACCCAAGCCTTATATTCATGAGTATCCAGAATCCAACTACAAGTATCTGGGCTGGGGGACTGAAGGTTTTGTCGACGGGCATGAATTTGGTCGAACCATAACGATTCGAAAAGGATATCGTCGACTGGCTGATCTAGGCGAGCAGGGCTATGTTCACCCGTGGAACTACAAAACGTATGGCCATTGTGAACGCGGCTGTTGCCGGAAATAAATTGGAAATAGAATGGAGAACTCGCTTGCTCAGACATGAAGCCAGGTAGGGTTTATAGCGATATTGAGCTTTGTATGTGATAACGAGTTCTTTTAGAGTCGGGAAAGACTAGTAACTAAGGGAAATGGTTGGGTTTGTTTAGGCTCTTGCTCATCTATCAGTAAAGTGTACAGCTGAGATATTTTATTGGATACTGCATAGTTGCAACCTATGCGCCAGAATGGCACGTAAGCAACAGGGCTGAGCGATCAAAGCAATAAGGTAAAGCGGACAGATGCCTAAAATATTTGTATATACTAAGTCATCTATATTAAGCGCTTGAGAACCTTGGATTCATCTTCTGCTACTTAACCCGGATACGTTATAAGGCAAGCTTTAAAATGGCCGAAGTCTTTGGTATCGTAGCAGGCGCCGTAGGCCTCGCTTCAGCCCTAGGCGCGTGCATCGATGGAATTGGCAGCATCCAAGCCGGTCGCCATCTTGGATCTGATTTTCAGAACTTTCAATTACGGTTGAGAATGCTCGAACTGCGGCTCTCACGCTGGGGAGAAGCGTTAGGGGTCGACGAAGATCCACAATTGAGAAACCCATTAGCAAACAACGATCAAATTAGAACTGCAAAAGATGCGCTTATTCGAATCCTCGAACTTCTCGAGGAATCAAATAAGCTATCTCAAAAGTTCCGGCCATCATGTGACCAGACCGAAGATCATTCGGAACGGAATGAAGGAGGAGTAAAGAATGAACATTCTTTAAGCAGAAAAATCCGGGAGGTAGTTGCGCGGCGCAGACGAAATGGAACTAACCCGATGAAGACCACGCGCTGGGTGCTTTACAGTAGAGAACATGCGATGCAACTTATCAGCGATATCACATCGTTGATTGATTTGTTGCAGCAAATATATCCAATGCCCGATAAGGAGCAAGAACTGGCCAGAGAGGAAGTCAAACAGCTTACTTCAGCCATTGCCGATCAAGGGTCCACGATACGGCACTTGCAACAACTTGTACAAGGCATCGATAATGACATGAAAAAGGCGATTGAATCCGTCGAAAGAAAAGGCCACCAGTATGGAGACGTATCCATGGAAGAGAATGCCCGCATTCAGAATGGGCATACCTTCACTCGAGCTTGGGAGGGGACATCTTCTCTACCGGTAGGACCGAGCATGACTTTTACTCATATGAGAGCATCGGGCTCCTCGCGAGTTCGTAACGGAGATGTATACGTAGAGAAGGACGACTTTTGGTCGTAGGTCTAAATGACACGGCGACCAATGCCTTTCTCTATCGATGTGGAAGAGTACCTAAGGATGAGATTGAAAGTCTAACGAATAGGGTGACGATATATTTTGAAAGAATGAAGAATGCAAAATGCAGAATGTACCTAAGATGTCTTGTTCAATCGCCGATCTTAAATATACCTTATAGTAGAACTCGCACCTCCTTCGTATGAATTGTAGGTGCCTTCTCTCTGGGGAAATATTTATTTAAATAGGGTTACACGTATAACACCTCTAAAGCTGCCGTGTCACGCCAACTTACTGAAGAAGTTGCTTACCTTGCATAGTAGAATTTAGCTTCATTTTGAATGGCAGGTGTAGATGTGATAGGCTTGCAGGAAGAAAGGCAGATCTAGAAAGAACCCCACCTATTAAATTCCCCTCCGTTGGCCCTAACCCCGCAATCCTGCGGCAGTGGTATCCATATTATTTCCACGGCCGAAATCTGTCGATCGGGCGGCCGCATCTTGGCTTACAAAGTGTCCTGATGGTTGGCGAGAAATATTCGAATCGAAAGATAGGGACGTCCGATGCAAGGAATTAGTCATAAACTTGGTAATCTGCCCTTCCATTTTGAAAATATGTGCATATGTACGGTGATAGCGCCGCAGCATATGTAATTCTCTACCTATTTTAGTAGAGAGAAATACTTGATAAGCGGGATTTATCGAACCGGAGCGGACCCGTCTACCCGTCTTACACCCCCGAAGGAATGCACTTCTCTACCTTTAGGGAAAAGCTCTCTGCTCCTTAGGGGAAAGCACCTTAGGAGCGGCATTAAACGGACCGGTTCGGTCCCGTCTTCCCGTTCTTACACCCCCGTGAACGGATCTTATTTATAAGAGCTTACATGTACATATATTATCGCTCGCAATGTCTTGTCGTGTTGGAGAATATCGCAAATCTTGAGAAACTTAAACGAGAATCTAAGGTGTTCCTCCCATTCTTAGGCTTGTAGTTTGAGAGTTTGTAGTTGTGAATACAGCCCTACTACGTAATCCCTCATGGTAAGAATTCCCGCCCAGGTTATTATATAGTATACTCGAAACTGGGCTAACTTGTTGATAAAGGCGTCCCAAGGGAGGCTTGCGCTTTCCGCGCTTTTCTTGGGGATGGGACTCTTCGGAGTCATGGCTACCGACGGACAGCTTTTCGCAGGTCCGTTGGGTAAGCTGTTAAGAGCCATCGCCGGTGGGAGTGAAGAAGCCGTCGTCTTGATAGGTGGCCCGGTACCTTTCAAGTATAAGTACACCGGAATCGGGTTTGTGGACGCGATAATCTCGCATTGGACGGCCTTCGTGGCGGCGCTGATCGATGATCCTGAGCTCCGCTGGAATACCTGGGCGCTCTACATCGAGTCTATGGGCCAGTTCTGCGTCGGATGGGGTCTTCTCTTGCTCGAGTGTAGGCGAGCAGGAAACCGCGGTCTTGCTGTTAGTTGGGCTGGAACTCTAGGTGTGGTCTTCCAGGCGATCTCGTGGGCATTTTCTTTGCCGCTATACTTCGGATTGCATCTTCTCACTTCGCCTATCTCGAAGTTGGAAAGCAAGGGTGGCAGAATTACGGGCGAAGCTGCGAAGCTCCTATTCGTGGACCTCTGGGACTTAGCACTTATGCCTATCTCCCTGACCCTAGGAACCCTTATACCTACTCTCTTCATGAGCTTACCTTCGCTCTTCTCTTCTATCGGCCACTATAGCTGGATTGCGTTCTGGATTCCTTTCGGACCGGTAAGTAGATACAGATTATCCTACAACGTTCTAAATACTAATCATATTTTAGTGGACGGTGATTGCTATGGACCTATTCAAGAGTGTAGCCAACTCCACAGTTGGCGCTCTCGGCCCGAAGGACGCCAAAGGCAGGGCTACTACACCTGGCAAGGGTTTTTACGTGGCTGTGTCGACTGTATATCAATTCAATATGGCAGTTTCTGTGCTAACACACTTGCCATTCATGGCCACGTCTGTGCTACCCGGTCCCTTACGTTCCGCTCTTATTTACGCATTCCCCGGCTTTACTTCCTTCTTCACGGACATCACCTTCACTAAGACGTGGCTACCCCACCCCTTCCTCGGACAGCCGGCAATAGACCCGCTAGCCAACGGACCTGGTAGGTTCGGTCCCTTGGTCGCCGATTTCTACCTGTTCGATTTGTACCTAGGAAACGGAGCGATGCTTATATGGGCCTTGTACTTGTATCTTCAACAAACCGGATCCTCTCCGGCGAAGGCCATACAAACAGCCGCAAAGTGGTCTTTCCTTGGAGGCTTCGTAGCTGGTGCGTTTGCACTGCTCTGGGAGCGGGATGAGCTTGTCCAGGAAAGCGAGAACGACGCGAAGAGGAAATGAAGAGTCAGGGTGGAGAATCTCGATGGGAGTTAAAAGGGGGTGGGGATTTCCATCTCAATATTAGTTGGTTTTCGCTTAACCTGATCCTTGGAGACTTACTGTCTTGAAGAACTATAAGAGGAGAGTTGACTATGTGGACTGCTTGTTGGGCTGAATAGCGAAACAGCATCCACCAAAGAAGGTTGGATTGGGTTGGATTATGTCCTTATGAAGGTTATGGACATGAAATAATTGCCCAAAATCGTCTGTACAGAAGATGGGCGGTATTCTGAAATTCTACACGGCGGCAATTGGCATGCCAATTATTGAGAATTCACTAAGCGAGCGATAGAAGCACTTAGAGCATAGATAGTGTAAATGACAAGTGATATGGCATATTAAACACCACGTTCCTTCGATTCTAGGGCCTCCAAGTGCACCAGATAGATAGATAGATAGATTAGCGTAACTTCTTGGAACACTCATTATAAACTAGTGAATTGCTTTTAATCGCTCTCTAACTCCTTTAGCTGGCCCTTTCTCGCAAGATATGCAGCGCCAGAGTCGGCCCAGACCTGATAGCTAACGACTTTGTACTGATCATCGAATTTAAGCGCGTACGAGAAGACTTCATCCCAGCTCTCACCCGTAGCCGTCCACGTGAATTTGGCGGTGCCGCGAACTGCGACGCGATTCTCAACAGCATCGACAATGTAGTCTGCGAAGCACATATCCGCGTAGCTTAAACACGAAGAAATAGTGTGAAAATATTCCTGTACGCCGTCGTGCCCCCGGAATTCTCGACCGAGGAAAGGGGCGAGTTCCTTGAGTCCATGCTCGTATGCCCATATGTTGGCTGAGGATGAGAAATGGCTTAAAATCTCGTCGGGTGATTTTTTCTGCGCAAAGCTCTCGCAGAAAGCTATGGCGGCGTTAAGAAGATCTTCTCGTTTGTGGTGAGGCATGTCTGTATAAGCTTATGAAATCCCACTCAAAATATAGGTAGCGTAAACTTGTATAGTTCTCGTAGCTCTTTTGACTGAAGTCTTTAGGATCAATCTAAGAACATGCGAGGTACCTATATACTTGGGAATAATACGTCATTACTCGTAGGCTCCTACCAGCCCGTCAACGGCTGCCATTTGGGTTTTAAGTTGGATTCTACAGCTGTAGCCAATTTCATCTCATGTTAGAACATGTCGTCCACTTATACAAGCTATATTAATTCCAAATCATACGGCAAATATACTTTTCTTTTACTTCCCAATATTTCATTTCCTAACTAATTATATTCATAAAATATCTCAGCTGTCAAACTATACCTCTATGGTGTCTCCTAAAACAAGATACAAATTTAATATGTATCAGATAACCCCAAACTATAACATGAAGTGTTTACCCCCTTTATCACAATCAACAACTTCGATATTACAGAAAATCTATGATTCCTTTCTACTAAGGCTTCCCTTCCCTTCTCCCTGGAGGTGTAATTGGCGAAAACCATCCACTTATAGGCCCCCATTCGAGCCGCACTTTACGGAGGGCCAGTTGGTTCAAGAATCTTCAGGCAATGTGCTATATACCTCTTTGACTATTGAATCTTTTCAGGGGTCAATCAGTTCATAGGAAGCCAGAGGTTCCGCTTACCGTTTCTTGCGCAGTGTTTCGTGATGAAGATGAAAGTTTTCCTGACTTATTGCACGATAAGCCACGACCGTCCAAGAATGGTATCCCGCTAACACCACCAGAGATTCCGATGCGATAAATGATGGACAATTCTGGTATTCGATCACACATCACATAATAAACAAACTAATCCCCTAGGCATTGGCAGGCATCCCTTTAACCGATTCAGTTAGCCGTTCGCCGCCTGAAAAGAGATATGAGCTCGGAGTAATTATTCGTAGTTTTTTGACGAAATTTTGGCCTAGCGACGGATCTATCGGACATATACAAGTCTTGAGACCTGGAAGAGATTAGAGGCGACAAAGTGTTACTTCTTCGCCGCCCTTTCAAATACAAATGCCAGGCCATGTCTTAAGTATAGGGTATTCAGATTTACGCGGAGGAGACGAGGTCAGCCCCATAGATGCAAAAGTGAAGATACCTGAAAGTGAGTTTCTAGGGAATGAGACAACCGCCGGCTTGATTGTCTTGGGCTCTTTATATATAGCTAAGAGAATCCACGAGTGTATTCAATAGAAGATCGCAGTAACTGCGATTATACGCCTCTAGGGTTCATTGGTTGCCGCTACTTATATCTTAATTTGAAATTCATGGGCTAGGATAGTTGTCTCTCTTATCTCATAGTATACTAGGTTAATAGAGGTATAAAAGTCAAGGGCCTTATCACCTTGGCGGGGCCCACGTATCTTCTGCTCTATAAGAGACTAGGGTTATGAAATGGCGTTATGGCTTCTCTCGTGTTTATATTCGCTTTAGGTTATATTTATAGCGTGGCATTGTAATTCTGAACAGATTAGAGACTGGCTTATGATAATACTTCATTTTAAGCGCCAAGAATACATATCAGAGCATGTCCTTGAAGAGCTTCCCGAAACAGAAGTAAACGCCGATCTAGTTGAGAGTATGCTGCGGTAGCATTCGTATTATGCTAGCTATACTAGCTATAACAGCTGCAGATTTTAGCCGCTGGTGAAAACAAAAAGGCTTTAAGTGATCGTACCATTACCTTAAGAAAACTCGCTGCCCTTTTCCCCGGAAGCTTTGAATGCTACCATAAACCGGGGAAATATATTGCGCATGAGGTCTTCTGTAGTCTCGACCTTTGTATAGCTTGAATTAATACTATTTTAAAAGCAACACCCCGACGAGAAAAAAAGTATTTTAAACTGAAGAAGTGCGACAATCAGATTTGAATAATTATCACGACCAATACTTCGTCGAACACAAGCATTGCATAAGCTAATAGCGATGCTGTTCCACGTCTTGTTAAGAGCTCTACTATTTGAGCTTCTTTTCCAACATGCTTCCGCTGCTCCAGCTGCTTTAAATGCGGCCGCATCGGGTAGCATAAGGGCTATATACTTATTCAAAGACGTGCTCAAGTCAAACACCGAATCTCTAAAGACCTCAGGCTTCAACTCTGTTATCATATTCGGTGTCGGAATTCTCGAAAATGGCGACATCATGTACTACTCGAACACTCCAGGAAGCAATGACACACTGATCGCATCTAACGGTGGATATGTTGGGGGTACAGCGCTTTCCGATAAAGTCCGCTCATTTAAGACAGGCGACACGGGCATTAACCGGATCGAGATCTCGATGAATTCCCAGCACGTCCGCGAACTGACGAGCAGCCCGGGAACCGGTCCCGAGACGACTCTCTACCGCAACTTCGCGGCGCTAAAGACAGCATGGAGTCTCGACGCCGTTAACAATGACGACGAGTCTATATACCATGTCGCTAGTACTACCGCCTTTGCGAAAATGCTCGGCACGATAGGATATAAATATACCACTGCGCCGTATACAAACACAGGCTTCTGGAAAAGCGTCACGACGCAGATTAATAACGGTCTCCAAGAGCCGAACTTGTTACTAGATAGGGTATATCTGCAATGCTGTATGTAACATCGAACCCACCCCCTCTCTTCCCCCTTTCCACTTTTTAGGTTGTCTCGGGAGCCGACGTTTCATTGTCGAACTGACTAAGGGGTTGTTGCTCCCGTGACATATCCGACTTCATTTGACGTTTTACTAAGGGGGGAAATTGTTGACTCCTGTTGTAGATGATGGTGGTGCAGGTAACGATCCGGGGAGCTGGCAAAACACTTTGGGCATGAAGGTCGTACCGCTTATATGGGTTACAAACGACTCTAAGCCGTCGCAGGGGACAACGGCTACACAAGCACGGTCTAGGTTCACAGGTTGGAATTCACGAAGCGCCGTGGCTGGGGGAGGGTATTGGAACGACTACGACATTGAAAAAATGGGATTGTCATACACAGAATATGGAGGGGTTCTTACAAGTATTTTCCCATAAAAAGTTCCAGGTTAGCTATAGTTATAAGGAGAAAGAATATGACAGGTAACTGACTGACTGACTGACTCACTATAAGAAAAACAAAGATGAAAGATGAAAGAAAAAAAAAAGAAAAAAAAAGGAAAAATAAATGTATATATGATATGATACGATAGAACATGCAATAGTCCGGAATTACGTTACAGATGACGTAACTATTAGCATAACATACATGATGCAGACCGAGAGGCGTCAAGGTCTAAGCTTTTGATGTCTATAAACGTGACACCGCTTGTACACCGAGAAATTCTACCCCTCTACTATTCCCGACTTTAATCTCATACGCCAATTAAATATCAAGAGACTAAAGTAGAACAGCAATACAGAAACATATTTTTCGAGAGAAACCACGAATCATAAATTTCATGTAACACCTCCATAGGAACCCCCCCCCGACATTCGTAATTCGGCATCGTGCATATGGTCTTAGGACATCCGGTTTAAAAAAAAGGGCGTACAACTACTCCTACTCCTACAGCACGTGAGCCTGGAACCCATTCCCGGCCAATATAAAAACTCCATGTAAACCTCCCCGCACCCTACGGAAATCTTAGTAACTTGGATCTTGTCCTGGAATTCCATTGTCCGGACTGTCTTACAATTCGATAGCATCATACGTCTCGTCCCACCATGGTGAGCCAATCAAGCATCTTCCTCCGTCTCCCCTTGGAGATCCGTGAGGAGATCTACCTCCAACTGTTGTTCTTCCGCGACGACGTCGGTGTCCAATCTCTGACTCCCAAGCTCGACAGGTGGATCAAGGCGATGTGGGATGATCCCGAGTCGACGTTCTGTGGCGACGAGAATAACATCGTGCCTCGGGGAAGGACCAATATCCTTTGCGTATCTAAGCAAGTCGGAAAGGAGGCCCTTGATGTGTTGTACCAGCGCAATACCTTTGTCATACATACGCACGCTGATTCTTACGATAAATTTCTCAAGTTCGGAACCGCCAACATACGGCGCATCCGTTCCTTGAGACTTGTCACATACCCTCAAGAGCTTGGATACATGGAGCCTGTCAACTTCGACCCCATAATATGGGATCCGCTTCTCACAGACTTGACACATCTTTCCCTCGTTTTGCAACAGCCATGGAAGGCTCAGGGACATTGTGATTCATCTGGCAGTAAGGGGAAGTTCCAGAATTGTGTTGCGGAGGAACTACAGAAATGGCTTGCTTGGCTAGAACCGATCTTACAATACTTCGCCAACAACATTTCCGAGAAAACCACGGTTAGCATCGACGACAACGAGTTGGCGGAGACGAGCGAGGTCGTGCATAAATGCTTCCGTGCCGGTTACCGGAGAGTGCAGACTGAGATCGGAGACAGAATCTTCGAGAGGGCGTTGCCATCTGAGGAGTCTGAATACTGGTACGATGATTATGATATGGATTCTACATGTGGTGGCACGATCAACGAGTGGTCAGACTAGGATCGAAACAATCCTCTATTATCCAAGAGTCATTTTCAGAGTACAAGATGCGCCAAATTAACAGCACAATCCTTTTTAGCTATTCCATCTCTCTTAATAGTATTTCGGTTGGACCTTTTTTTATTTAGGCCAGTTCAGTTACATCTGGACTTGGATTCGGGGTTGGGAATTGGATATGGGGGAAGGGGGAAGGGGGGTCATGGTTGGTAATCACCACTCAATACTACTGGTTGTTGGTAGGCTGGAAAAACACTGGAAGACGCTATGATTCTAAAATAGGTGCGAAAAGGAGAACACTCAATGGAGTATTAGAATTAATGTGCAATCAGATATCTATAAGAATATATTTCTTCTACTTGGTGATATAGTCTTGAGATCATAAGTTACGCCTGACGTAAAAGAGTAACTTCACATAAGCGTTCCCTCTAATACCATGTGGGAAAAATGAAATCTAATACGGAATTAGCCCTTAAGGGCTGAAAGTACTGATTTAAGGCGCGAGCATCCCTAAATTTAAGCAAGAATTTAAGCAGGCTTACGAAAAGGGCTTAGTTATAGTAATAAACTTATGAGTTGCTTGGCTATGAATATAAGAATACAGAAAGGGAAGAATAAGGCTTATTGTTGCTTGTTAATAACTAGTATTATTTCCTAATAGACGCTGCTTGAGGTCCATATCTCCGATCTCATCTAGTCGACATTCCGGGTCTAACTTAGGTCCGGTAGATCATCAGTTAAGTCCGGACCGAACTGGGAAACACAAACTCCGGACGAGTGACGGTGTCTAGCAAGTATCTTTTAACTTATAATATTTCATGACTGGGTTGTTCATTTTCTGTAGATAAATATATCCAGCGTAGCACGTACCTTTCTATTGAAATGGCTATAGATAGCAAGCATAAGTCTTCACTTCCTAATACTGAGAAAAGACTAAGACAGTCATGACTGTAGAGTATGCTAAGGATCAGCCTGAGGGCTTCACCAACCGCATTGAGAAGGTTGCTATCGTGGGGGTACGTTGTATTTCAACTTTACTCTGCATAGGATAAAGATATCACTAACTAGGAGCAGGCTGGCGGTCAGATAGGGAGTGTCCTGACCGAGCACTTGCTCAAGAATGGGAAGCATACCTTAACAGCCATAACGCGACCTAACAGCACCAAAAAGCTTCCCGAAGGCCTCCGAGTTGCTCGTGTCGACTATAGTGGCGATGACGACACCGAACTTGTAGAAGCGCTTTGTGGGCAGCAGGTCTTGATCATTTCTATGTCGGTCCATGCTCCAAGGGATAGTGTTAGCAAGCTTGGTACGTAGCATTGATAACCCCTTTTAATGTATCGGAAACAAGCATCATTCGTAGTTTGAATTTTCCAATATCCTTCCGAATATATCCAGAGACGCCATTGGAAAGGATCAGCCCGGCTTTGAGAATCGTTTCTTTAACCGTATTTTCCTAATGAATCTCCAGCTCCCTCTAGGAAGTTCTTACTCGAAGTGATAGCCGCGGTACTAATTTTACTGTAATAGTACGCGCAGCCGCCAAGGCCGGTGTACCGTACATCCTACCCAACTGGTTCGGACACGACGCTGCCAACGACACGCTATGCGAAGATAGCATGCTAAAGGCCTCGCGGGACAGTATTACCTCTGAGATCAAAAGCCTTGGCGTCAGCTCATACATCCTTCTCGTGTGCAACTTCTGGTACGAGTTCAGCCTAGGCGGCGGACCCGACCGCTTCGGATTTGATTTTAACAAGCGCACGCTTGTCGAGTTCGGGGACGGCACGGTGCCCATCCGCACGAGCACATGGCCGCAGTGCGGGCGGGCCGTCGCCGCGCTTCTCAGTTTCAAGGAGCTCCCGGATGACGAGGCGGATACGTCGCCTACGCTATCGCGGTTCCGCAACGGCTGTGTGTATGTCTCAAGTTTCCGCCTCGCCCAGCGCGATATGTTCGAGAGCGTGAAGCGCGTCACCCGCACTGCTGATGCTGATTGGACTGTTACCCGTGAATCTGCCGAGGAGCGCTGGGGGCAGGGCAGGGCAGCTCTGCAGGAGGGGAACTGGAAGCTCTTTACTAAGATGCTGTATAGCCGTATGTTCTTCCAAAACGGTGACGGTGAATACAAAGGGGAGCTCCATAATGACTTGCTTGGTTTGCCTGTCGAGGACTTAGATGAGGCTACGGCCGTGGGCGTCCGGATGGGGAAAAGTGGCGAGGTGCCGTTTTCGCATTAAAGGGGGTGGTGTTTCTAGTAGTATGATGATATGTATCTCATAAACTTTTCGAGGTTAATAACAAGGGAGTAACTTTTATATAAGTACTTTACCATATGACTTTCTTTTATCTTGTTCAATATTCATTCGTAGTAAAACTGACCTTCCTGTCATTCCCCCTTATTTAGCATCTTCCGTGTCTCATACGTAGCTCTTATACGGGCAACACTTTAGTCGAATTAGAATATGGTCTCTCTTACCTGTCTTCAATTTATTGTTATATATATGAGCTTGAAATTGATTATAGATATGCAACTTCCTCACAAGAACTTATACTATCGTCATGAAGTTGACTCGCTAGATGTCAATTTCAAATAGACATATCTTACATCTCGAAGCTCTTAAATTTAGATTATCCTAGACCAATCAGATTAGACATCCAGAGTGTATTGGTGATTCAGTAGCGGAAGGCAATGTGGACTTTATTACGACTCGGAAAATAAGTCGGGTCTCTGGATACAGCGGGATCTTATATTACGTCTGGTAATGCTATGCCGGTATAGGAGTGAAATTCATCACATATCATTACTTATTATATTGTTAGGGTATGACACTGATAAAAATAAAAATAAAAAGTTTAAAAGACGAAATACTAAATAAATGATTGAAATGCGCGATATGCCTGCTCCTACTACCCACCTATAGAACATATTCTGGGTCAAGTGTGCACGACAGGTAGGAAACGGCCGTTTTAGTCCGCATGGATAGGGAGGTGCTTATCTATATTTGTAGTTTTCGCAAAAAACTCTTTAGAACGAGTGGGAAACGGGTAGATCGTGGGAGGGGAATACATACGTGATAGCACCTGTCAATCACGGACATGTGGCAGTCTAGGCCAATGGTTGGGCCACCGCGTAAGCAATGATACATCGACGTGTTCGAGCCTATGAAGTCGTTAATGAATTTTATATGGAGGCCGGTATAAAAAAAGCTGTTTGCGCGATATCGGGGTGCAGGTGTTGCTACTGTGTAATTGACGGGTGAGAAATCATAATATTAGAGTCGAAGATTTAAATACGGGTAGTATTAATATTTCATTTCTTATCGGCCGTTGCTAAGTTAAATCTTAAAATTCTGGCCTGTGGCTTCCGGGTACACGTAAATAGACATGTCGCCGCAGATGCCGTGCATTAGAAATGCGGCGCAGATTGGTTGCTCTCTAAGGCTCCTCTCTAAGGCTTGATTTCGGTCGGAGCTCTGGTGGTGGTTAGGTAAGTCTGGACAGGCACCAATTCGCAAACGTCACTCTTAGATGAGTGGATACCCGACGTAAGGTTGCCCCAGAAAAAGAGAAGTACCGAAAATACTTAATGTGTTGTGGAAAACTACGGCTAAAATCCTTGTACTATCAGGTCTAAGCTTTCGTACCTTTTCTTAGCGCAACTCGTCCTTTTCGGAGTACATCTTCAAGCTTCCTCTAGGGCTCCGGGGTCCGCTGAAGTCACCTAAATAGACCTAAATAATAGTAAAGCTTTAGGTACTTCAGCGGCTTCTTCGTTGGCTAATCAGGCGACAACTCTTTCCTCAGGGCTTTTTCACTTGCATCACTCTGACCAGTCTTGCTTGGAACTTGTGACTGAACAAACGACATCAATTTCCTCCCTTCTACTCTTTCCCTCTCTCATAATCAACCAATTTTAAAAAACTCCCTCAATCCAACCAAGTCTTCCGTTGCGTGTATCTATATCACGCACACCTCTTTTTCTCATTTGTTTTATTTAGACACCCAGTTTGTGTTTTTCCCGCTGCCAGCCGACCTCAAATCAGTTTAGATTCTTCCTGCAGGGTCTCTCAACCTGAGCGCGCTTCGCGATACTACCTGTCGGCTGTATCTAGTATCGTCATCGTCATCGACCCATTCGTCCATCAACGATCCCAGCCGACTTTCTCCTTTTCTAACTCCATTTTCCTTCTGCCGATATGCCAGGGAAAACGCCTCATTCAAACGGAAAAGAGCCGGTCGAGAACGGTATTAGGAACAACCAGGACGTTGACATGACCGACGAGAAGTCCTCGCTTAAGGGAAAGGGCAAGAAGGGTGTTAAGGAAGGCGAAGATATGACAGTTGTCGTCCCCCCTTCGAAGACCACAAAACAATCTTCTCAACCACCTCCGCCTGACGCTGATGGAGACATCGAAATGGACGTGGATAAGCCGGAGGATCTCGAGGTCAAGATCGACCCCGTCACTCAGGCCATCACAGGTATAGTTGATACCACCATCTAAATCAACTCGTGCATATAAGAATCTAACATATTATCTTCTGTTATAGATATTAAGAGTAATTTCGCCCTCCTCGACCGCGCAGTAGCTCTATTCGATGCCAGATTCTCGTTAAGGGCCTTAAGATCTATTTCTTCCCTTCGGAAGCGTCTCACACCGGATATCCTAGCCCAGGTTATCGCAGAGACTTTCTCGGTCTCGAGCACATCCGCCAACGTGGCTAAGCAACTTCTAGTTGCTATCGGAAAAGAAGATGTATCACTAGGTCGCCAGCCTAGTTCTGAGATGGAGATTGATAGCGAACCAAAGGCTCCCGCTAAGAACGGGAGCAAGAAGGAGAATAAGGAGGTCATTCCTGAGATCGATATCTTCCTGAGCATCTTGGTTCAAGTCTATCTATTTGACGCCAAGCAATTCCAGCAGGGAGCGGAATTTTCCAAATACCTTTCAGAGCGCATCCACTCTTTGAATCGCCGGACTCTAGATTCGCTTTCCGCAAAGGCCTACTTCTACTACTCTCTATTCTGCGAGCAGCTTGCACCTTTGCCCCCGTCTCCTCAGTCTCCGATCGTTGCGATCCGCCCGACCCTTTTGACTGCTCTCCGGACTGCCGTCTTACGAAAGGATATCGATATTCAAGCCTCGGTTATCGTACTCCTTCTCCGAAGCTATCTATTGACTTCCCACATCTCTCAAGCGGATCTCCTTGTATCTCACACTCAGTTCCCCGAGAATGCTGCCAACAACCAAGTTGCACGCTTCCTTTATTACCTCGGCCGGATCCGAGCCATTCAGTTGCGCTACACTGAGGCACATGAACATCTAACGGCAGCCACACGAAAAGCTCCGGCAAGCTCATGCGCCTTGGGTTTCGCGCAAACTGCGACAAAGCTTCTGCTCGTTGTGGAGCTGCTAATGGGTGATATCCCCGAACGTGCTACCTTCCGCGTTTCCAATATGGAGCAAGCCCTTCACCCATACTTCTTACTCGTCCAAGCTGTACGAGTAGGTAACTTGGAGGATTTTGAGGTGACGATCGCTGACCATGCCGACACCTTCCGCCGCGATGGGACATACTCGCTCATCCTACGCCTTCGCCAGAACGTCATCAAGACCGGCATCCGCATGATGAGCTTGAGCTACAGCCGTATCTCGCTGCGCGACATATGCATCCGCCTGCATCTTGGTAGTGAAGAGAGCGCGGAGTACATCGTCGCTAAGGCGATCCGCGACGGTGTCATTGAGGCGACCTTAGATCGGGAACGAGGTTTCATGAAGAGCAAGGAGGTTGGTGACGTTTACGCTACTAGGGAACCGGGAGAGGCGTTCCACGATCGTATCAGAGCTTGTCTTGCGCTACATGATGAAAGTGTGAAGGTATGTTGTTATCGATCATATTAACAACTTGAAATTCAGCCAGACTAACTCATTTATGAATAGGCCATGCGTTTCCCTATGAACCAGCACAGACTAGAGTTGAAGAACGCTCAGGAGGCGCGTGAACGAGAACGTGAGATGGCAAAGGAGATACAAGAAGGTGACCTGGACGAAGATGACCTCGGTGGAGACTTCGAGGGGATGTAACATAATTTAACCCGTGTATTCTGAAATGGGAAGGACTTCGGGCGCTACCTTTTTCGCCATTACTGGTCTATAGTGGTTTGGCACGCGAGAACGGGGGAGCCAGCTTATTTGCATCGGTGAAAGTTGTAGTTTGGTGACCGAGAGAAGTTAAGAGGTCGCAATATTGGCGCGGCTAAATATAAACAACGTCATTCGGCCTACTGTAATAGATATCAACAGAGAGAAAGCCTCGTTTTGTTGGCTGGGACAGAAGCGTGTGAGATAGTAGGGTTTTCTTAGCAAGCCAGGACACTTGACAGCAAATCCAAGCGCTAGCTAGGACCGCTCCCGTTTTTTAGCACGCGTTTGATAATTACACTGATATTGCTGTTCCATAGGTATTACATGATAGCTTATTTGATTTATGGTTTGCTCAGTGTGGTGTGGGTTTTGTCATGGTTGAGTTTGCATTTTACTATACTTTGACAATTACTCTTAGACTAGATTTTACATTAAGGTGGTGATTCGTTTGTGCTTCGATACAAGAGTTTTGTTGGTAGTATTCTTAGCTGATTTCTTTGTAACCATACTAACTACCTCTTGTGAATACCTAGGTATATATAGTACCTAGGTATGACCTACAAACAGATTCATGCCAAAGCCTGTTGGTATTTCGTTGATTATGCTAAGGGGTATCACGTGTAACGAATCTACCAAGGTACATAATGAGGGATACATGTACCTAGGTAAGCTTTAATGTAACTGGTTACGTAAGCACTTCATTGGCAGTGTCGCGACTGATGATGAACTTTAAACTATTCGTCTTTTATCTTTTTGTTAAAAGTTTAGGTATTCTTGACTTACGGAATATGGTTTAAGACAGTTTATATAAACGTTCCTTCCAAATAACTGGTCAATTCAAAATGGCGCCTCAGAAGCGCAAGATACCGCATGATGTCGAACCAGAGTTACCGCGTCGCGCGACTAGACAACATCCTGCGCCCAATAGCGACGAACATCTACTACGAAGCGGTCGTGTACGTGCCGGTTCGATTAAAAAGTCACACATGCTATCACATACAGACCAGATATTAGAAAAAAATGGGGAGGTCAAGAAGAGAGTAGGGAGACCACCTAGCAAACAAGACAGCGCCACAACGACTAGGCACGGCTTGGCGGACAATGTATCAAAAGAAAATATACAACCTAATAATAGTGACGAAGGAGAAGAGGAAACGCAATATTATGATAGAACAAATGAGCCGATTAATTCTCTAGAACATTCATCTCATGAAGAAAAGAAAGCGACGACGAGACGACCAACTACAAGTCCATCCCCTCCACAAACTAGACTTGTGCCACCCAAGCCACCATTACATCGAAAGCAACAGCAACAGCAAAGCCTAAATCAAACAAATACACATACAAAACCATCCGTGACATCGACGCCAAAGCGCCCTACTACTTCCGACAAGCTGCTAAAACCTCCCCCCACACCGCGCTCAGATCGCAACATCGATAAGGTCGTGTTAGGTAATATCTGTTTCAAGGCGTGGTACCCCTCGTACTATGGCAAGGAGGTGCTAGGCGACATATCGCATAATACCAACCCGGGTGGCAAGGATGGCAGGGACGGCGGCGGGAAGATGGGAGGTAGGATAGGTGGTAGCAAGAGACAACCACCGCCTATGCTCGAACGCTTGTATGTCTGCCCGTGCTGTTTCAAATATAGTAGAGAATTGGTCGCATGGTGGGAGCATGTTAGGTGCTGTGAGAAGACGTTCGAGATGCCTGGGCGGAAGGTGTATAAACATCCCAAAGGCTTAAGAACGCGGATGGTGAAGGTCCCTTCAGCATTCTCGAGTATTACTACGGCTACGGCTGCAGAGGTGGTTGGAAAGGGTAAGGGAAGGAAGAAGAGCGACGGAGGTGCAGGTGTGCCGACGGTAGAAGAAGTTGTTAGTGATGACGGCGAGTGGAGCGTATGGGAAGTTGACGGGGAGAAAGATAGGGTAAGCCATCATTTCCTTCAAACTTCGAGTTTTGTCACGACTTGATGCTAACTTGTTAATAGCTTTTCTGTCAGAATCTATCCCTGTTCGCGAAGCTATTCCTAGATAACAAATCGGTATTCTTCGATGTGACGGGGTTCAACTACTTTCTTCTCGTCTATACACCCCCACCAACTCCCGACCCACAAACGTTCCCTTCTCTCGCCCCTACGTTTACCGATATAATCCCAATTTCTCAATCATCTACAACAACTATTTCTAGTGCTTCCCAACATACCCCAACGTCGCAGACGAGACCGCAGGTAGTGGGCTTCTTCTCAAAAGAGAAGCTATCCTGGGATAATAATAATCTGGCGTGTATCTTAGTGTTCCCACCATGGCAGCGCAAGGGTCTGGGCGCCCTGCTCATGGGTGTATCGTATGAGATCTCCCGGCGCGAGGGCATTCTAGGCGGGCCCGAGAAACCTATATCCGAACTTGGTAGGAAGGGGTACAAACGATTCTGGGGAGGCGAGATTGCGCGGTGGCTTCTAGAGCTCAAAATACCGGAGGGGCAAGGAGAGGATGATACAGAAGGTGAGAGGGAGACGTTGATCACTGTGGAAGAAGTCTCCAAGGCCACTTGGATTGTGCCCGAGGACTGTCTCGCCGTACTCCGAGAGATGGGCGTTGTAGAAGACGCGAGTCCTACCCCCGCCGAGACAGCTACTGCCAACGGGTCAACCGAACGGCGCGGCGGTAGCGTCAGCGACGGGGATGTTGAAATAGAAGAGGCGAAGACGACTCCCCGCGTAAGGCTTGATAGGGAAGCTGTCAGGCGCTGGGTCAGCACGAATAAGATTGACCTTACCAAGACGTGCGACCCGGACGGCTTTGTTGAGGGGTACGCGGTTAGAGAGGGAGAGAGCGAGGAAGTGGATGAAGAATAGTAGTGTATCGGAGAAAGAAGAGTTGGATGGAAAAATATGAGATACCCCTTGTGCTTTAGGTTTTCAATGTATAACAGCTGAATATCGAATATTCGAATGCTAAAGTTATTCTGATGGTGTTTACGTATTCGCGTTTTTATAGTAATTGACCGCCGTGCTTACCAACACTTCCTATATCAAGTCTTGATAGATAGGTTATATTTGGGTTTTAGGAGAATAATTGTCGATGTGTTAACTTGGGGTATAATCACATACACGTAAACCAGGGGAGCGTTACCTAGTTGTTCTGTGTTGCTATACCTACCTACCTATACTAATAAATATTCCTAACAGGTACTCTATATACATATACCTAAGGTGTTCTCATTCTCGTTTGGATTCTACACTGGTGTATCATCTCGTTTTCTTGGTATATAGCGGTGTACTAGTCTATCTCAAGAGGGATATTGCTTGAATTCAGGATGGTCATTACGTAGAAACGTTTCGATGCTATGTTAGAAGATAATGAGAGGGGCAGATAGATGTATTCCGTTCGCTTTAGTGCCTGTATCTGAATAGGCTTGTGTAGTGTCTAGGAAGGGTAGGTTCTCATAGTAGTGACACGAAGCACTTGGTCACCAGGCTCATTAGTGTCACGTAGGGGTGGGAGTGAGCTTAAAGACCCCCTCCGCCGAGCATACCTCGAAAGAATAATACAGAATAAATCGCCAATTCCAAGGATTCCAAGGATATCTCACTGTATGTGCTACATCTAGGCTAGCACAGCTCAATACTAATCAAATGAAAACAACACATCAATAGCAGAACACTGATGGTTAAATACCGAAATTCTATTTATACCGAGAACAGGAACAGTATTTTTATGATTTGCTAAAATGTGCTATAAGAAGTGAAAGATACCCAGACGAGACCCGAGACCGAACCAAAGGGAAATATATATAGATGACCGATTCATGCAACCATTCAATCATATTTTTGAAAAAGACCGCCCGTTCATATCACTTGCTTCATTACTCGCTCGCTCGCTCGCTTGCTCATATTTGTCATAAAGGTAAAACGAAAAAAAAGAGAAAAGAAAAGGAAGAAAAAAAGCCCGCCCAATGTTGTGCCGTAGACATATGCTGTTGTTGTACCTACCTAGGTAGACATGTACCTATGCTGTCCTACATGTAACCAGTAGATGAATTTCAAAAAGCCCCATGCTTATTGTATGCAGACGTGTGTCCATGAGGCCATCATACTTTCATATCGTAATCATTTCCGATGTCGTTTCGTTCGTTTTTAATTTCTGTCGTATGGAGTTGTCATGAGATAGAGGTGGTTGTTAGGTGTTCGGTGTTAGATAAAGTAAAAGGTAGATGGAAAAAAAAAAAAGATGTGGTATAAAGTAGCAAGGTGATCCCTGCCACAGGGAAGAGACAAGCATGCGGATCCTCTATTTAACCTCGGATCCGTACAACGGCCTGCGTTTGCCGTCAAACTCATTAACAACTCTTCGAAAACGCCCGACCATCGACGGGGTCCCGTGCGGCGCGTGGCGGTGTGTACGCTTAGTGTATCCTTCGTCGCCAACGCAGCTGATGCTGTCGTCGGGCGCGATACTCTCCACGTCGTCATCGTCATCCCAGCCGGTGCGGCTCTCGGGGAGATCGAGATCCCGCGCCGAAACCCGGCTGTGCGACCGTGTGGGAGGGCGTGCCGTACTAACGGGTCGCTTGCTACGCGTTGAGACGTATGTCTCGGGTTGAGCCGGTCGGGAAGCTCTGGGTTTAGAGCTGCTTCGACCGCGGTATTCGGACTCCGCCGCGTATTTGGATGGTGTTGCGGTGTGCCTTGATGGGGCAGCTGAATACTTGGATGGCGCGTAACTGCGACGGTCATCTTCGCCCACCTGGCTACGATACTCCCTGTCCATTAGGAGCTTCTGTTCGTACTTGGTGCCGGCATTGCTTATGTACTCTACGTCGGTGGTCATGGCCGGCCGCCTTGTGGAGCCAGCCTCGCTGAGGCGACGAGATCGGCTGGCCGTGGTATAGTGGCCTGTGTGTCGGCTCGCGCGGTCGTCGAGGTCCTCTACTACCCTACTTCTTACGGGTGCCTCAATCTGGGCATACCGTGCTCCGTAACTAAGCGGTGGATACTTCTTGTCCTCGATGTACCTAGGTTGAACATTCTGGTGCGGGTCTGAATAAGATGCGCGCCGTTGTAATGCGGTTTCGTATTCTTGACGCGGGGTAGCACGCTGGCGGCCGTTACCCATAAAGGCATAGGTTAGAGCGCTACCTACGGCAACACCAACGGCTGCGGCCCCGAGGACCGTGCCCATCCCGGTGCCAGCGCCGAACCCTCCGGACGTCTCACGCGGCGGGGGTTCCACGGCGGAAGTAGTGGCACTCCGCTTCATCATGGCCCGAGGTTCTCGTGAAGCAATGGCAGCGCTGGAATTTGCACGTGCAAAGCTAGAACGGTATCCAGCGGAGCAGACAGCCTCTATTTTGTTTCCGTCAAAGTCTGTGACCTCTACGCGGCCCTCGTCGAATGTGTCGACTTGTATATCGGGCTCCGCCCGTAAGGCAGCGGTTCGAAAAGCAGATACAACCGAGGGTGATTGGGCGGAAAGGATTACGCGAGATGGTCTTAGATGTTGGCCGGGAGCAAGCCTCTTAACTTCTAAGACCGGAGCACCGGAAGCACTGTCACCGAAGACTATGGACGAAGCGTTGGCGGAGATATACCGGAGTTTGAGTGGTTGAACGATAGCGGCGTAGAAGGAGGCGGAAGAGGGGAGGTCCCTAACCTGAACCGGCTGCATACCTAAGGCACTTTTGGGTATATAATGCTAGCAATATTGGAAGAATGATAGGTACTGGATGATATAGAACTTTCGAAGAAGAGAAAGAACAAAATGTTATTGACTTGTATATTCGAAAATCATAAGACGGTGATGAACGGTTGGAGACAGGGCACCATAAGGCACCAGATACGCAGCTACACGTGTAACACACCGGGGTACCTTGTAACAGACACTAAGGGGTAAAATATGGTCCAAGCTCCTCGGGGGTAGGTAATCGTTGTATGTACACGTAGCTGGCTGGCCGGGGGTAGAAAACTCAACAGGATTACGGACCCAAGTAATGAGTTAATAACAATGAATCGAGATTTATGATAACTGATGTCTTATTTATTTCATCATTTGTAACCATACTCTTGAGATTGAAATTGAAACAATATCCAATTAAATGAAAAAGTTAACTGATGATCTTTAATAAAATTTAATACATACACTTGACAGGTTGGTTACATACGAAATAGTATTGGCGCATACAAGAAAAAGACTAACGAAGATGATGGAATCCGAATCGGTACTGGTAGGTAACTAATTCATAAGTCATGTGACTTTGCTTACCGCCGAATTGGATAAAATACTTTGGTACCTCAGACCGCAGGATATTCGGAAAATTCATGGTCCATACGTAGACCAGCGCATCACAAAACAGGTCACATGGAAAAAAAGATTTTTTTTGCGCCATCTCGCTTCAAGGCTTGAACGTTATCTCGATATACATAGAATTTCAATAATCAATTAAGAATTTCTGTTCATATCAATACTTACTTACTTATTAGTCAAAACCCCCTTTTTTCTTAAACTAGATTTAGACTGAATTAATATTATAGTCCATTCCGTTAGTGGTAAAAAGAAACTCGATGTTACTCAATACCTAACGTAAGGAAATATTGCATCCTGAGGCAATGAGGCTTAAAAAGCGCACCTTGCAGTACCGGCGTCCCGGGAACCTGAGTGGCTCGAAAAAGTTTTTCGCATTGTGCGACCCACAACTTCACATTCCCATGTATGTACCTACCTATCTACCTATGTATTCCCTCTCCCCCCCCAAAGAAATCCTTGCGGGAAATTCCCAACGGAAATTGGATACACACATTAGGTACCTGGCTGCAGGCATATGCTGTGCTGTAGGGGGCGGATGATATGTAAAAGCCGGTACGGTACCTTTCAAGCGGTGATCGGTATCAATCCTGGTGTCCCTGGTGTCCCAAGTAAGCGCTCCTATTGGCCACTGGACCAAAAATAAAAAAAGTTAGATCGAAGGTCGAAGCTGCAAGCAAGCAAGGAAGGTTAGGTAATCGGGCGGGATGCCGTTCGGTACAGTTTGCAGCGGTCGGGAAGCTTCAGCGTTGCAGCGTCGATAGTTAACCCGGTTGGCTTAGGTGAGTTCAAGGTAGGTCCAATATGTATATGGATGTACCTGTAGACACTAACAAGCTTAAAATCACCGAGGGAAAGAAGAAATTGACCTTTCCCTAGGTAAATCTTTAGCAAGTGCCGGAGTCCAAAAGAAATCTTTTGAAAAAGCTCCTTCCTCCCGGAATCCGAGGGTGCTTCGCGCCTTTTATCCTTTCTGTCCCGACTCTTTCCTGTTTGCTGTGTTCCCTTCATGCTCCACCTATGTGTTACTTGAGGTCTCAGGTATTGACGCTGATGACATGCAGTGGAGCTTTGGAGGTGGGGGTCACTTCTAGGTACCGTAAATCTCTTTTCTTATCTTACCTTTTTTTTTTCCTTTTTGCTGAGGAACCCTGTACAAGAAGGGTTTACAAAACGTCATTAAAGAATTTCAGATGGTTAAGAAATTACATTTCAGTCAAGATAAATATATACACCCATTGTAAATAACATACCTGTTCAACTTGAGAATATTATTAAAAAGACTTACAAGGAAGTCCTTGATTATAGAATCCGCCAAGCGGTAATGAAAAAAAGCCTCAAGCTTTTTTTATAAAATGTGTCCGGGATGCCGGTATAGGATGACCCGGTATTGCCCGAAAGATCTCGCTTTGTTTAACCTAACCGTCAAAAATTATCGCCAGTCTTGTCCTGATCGGGTAGTCCTCTACTACACAGTAGAAAAAAATTGTAAACGAGTTTAGACCAATTCTTAGATCAAGCCGTCCCACTTCTCTATCCACTTGTCTTGTGGGCTTCGAGTTGTAGTAGTCTTCTCTTAGTTACCATACCTACCTGAACAGTTGAAGGTACTTCTGTTCTTAAGAAACTTCCTAAAGAACACCTTCATGCCAGCTGTTGCACTGTGTCCCCCTAAGGTACCCAGCTGTTAACTAACAACCAAGCAACCAAGTAACCAAGTAACCGCCAACCCGGACGATTCTGTTCCTCTCGTTTCTTCCGAAGCTCTCCCTTCCTTTTCTTCCTTTTCCACTCACACACCAGTCAGCAAGCTCAATTTTTTTTCTCTCCTTCGAACGATTTGGACCAGCTCCTCCCTCCCATCTTCTTTTTATCAGTCATATTTGGTCTTTGCAACCAACACCTCTCCCCTCCATCTCACATCCACGTCTATCACAATGGCCTCCGCTCGCGTTGTCGCCTCCAGGCTCGCCTCCTCCATGGGCACCAAGGTCGCTCGACCTGCCATGCGAGCTCAATTGACCAGCGTTGCTGCTAAGCGAACCATCAGTATGTTTAAACTTTTAATTTAACTCATTGATACCTGAAGAAGTATCAAAAATATTATAATGCTATCAATTGATACTTCAATTGAGGCGTGAAAAAATTTTCGTTTGTTGTTTGTGCGCTTGCTAACATATATTAACCTCAGGCAATGCTACTCCCTTCCAGGCCGTCAAGCGCCAGCAAGCCTCCAAGATCCTGAGCGCCACTACCCGCCAGGTTTTCCAGCAGACTCCCCGCCGAGCTTACTCCTCTGAGATCGCCCAGGCTATGGTCGAGGTCTCCAAGAACTTGGGTATGGGTTCCGCCGCCATCGGTCTGACTGGTGCTGGTATCGGTATCGGTCTCGTCTTCGCTGCTCTCCTTAACGGTGTTGCCCGCAACCCCGCTCTCCGTGGCCAGCTCTTCTCTTACGCCATTCTGGGTTTCGCTTTCGTCGAAGCCATCGGTCTTTTCGATCTTATGGTTGCTCTCATGGCCAAGTTCGTACGTAATATCCGAAAAATCCCTCAACAAATTTTTTTTTTCGTCTTCAAGTAATACTAACATACGGGAAATAGACTTAAGCAACTTAACCTCCATACTTACGGAGGCTGGGATTCACACTACGGTCTGGAAAATGTGAATGAGCAAATTCGGAGTGAGGGGTACACCGCGATGGTTTCGTGCCTTCACCATGTTCAATAGGAGAACCAGCATTAGAGTAATTAGAGGTCCATAGACTCCCGTGGATAGTGGAAAAAACCTAGGGGAGGGTTTGCATTGCATTGAGGCATGTAAAGATGGGAGAAAACTAAGGCCACCTTTGGTTGGCGTCTGTAAAATACAAACACCATCTTCACCAACATCACTGAGGCTTTCCTTTTTGTTTTTATGTCTGATGACGAGAAACGAATTCGTGAATTGTCCCGAATGGACTAATCAAAAGAAATTCCACTCACCAATTTATCATGATATCTTGCCTATATCGTGATATGTCTGTAAGAAATACTCGTAGCAGAGCTCCTGGTCACTTGACCATCCCCACGATTTGTGATTTGCGCGGTTTTCCCGCTTAAGATCTGATCCACCGAGTTCGCTTGATTCCCTGGCCAGGGTCAAGACACGATTGTATCTGTATCTCGACTAGCTTCTGCACAACTTTGTACAGATTGTGCAACACATCCCGTTAAGCCGTACAATGGCCCACTTAGACGGTTTAGTTTGCCATCTTCTAGCTGTCTTCGCATCGATAAAACCCCCACCACGTCTCCCCTACCTCTCCCGAAGCCGCCAATCAGGAAGAGTAATTGGGAAACATGTGGACTCTCTGGCTGGGGAATTAAAAGGGAGCGGAGACGACTAGCCTTTCCTTGACTGGTCTGGGGGGGATGGCGAGAGTACTGTACGTTGCGGAGTAAAAGAGATAATTTAGCTGTTTGGACTAGCTTCTTCGGGCAGGTATAAGATAATGAGGTCAGATCGATGGCTTAATAGAAGCTTGATAGGCAGCTAGGTTCGTTAGGGTTAAGGTTAGAGTTCGACTTGAAGTTTCGTTGTCTTGATTGTGGACCGACCCGATGTGCTAACAGGGAAGGATGTCCTGATAATGATTTAAGGTACTGTGTATATGTATTAGTTGATCCCCGGTGTTGATGCTGACAGAAGCTTCCCCTGGTATCGTTTCCTTTTATAAAATATTTTTGAACTAATAACCGCCGTTGACTATTAGACATATTCGAAGATGTCTTCTTTGAATATGACGATTGTCCAAACATCATTTCAAGACAGGAACCGATAACTGGTCTGGTATCCTCGCCATCCTCCTTGCCGCAACGGATACCACGAATAGGTCAATGTGGCTCAAGGCTCATGGCTCATGACTCTGACGGGTTGACAACAAGAGGGATAACGTCGTTATATTATGCACCCATGACACAACGACAACGCGTAGTTGATGGACTCGGCTAGATACCATTAAGAGGAAACTTCAACGATGAAGACTATGTTATAATTCCTTGATAACAACTTCGAAGAAGCAGGCAACACTGATGGATCGTTGGTCGGGCACACTGGGCCTATAGCCTGCCACAAGCCAATCCAAGGAGAGCCAAGGAGAGTTGCCCTCGAGGCTTTCGGTTTACTCTCCTTACGGAGACAATCCAGGAATAATCTATAAAGATTGCTGAAATTTAGGGCTGAGCATCCGAATTGCTTAATTGCACCAGGGATTGGCCCGTAGGGGTTCAATTAGAAGCGACAGCGACTAGCGAGGCATTGACGCTGTGTGGTCGAATCAGCTACCGATGCTATTGGAGTGAACTCGTTACGTGATACAAGTTGATCTTGCCGTGGTCACTCCCCTTGATCTCCTTGAGTATCGAATATCAATATGAGGCTCCCACATGACCTATATTGGGTGGCATGCTGATTAAATTATGGGTTCTGCTCCGGTTGATGTCGCTCCTACTTGGGCTTGAAAATCAAGAATAAGAGGTCATAATATCGTCGTTATAGGCCTATTTATGATATGGGATTGGAGGATTTGGTGCCATGTTGCAATCGTGAATTATAGGAATGTCCGAATGGATTCGGCATCAAAACATTCTGTCTCGTGTTGAGCAGCGTCTCCACAACGTATCGGTCCGTGCCAACGCCTCAGCTTGGATATTTCGGTTCTACCCGAAGCCTTATTATACTCTTGAGGGATCCAAACGAAAAGCACCGAGAGTACCACTCGATTCTCAGCGGCGCTGAAAGATGTCAATGGCATATTTTCGCCTAGGATGTTGCTGTTTGGAAAAGCCAAGACCGTTTCGAGTTGCGTGTCATCCAGAGTCGATTGTTCGCTTTTATACGGATTGAGGAAACAATTTCGTGTGTAAGAGACAAGCAACAAATCAGAAAGAAAATACCGCGTTCTAATAAACTATCACGCAAGGGAATAATCCCCAGAGAAGACATTCTGGGCTTATAAGTTACGGGTACGAATGAGCGGTCGGCTCTAAGTGCTAAGAATTCACCCCTGACGGCGTCTTTTAACAATTTAGTGTTTTGGATACAAAAATGAAGGATAGTAGGAAGCAAAAGATGAAGTTAGCTTCTTGGGTGAAGTCAAAATAAGGATTACAAAGGGAATTTGGTTGTGGTCGACGCACCTCAGGCTTTCGAGTGGCATGTTTCTCTACTCCTTTTCCCCTCACGAATCACATGACAACCTTCCTCTTCAATGCAGACCAATACTACCCCAGACTTTTCCCCCAGACCAAAACCCCGGACTTTTATTACTTCCCCGCCTTTCTTATTCGTTCACGTCCTACACCGCTATGCCATATTTATCCATTGTCCGACGATCGAGGTAGGAGTCCATGGTACGAACTCGCAGACTCGTCAGCTCGTTATATATTATGCGTACATTAATAGCTAGTGATAAGCAGGCGGTGCAAGAAGAGTGCAGGCCAACCATAGTCGTCCACATTGTACACACTGCATTGACGATTACCAGTTGTTGCTCCGAAGGGTTCTGAGGACCGTGCTTGTTTGCGTTTCATTGCATCCGTTTCGTAACCTCGCGCTTTCACGAAACACGAAGTCAATCCTAGTAGCAACGTTGTCAACCGTATCACAATGTTCAATATCGAACGCAGCTCTTCGAGGTCAAAGACTTACTACATCGTCATTCGCCAAATCTAAGCGGTTCGTCATATTTAAGTCACGTTCAAGTAGAAACCAACGAAGTGGGATATCGAAATACATGGTGTATTATTAAATTAGGGGGTATGCAGGAAAATACCTCTGGAATATGGCTCACGATGACTACCTGCTATTTATCCATCCTCCTAACTATTTACTAGATCTAGATCTTAACTAATGCGGTCCATATGCTGCGAATTGTTTCATGCCGACATATTCTTAACCTCGAGCGACATAGTCGATGACGCCGTCCTAAACTCTCCCTAATATACATCGTCAGTTCAAGTACGCTTTTCGACTACGAGAAAGCTCCTTCTCCGTCTAACCTAGGATCGACCTACCTACTGAGCATTACCGGCCTAAAAAGCACTATGAGAGTGGCCACCACTGATCAGTGGGGTGACGAGGGTGAATAAAGTAATCACGGTCGGGAGGGAAGTTGGCCAGGTTCGGGAGATTCTCGTCAATTTCGCCTGGGACAGCCGTACCCCATCCCTCAGACTCATTACGAGATTCGCGTTCACTTTCCCATTCCTGGTTGCTTAGCCAGGTGTATCGCTCATCGTGGGAATCGTATCCCTCGTCGTAATACCCCGGAGACCCCACGGAATCGGAGTCCCAATAGTACCGGAAGTCCCAGTCGTACAGTTTGTTGTTCACCCTTTCGATCATGATCGGGAACCACCACCAAGAATACGTGTCCGCTGTGACTAGTTGGCTCATTTTAGGCCGTATTTCCCAGGACTCTTCCTGATAGTCGGCGTAGTAGGCATTTAGTTCACGCGTGTCGTAACTACGACCGTAATAAACGTCATCGTAGTCTATAGGGGATTCGATAGGTATGGTGATATTGTCGTGCTGTTGTGAAGGGGGTTGCTGGTATCCTTGGTCGGATTCCTCATCGTGATCTCGAGCAAGCTGACTCGAAACCTCTTCATCCATGTTGTCGACGTCGACGTCTTGAGGGTCACCCTCTTCGTCGCTGTTGCTCCACACAGGATGTAAGCCGTCCTCGAACCAGTTAATATCATAATAAAGAATCCTCGGCATGGTAAGTTTGACCTACGATGACGTCGTATATCGCGACTTTGACACTGGCGTCAGGGCGATCGGTCTGGATACCTGTGCTAAGGATTGCTCCAAAGTTCACAGATTGGATTATTATACGCCCCACAGGGAAGTGCTAATTCGGAGTAGTCAAAGCAAGGTATGGCGGGATTTGTAAATTATTTAAGAGGAAGAAGCCGAGGGGTTATTAGGGGGTTCTTGACTGAGTGGCGACGTGACGTGGAGGTAAGTCGGATCGTGAAATACGCACTTTGGTAGGTCAGTTATCTTCATCCGAATTCAGAAGTGTAGAGTCAGGCAAGTGTTACCTTAATACAGTTTATAAAAGCGTATTCAGAAGGATGACTATGTGATTTAGTCCGGAGAGGGATAAGTGTCGTCTCTTGAGCTGGGCTAAGAGTTACGTTGCGTTGGTCACTACCTACCTATACTTAATTGTATATTTATTGCGAGTAGTGAACAGTACAATTCGGAAATCTACCTACCTCTCTACTAAGATATAGTTGTTGGCGCGACAATGCCTAGTAACAAACAGTTTGTGATTCCTTAGGAAGCAATCGCCACGAACAATGCCTTTCAGGCCGCCCCTAATTTTACAGCCCCTGTACGTGTAAGGCGACTCAGGCTTCCTTTTACAAAGGATAAACAGTTGATACTACTCGTTGCTGAAAGCTGATTCCTTTGTGTAAAGTACCTAGGTAATTACTAGGTCGTGACCAATATCGAATGAACTCACTTTATCTATGGTGAAAAAAGAATCCTCCCTCTTCTGTCCTTAGACTTTTGCGACTTAGATCCATTTGAGAAAAAGCCGTTTTGATGCCTTTCTGAGGAATTCGTGAGTGTTATAGATTCCATAGCTACCTAGGTATCTATTTAGTAGTACCTAAGTAGTCTAACCGGTGCTGGCAGTCGTCTTCGATATGCTACACTTGAGAAAGGGGCACATTGACCCTAAATCAGGGAAAGGGGTTATTTGAGATCATGTAAACATAAGAAACTACTGTATAGCTAGATAGAAGGAGCACACATTGATAATACAGATTGCTTTAAAAAAAACTTTCTGGATAGGTAGTCATTAAACATGCTTCAATAGCCTTACATTATGCATCACCCACGAATCCAAGCCTGGTACCTTTTCTATACTCCCGAAAATGCCTAACACACATAGCGGTTCCATAATAGCCGAAAGTTATAAACCATTCCCACCTCTATTCTCTAAGAGACTCTAGCAAACGAATAAAACCACTGCTTTAAGCAACGCCGAGCTTCCAGAAAGTCTCAAGGTTAGAGTGCGTAGCCTCGTCCACGTACTCGTGTGGCGGGCGCAGCGTCACACTGTTGCCGTGGATCTCGGCTACGGCACCATTAATCTTGGGCTCCTCGATGAGCTGCGCGATGCCCTTGATGAGCGTCTCCTGTGGCGTGACGATCATTTCTTCGAATAAGGCTTTTGATGGAGCCAGACCACTTTCTATATTGCTTTGTTAGCCTAGTCAACGAGATTTTGATGATGCGTGTGTAGCTTTGAATCAGCCGAAAGGGGCTATGAGAGGTAAATATAAGAGGGAGGCTCTTACCGAGGACTGCGGGTGCTAATGCGTTGATGCGGATGTTGACGCGTTCGAGAACCCTTGCTAGGGATCGAACGAGCCCGATAACGCCGGCTTTTGAGGCAGCATACATGGGAGCTACGGGGAATGGGTATAGACCCGCATTTGAAGAAGTGCAGATGATAGTACCCCGTGATCCGGTTGTGGGATCTGGCTTGTTCTTCCTAATGTAGTGTGCTGCAAGTTTGACAGCTGCCGTACTAGTTAGTAAAAGTGTAGATTTTCGCACGAGGATCGATGAAACTCACTGTATATCACACCCGTTAGATTTACATCTAGCGTCCTGAGTCTTGGCTGCGACGGCTCTTCCTCGTCGACGAGCGTTAGACTGCTAGCACCCTGTTCCGAGATACCGGCGTTGGCCATGACGATATCGACGGCCCCGCGCTGCTGGTAGACCTCCCTAAACGCTGTGTCTAGGTCTGACCATGATGTGACGTCCACACGCTTGAAGCTGATGGATGATTGCGGATACTCTGATCCTATGTCGGTCACCACCTTATGGCCCAAGGCGGTGTTGACGTCGAGAATACTGACGGCATAACCCAGAGAAGCAAAGTACTTTGTCATCGTGGCTCCAAGCCCGCTCGAGCCGCCGGTCACGATGACACTTAGCGGTCGGGTTTGTGTTGAGTTGCCGTTCATTGTAGTTTTTGTAAGTGTAGGTTTGGTGTAAGCCAACTTTAATCAAGAAGTGTCGAGGAAACTTGTACGATGTTTCTCTAATACTTTGACTAGGTGTTTATGAGGATAGTATAAAGTATTTATATTGTCGAGACTAGTTAACGTCTTGTATATATAAGATGAAGTAAGGATATAAGTCAAGTAGTCGACGAAGGAAGCGGGGAATATATAGGTGCCAACTTCCGAGGCGCAAGAGAACCGCAGTACAGACTTTTTGAGTCTAATTGGATAAAGTCCGTACATCATTGCTTAACCAGAAATGTACCAAGCCTTCGTTGAATCCCGACTTGCTAAAATCGATGGAAAAACGTACAGTAGTGTTTTGCACCTCAGGGGGGATAGCCTGTGGATCAGGCTACTAAACTCGGCAGTTGGTCATCCTATGAGTGGGGTACGGCGTCAGGAGATTTCCGTTTTGAAGGATTTCGTATCGTGAGGTAAGAAACTAGGCGGCTTTTTAAAGCGAAGTTGACCTTTGGACTTAATAATAACAGTGATGCTACATAACTTGATACTTAAATAATCCGAAATCTTTCTTCTCTTCTGACCATCTTTTGAGTTTTATAAAATTTACCTCATACTGCGTGTTAACTTCTGTAAAATATCACAATGGATTAATGCAGAAACAACTCCGAACTCAGTTCAGCTGAGTTGCAGGCGAATTCCGACTATTTACTTCGTATAGTCGACGCAAGCTGTATATTAAATACATGTCGGATTGACTGGAGGAAAGAAGTCCTGGTTTACCAAGGGCCACAATTGAGACGATTTCGATATATGGAAGACTGAATAGGGAAATATGGATATCTTGATATAAACTATAGTTATGGTCACACTAAAACACCGTGGTTATCCTCTCGATCAAAAAGAGATGTTAGGAGTCTTGGGTATCCTTCTTAGGAACTGTTATTTGGTTAGCCTACCAACAGAACTGGAACAGCGAATATGGTGTCTGGTCGGTTCTTGGCGGAACGTGCCCAGGCCGGTGCTTACCTTGATTCTTCTCCCACTGCTTCGGCATTCCCTTATAGTGCGTGGGCAAATGTCTTGTCGGTCTCGACTGCGAAGTGGAGCTGGAATCGGACGTGGCGGCATTCTCCGTCTTGTTGTCGCCGGAGTCCGTTTGGGTTGTATTCTCCGATCCTGGGTCCACCTTCTTGGTGTCCTCTCCGGAAATGACTACGGTCTTGTCTTGTGACTTATTATCGGCCATTTTCTATAAGTTGGGAGGTGGATGTACGAAATAGACAGATGATTATTGTAAGTTGATGAAGGTGTAATGGGATGTTCTGAGTAAAAAGAAAAGTAGTGGCCTAATTGTCGGTCGGTCCCCGATAAGAATAACATCCGAATCGAATAATCAGGTGATTGATCGGCCACTATAATTCGTAATGCGGAGGTGACGTCAATGGTGTATCAGGTATCTAATGTACCTCCGACCTATATGTGAGGTACCTAATACATATAACTACATCTACAAACCTCAACCTTCTCAACTTCATCCTACAAACACAGACCCTTAAATTTTCTTGCTTCAAGTCAACTTTTCTCTTGTGTATGTTTATGCAACTAAGTAAATGTCTCAGTTAATTTTAATTAACAATTAAGTCTTTGTCAAACGATGAATAAGTCTTACCAGGATATCTTGCCATGTAGGTACGTTACACAGCATAACATATCGCTTAATTTAACGAATCGTAATTTGAAACTATCGCCATCTCTTTTGCTTTTTACAGCAAAGGGCTTTTTTTTAAGTAGGGTTCTTCAAATTGCCCCTAGCAGTTAGGAAGCACCCCCGAATTTAAGAGGGTGCACAAACCAGCAATACCTGGAATCTTGAGACCCCTCTAAAAATATCACTTCAGCGCGTTTTAAATCTTTGAATTGCTCGTGTTTGCCATATGCTTGTTCGTGTTATACTTCTTTATAAAATATATGTAGTATATAGAGCCCCTTGATGTTTCGACGGCTTTGGCTGGGGCTACGTAGCCCAGTCACCACCAACATCTCTACAAGATGGCCACATCCGCGATCTCCAACCTCCCTTTTCACGCCGAGGACAGCCTATCGACAATATGGCTCAAGAACTCGCCAGTCACAGTTTAAAACCTTGCATGCAGGGATATACGGCACTATATTTCTATCGATTGGCTTGCTGGTGACAGATACATCCTTGGACCTTAAAGAAAGGGTAGATCTCGCTATCCAGATCGTCAGTCATATATGTCGTGCGCCGGACGAAGCTACTATGATCCAACGCTACTGGAATATAGGTCGCTCACTTCTTGAGAAGTACTCAGAGGCCGATGTAGAAGACCATGGTCATATAAGACTGGGCCAGTGGAGGGATGATGAACTTGAAGCCCGATTGATGGTCACGTCTGATCCTGACGTTTCGGGGGGGTCCTTCGTCCTTTGTCAAGCTGTGCTCTTTGAAGGAAAAAATCCGAAGAATATATCGTCTAGAACGAAAAACAACTGCTGTCTGCTATAGAAGCCTTCGCGCAGCATCGCGGCGGGCTAGTGCGTGGTGTGCTGTTGTTCATGGATATGAATACTGGGTGGGTGAACATCTACTTCGATGGGAAGAGGTGGTTTAACGTTGTGTACTTGCAGTCTATGACGACGCGGGATATATAAGTGATGGTAGGAATTGTTGCTTCATCATGTCTTGCCTAACTTATTGACTTCGCGGTATAATGACATTGTATTTCACAGGGGCGTCATGTATACAAACAGTAGGTAAAATGAAAAAAAGGGGTTAGTTATAATATGCTACTTATCTACCTTAGGTAGTTATTTCTATGATAGCTATATGATTTTACTATATTAGGCCGTAATAACTAGGCGTAACTAATTAAAACAGCCGCACACGTCGCAAGGACGATTGTTCATAAGGTTCTCGTACCGTAGCTTGCTGCCGCAAGCGTAGCATTCTGGTCCTGATTGCAAAGCCTCCATGCCTTTCGATCTTTTTCTTGATCCATTTGCCATACGTTCATCCTTCCCCGGATTGACCTTCCACTTCTTGCCTTCCTCATACCAAAATTCCTCTAGAGTACACGTCCCGTCGCCGTTAGCATCCCGAGTGTTCCTTCTTACCTTGCGCGTTTTAGAACCTATCCCTTGCTCGTCTTCCTCTTTCAGAAGAATATCCGAGGTTGATGGGTCCTGCGGTGGGTTAGAAGGGTTGCTGGACGCTGGCATAGCAGGCATGGTGAACTCACGCGGCGTTGGGGGATACAGAGCATCCATGCCGGGGACGTGTTCTACCTCCAGCGGTGTCACGAACGCAGGAAGATTCAATTTCTGTGCGGAAGATGCATTGTAGGCTGATCGTTCGTCATCGTTAATTGATTGTCCACCGTCAGTCGACCGTAAATAATCTGAAATCAATTCCATCTCGATATTCCTATCAAAATTCTCCGAGGTTGACATCTTGAATCGTAAGATCTGGTTTAATACTTTCCTAGAAACTTTACTAACCTACCTCAGATGAATGGCCTTTTCGAGATTATTAGATGTGAAAATGGTTGCAATCTTGGAACTTGGATAGTTGATGATCGATGATCGAGGGAAGATCGTCTAAAATACACAATAGCATCCTCTGAGCTAGATACATTCTGCCTTTGTCTAAATAGACGACTGATTCATAACACTTAGAATTGTACAATGAACAATTCTCTAAACAATTTTATTGTCAAAAGCGTTATGATAAGCCAATATGATTGTTCGTATGTTATGTTGTCGGGTAAACAGTTTCTTTCTTCTATTGCTTCCAGTATGCCAGTAAATAGCTACCTAATTTTAGTAACCGAAATCGTTGTATGGGCTGTTATCTTTCTGGATAAATTAAGTACTAATTTAGATTGGGTACATCCCGGACCCTTTCATTGGGTGAGGGGATGTATTTTAATAGTAATACATATTCTATACACTATATCTTACCATATACGTCATTAGTTGTTACTATTAAATACGATGATAGTGCTTGGGAACACGTTAACGTTTTGCGAATAGTCCGCGAGCTTGGTAGTATCCCTATACACCATCCCATAAGCACCGACGGTATTCAGGCCGTAAATCCAGAATCCCTTGGTATTTGCCGAGTCGTACTGAACAATTCCGGTCTGGCATAGCGAGCTAGCACCTTTAGCAGAGCAGGCTGTGTTAAAGTTGTTAAAGAACGAATATAAGCTGCGGTACGTTAGCTAATTGCAACGACCAAGTTGGAGTTACATGTCGCGAGGTTGAAGAATTTGACTCACCCAGCACCATATACGAGAACGCTCTTGCTGGCGCTAACACGAAGCCCCCATGATTCGGAGCAGGTGCTTGGCGATGAGCCTTGAGGGCATAGGATATCGAAGTTCGGGTCGTCGATGGTCAAGTTCAGGGGGAACGGCTGTCGCGCACCTGGATTGGGTTGGTAGTATGGTGTTTCGCTTTGGATTTGACCGGCGAAAATGTTCTGCGTTTTGCTGAACTGGTACTGGTATCGCACGTGGTGCTCGATGCTGGTGCCCACAAGCCAGATTGTTCCAACCGTTGACTCGACCAGCAGGCCTCGACCAGCATATACTTTAATCTGCGTTAATGCGCTGTTGTCTACATCGTGGTCTGCAACCCATAACCATACGTTCTCGGCATAGATTCCTGCGGCTGATTTTGATATGTGCATAGACATATAGCCTGAGACGCATTGGCTATTGACGGTTGTGGATGATGGTGTCGACGGGCAATTGGCCAAAGAGAGATTGGAGCCTGTGGTACCTCCGATTCGGGTGTGGACATCCCACATTCCGCTTGGCGAGCCGGCTGGCGATGCGATATTCCACCGGATGAGAATTGCACCAGCTTGAGCGCCCTGTGTAGACACGATCATATCACTCCACTCTACTGTCCCGGTGTCGCCAGCGTTACCAATCTGTACTACAACTTGTGGCGAGTTGACATTACTAAAATAGGACCCGCTGGACATAATGACGGGGTAGCCTTCGCCAACGATTTTACTGCCGGCTGGAATAAGTAACGTCTTAGTTACTTTGTAAGTCCCGGCATCGAAGTAAACGACACGACCGGCACTGGCAGCCGCGGTTATAACACGCTGTAGAGCTGCAGTATCGTCGGTCGTACCATCGCCCTTAGCGCCACCGGTTCGGACGGAGGAGAATGATGACGAGGCGAGATTGGCATATGATGGTTTCGACCGCTCATAGAATTTACCATTGCTCACGAGAGTAGCTGGGCGGGTAGGAGGAGTGATAGAACCAGCTGTAGTCTTAGGGCCGGTGGGATTATACACATTGCCGCTCACCCAACTGGCGATTGTCGTCGACCCTGTGGTGCCCGCAAGTAGGGTGCTTTTGGTTGGGCCGTATTGGATAGCGGTCGGTACATTTTTTAGGGAGACATTCTCAATTGCAAGACTGCCACCTGTTGTCGGCTGGGACTTTGCGGATCGCGAGATATTGAATGCGATTTTCGTGTTCGTAAACGAGCTGTCAAAGAAGGTGACAGATCCTACAGTTTCGCCGCTCGTGTCGCGGGTGGCCATATCAAGGCCAACCGTACAGTTATCTACATCATGTTAGCCCTATGTATTCACATGATAGGTACCTTAGGTAAGAAACGAAAATGAAATGCCATTCTTGTTCAGTATGCTGCTTTGCAAAGGCCTGCGGCGGACGTAGGTCCAACAAGGGCTTGGCCAGGAGGTACTCACTGTTTTTCTATTAGCAGATGTAAAAACAAATGAGTGAAATTTAAAGAGGAAAAGGGGTCATTCGATTGGTACGTACCTGACAGATATGCTCTTATAAGTCCAACCCCAATCCCAGAGTTGGTAGATAGCGGTAACTGCGTTGTTAAATGTGAGGTTTCGTACGGTGAACTGTTGGTTTCCAAATACGGCTCCATACAAACCGCCGTTAAACACAAGATCGTTTAAGATACCTCCAGAGCCCGACTCGATAAAGACTCCTTGGTGCTTGGTACCCGCATTGCTAGACATCTTGAATACGATATTCTGTAAACTGGTCGCCTGCGCCGTAGGCCAATGGACCCCCGTCGCCTCAGTTGCTGCTGGAATAGCCGTCAGGTCAATGACGAAGTTTCTAACCTGACGCCAGAATATATTTGTCGCTCCGTAAGGTAAAGCTCCGCCGTCCTGGTACTTAGCACCGTCTATGACACCGAATCCAGAAAACCCGGACGTCGCTTTCAAAATAGGCATATTGTTCGGGTCGCCGATAATATTTGTTGCATAATAGCTAACGATCGAAGAAGAAACTACATAGGTTCCTGCAGGCACGTAGACAACAGCATTGGTTGTGCTGGACGAAGAGCATGATCCTGGAGCGCACCTATTGCCATCGCTGATCGCCCTATTGATAGCGGCTGTATCGTCGGTTTTGCCGTCTCTGTTCTTCCTATTAGTACTTCACTACTTCACTTAAAGAGGTAAGCTGCCCATACCCTTTGGCGCCATAGTCCTTAACGTTGCGGTAGACTTTGTAGGTTGCCCGGTTCGAGTTGAAGGCTGATATGCCTTGATGAGAGATCGTCTCGTACCAGTAAGTGCTGGTGGCTCGCTCTTCGATTTTCTTTACTTCGGAGCCCGAACCGATCGGTGAGACATCGCTGACTACGGCCGAACCATATTCGCCTGTATACCCACCGAATTCTGCTAGCTGCGCGTTCACTGCACTTTGTACCTCTGGGATAACTAGCTTCTCTCCTAGAATAGCCGGTAGGAATAGAATGGCTGCCAAGAAACGCATATTGAATTGGACAGCGCTATCTAACACTGAAGGCCAAAGGATATGTAATAACGAAACGCATCACTTACAAAAAAGACTGAATAGATGCAAGCTGGGCATGACAAGTATTAGTAGGTAGCTGACCACCTTAGTGCTTAACACTCAACCGAGGCCAAATGGAAGAAGTCATGATTAGTAGCTTAGGAAAGCTTGAGAAAGCTTAGAAAATGAGAGCGATCGAGACCAGGGAAAGGGTCGATAGGTGAGGCTGGAATGTATCGCGGCCGCGCATCATTCTTGCCGAAAATGTCTTAGAGTTCGCTTCAGCTGAGACTGAGTCGACCAACTTGATCTAAAAGAGCTAGACATGCTGAATAGCGGCGTTGAATCAAGACTAAGTAACGACTTTAGTTTTGCTTAGAGCTGTAAACTTGATGAAACTAAGACGGCCTAGACCCTTGAAGCTCAAGGTCGATTTCTCCAGATTGTAATCAGCCGCATACTTTTTTAACTTGGGTTTTGATGATCTTGGTGTGTATTCTTTATGAATACCGAAGGTACTGGCTGGGATTACCTTGTAACCACTCGGCTACTTTAAGTGCAGTTAATGTGGTTGAGTTTAACAAGATCTTTCTAATACGGCCGGTAGCGATTGACTAGTCTTCTGATATATATCTGTATAGGTTCTCATGTGTTTAAAATTGAAGCGCTAAGCTGACGAAAGGTTGATGCACTGAGAGTACTGGGCTCTTCCAATCAGGTATTCGTCAACTTTGCACGTTAGGAGGTCAGTCGACTATAAGAGAGATCGCGTTTATCTTTGGAGATATGATGCGATAAGAACGCGTATAATCACCCTTATAGGGGTTATCTAATATTAGATTAAATTCCTTCTTGTTGGATTTTAAACCTCGAATGTTTGTTCTAAGGATTTCGAGCTACTTGCACTCTACTGATCCTTTTCGCATCTGTTTATTGTCTTGGCATTGCGTGCTGCAAGAATGCGAACACCGAATTAAACTATCGCCAAGTTGTCATCTGAAGTCGCGTCAATAAAAGGTCTTTGCTATTCCAGTCAATCGAGATTCCTGATTGATAGCGAAAAGATTCATATCTTTTTAGTTGAAAATGTTTGAAAATAACAAGAATTAAATGATTCTAGTTATGCACCAAATAACTTAAAGAGTCAGGTACCGGTAGATTTTCGGGGCTGACATGCTATGAGGTACACTGTTACTTGTTACTGTGCACGGTTAGGTGAGGTACGTGAGGTACGATAAGATGTGTGTAACTCGAACCGCCTCCCTTTCTCCAAAATCCTTATTTGACCAATGTTACTTCACATGTATTTTTAGAGTAGTAAGCTGAGGTACCAATTTTATTAACTTTCGTTCTGTAACCAACAGCTCTTCACCGTTTATTCTTCTTTTTTTCAGTAGACTGCTTACCTACCCTAGATATAGTGGTCTAGTCGCCATAATCCATAATCGGAAAACCAGGTACCATCTATTATACTTATATTGGTATAGATCGACAATAAAACCAGCAGTATAAATATACTACGAGGTATTCTTGTGAATGCCAATATTTCATCTTATTGGTCAGGATCTATGTTTGTGGCTGAGACATCATGAAGTCGCTTTTAACACAACTGCGGCACTCGGGAAGCACGCGTACATCGTCTTCAAGCTCGAGAAATATGAAGCTCGATATCGTTAGTCGTCTTCCCTTTGAGATGCACGCTTTGATTATTGTCTATCTCGAGCCAAAAGACATAGACGCCGGTCTCAGTGCATGCCGTTATTGGCGTAGTGTTTGGCTGAGCGACGAAATATGGCCTAAACTTGCTCAACGGTGGTTCCCAGGCTTGGAGAATCACATCCGAAGTTCAGCTACAGATGATCAAGATTTGGGCGAGATGTTCAGACGCATTTTACATAAAATTCAGAGGAGAGTGAGTGGCAGATTCGCCTCCGCCTTGCATCATGAGATGTGTCTGGGCTCCGACCGGTTCTTCACCCTAAGCAAAGACGTCCCCGAGCTGGAAGGAGGTATACATTGTTACGAGAATGTCGATGATTTGGAATTTGATCCTGGGACTTATTTCCCACGTTTTATGATGTACAATAATGGCCGAATAGCGTGGTGGCCCGAAGCGTATGTCCTCCCTTACTTCGCCGTTGTGGATGATTTACGCACGAGAAAGAGACGGGCATACTTATTTCCGAATCACCGAGGAGAGAAGCAGGGTTTCAAGACAGCTATGAGTGGTAAACTACTTCTCATGGGGCGCGGAAAGACTCTACATGCATGGCATCTCGAACTGGATAGACTCCACTCTACTAGAGTCCCAGAGGAGTTCGTTCGATGTATCGCGGAAGGAGAAACTGTTCTTATCGTTACTAAGAATGCAGAACTCTTTATTTGGAGATTTGATCGAGAACCAGAACATATTGATGTAACTGGCTGCTACATTAAGGGGCCCCTTGGTACATCTCATATATACGACTTTACTCCCGGACAGCTTGTCTCTTCTCATAATGCCGGATCACGCCTCGTTCAAAGCGGAATGCTTCTAGATTTTATTATTTCTCCAACAGAGGATAATATCTTCTTTGTCATTACCCTTACCCCTGCTCCCGAGAAGCAGCTCCGAGTACACGAAATTCGCGACGGCGTACTTATAGAGACTTATTATTTAGACCGAAATACTTGTCCCGAGTCTACCATGGAGTCCCTTGATTTTACGAACCTCCGTTGGGAAAAGGTAGATTCTTACGGCGGATATTGCCTAATGCAGGCTATATTTCCGGCTACTCAGAATTTAGATACAACCACGCACGAGCCCGCGTGTTATCCTATGGGCGACAGCCTTATATCAGTGTGTTTTAATATTTATACGAAGTCTTTCTCAATTCCCCATTATCATCATAGCAGCCATAGGAGTGCCTGCCAAATCTGGAACGGTCGAATAGCCGTAACCGACACGGATAACGCACGAGGTCCTATCTTATCACTTCCACCCTGTCGCGGCGCTGCGCATCCTTGCGACAAGTCACATATTCCTCCCATCTATTCAACAATACCCAGTGGAAGGGGTGGTCTGTATCGGAGACGGCGAGTATGTTCTGAGAAGCATGGTTTTGAATCCCTCGGTGCAGACTTCGCACTTGATTCCAACCAACAATACGGCAGGGGTCCCGTCGATAGCACTCCCGCTATCTCCCCACTGCTTCCCGGCGTTAAGAGACTAGTAGGCGATGATGACTTCTTGGTTCTAATAATCAGACAGTCATATACTGCTTGGAGTTTCGGAAATGAAATATCTGGAAAGACTTCAGAACGCGGGCGGAAGTTATGGCGCAATCTAATCCATTGAATGCCTCTATCGCTACCAAGTAATATAGGTGCTATAACATGAAATTTTACTGCAATAACTATACCGAACCCCCCAACCTTAGAATTTGAAACAAGAAAATTGAAAATCGTTATGTGACAAATGAAATATTTCGTAAGGTAATATCGCAAGGACGTGCGTGAGCTAATCGCCGAATAAATCCTCAGACCCAACTCCATCGCTGTATCTCCTTAGGCCCAAACCCCTAAAAACAACTTCTTTATCCGGGCCTTCTCATTTAAAACTCGATAGTTGCAACCTAACCAGACTTTTTGTCTAGAATTGGTTCGAGGAGAGTTTCGAACAGCTAGAAGGTCATGCGGTTAGCCTCTTTTGATAGACTCAGGGGGGAATATTAGTGGGGATTCTTACCCAAGCCTCGAGATCCTTCTCGTTCTTCCTGAGCTCTCGGAACTTCGAGTCAAGTTGTTCTGATAATTTGAATTAGTAGATAATCACCATGTTATTGGCATGTACAACTCACGTGCTGTAATGTACACGTTCTCTAGATTCTCTTCCTTCAAGCTTTGCAGGAATTCTTTAGAGTTCTTGTCGCTACCAATCTGACTGATTTGGAAGACCACAGCTTCGAAGCAGGTCAGTAAGGAGTCTATGAATATGGGAGTTACGAATAACTTACTTCGCGATGGAAGGCCGTTCTCAAGCAGGTACTCCTGACATTTCTTGATTTCGTCCCGGAGCGTGTTTCGCGTCTCGGGTGATCTGCCTCCACCGTATGGGATTCCGTCGGTGATGATTGAAATGAAGAGCGGCCGCCTTAGGCTCTTAACGTTCTCGTTGTACTGGGAATATAAGAGAGGTTGAAGGATCCGGTTGCGGAGCTGAGTTCCGATCTCCGTGCATCCTAAAGGTCTGACTTGCTTCATAATGTTCTGGATTTCATCCATCCTCAGGTTGTCAATATTCTCCGGCTCGTTGTTTATGAACCGAAGGTGGACACCAAGCTCATCGGGTACTATCCTAGTGCATATAGAGGCAACTCGATTCACTAGATCCCGCTGATCCCCCATACGGTTTTCCCCGTCATTGTTGCCCATCGGGTCCATGGACCCACTGTCGTCTGTAAATATTGTTAGCTCGTAACCATGGCTAACTCGTAGGGCTCATGTTCATACCGCAGTAAATGACAGGCTGGTAAAGAGCGAGCTTAATGAGGTTATCGCTATTCTCCGGTTGGCCCAAGACTGAGGTATCATCCCCTTGCAGCTCAACAGCCTTGGCGGCAATACCCTCTAGTAGTTGTTGGCTATCCTCCCTGAAGAACTTTCCCAACTTGTGCTTAGCTACGAAATCGCTAATGTTCTTCTCGAAATCTTCCTTGGTCTTGGGAGGTGATAGCCCCTATAAGAGAAAATTAGGTTGTGAACGGGGCAAAATAGGGGTTCATAGATTGTCTGTGTTGTCGTACCTTGCCCACTGTATCTACCATTGACCTTTCCATACGGCCACTGATTGGATACCTCTGCAAGACGCTTCGAGCTGCAAGAGCTGCAGTGTGGACCCAGCTGAAGATGTATAGTATGACGGCGAGTATAAGGCTAACGATAGTTTCGAGAACATTGACTCCCTGCTTGGAGGGTTCCATGATATCATTGATCTCGGGTATTCCTAGACTGGCTGCTAAGGTTATAACGTTATCTGTCTTGCCGCCATTCTGGACCAGAAGCTGAATCACTTCACGATCCTTCTGCTGCTTGAGCTCGTTCTCGAGTGGTGTCGAGCCGTTTTGGAGAGTCGGGAGAGAGTATTTAGGGTCTGCCCCATATCTTAGCAAAAGCTGAACTATCTCGGCTCGGTTGTCACCCTGTCCCCGCGCAGTCACAATCCACAACGGTGAACGGAGCTGCGATGAGAGAGCATCCACCGCGGCCCCTTTCTCAAGGAGGAGCCTGACAGTATCAGCGTGTCCATTTCGCGCGGCCAATGCAAGGGGTGTTAGACCGATGGTACCATTCCCATTCTCAGTGCTGGGTTCGTTGATTTTGCAAGTATTTAAGTAGTTATTTAGCGTTGCATGCGTGAGGACGCCAGCTGCAGCATCATTATGAAGAGACATTTTGGAGAAAGTCGTATATAATTGATTGGAAAACTTGAAGATAGAAATTTTATTTTGCTCCTGAGGCCATATTATAATGCTGAATAGCAGCCATATAAATATACATCGCGATTCTTGAGCCGCAAGCCGACTAAGTCGTGAAATTCTCGATTCCTGCCTTTCTTACCTCTCTTGCCTTCATTTTGAGCCTCATTTTCCAGACACTATGAGTTCCAATATCCAACTAAGCATCTGGTAAAACTCTGATACATTAGTCGACACCTATAAAACTGCTATATGTCAATCATTGATCCCATTGTGGCTGCAGGCTACCAGGTGAGACGGTGATGTAACCCACGCCTTAGCATTGGGCGTTGATCTCGGTGTATGGAGGACTGATTACTGAGTCGACAGATGCCGATAAAAAAGCCCCCATACAGATTTCCTTTGTTGTACACGTGGTTGTCATTTTGTCGTCTCTTGGAGTATTTGCAGCTAGACGTCACATTGACCCAAATGGTTGATATCTCGTCTCGCGGGGGGACTCTCCTTGCGTAGGAGTCAGCAAACATAGGCTATTCGGGCTGAATGGAGCCCTGTGAGCCTAATGAAAAAAAATATATGCCCAACGACGCCCACGTAGCCAATGCTAGTTTTTAGAACCCTATACACGATAGCTCACTTTCAAATCCCGACTTAGCCGGCGACCAACACTTTCTACGCATTTCTATTCATTGCGTACGAAATTCTTGTCCGTAAACAATTCCTACCCAAAGAAGTCTCCCAAAGAGCCTCAGTATATCATTTGTAATACGTGCGTTACATGTGTCGTACGTTCAGCTTCACGATCTTCCCTAAAAGGGAACAGTGGGGGTATTTTTCAGCTGGCTACTTCGCCAATTAAGAATGTTGGTATGTAAATAGACATACCCCCACGCGAACGTCATTATCTTAATAGGGTAATATTCTTTTAAGAAACCACGAGGCTCAATTTGGAGACTGGGTGGTGAATCTAGTTATAAATGCGAGGACATTACTGTAGTAGCGATAAGTGTATTGAGACAAGATAGTGTAGACCCAACATTAGTTCCACAATCTTAATCATGAGTGTCCAAGAACTTGCTCGTTCCCTTGTTTCCGCTGGTTCAATCAAGCTTCCAGGTGATGAAGGTGAAGGGATTTATGTCCTAAGTGTGAGAGACGGAGACCTCGTCGAAAAGTACTGGGTGGGCGAGTCGGTAGAAGACGAGAATGTCATTGCTTCAGGCGTAAGAAATGATACTTCGGCCTCATATCTGCCCAGCTCTGAGCAAATGCCTGTACGTTGGGCCTCGCCCCCACGCAGAACCGTTGGTAGCCTTGCTGACCCAATACTGTATGTCTGCAGCGCCTTGTTATTTTTATCGACCAGGAGAATTCCGTGAGATGCTATGCATACGAAGAGGATATGGAAGAGTGGGAAGAGACACCACTTGGTGACAAATGGAACATTACGACCAGCCCAAAGAGTAAGCTCAGTGCAATCATGGGCCCAGAGGGAGAGATGGTAGTCTCTTACCAGGACGAAACCGACCATCTAGCCGTCATAATGAGTGCGGGTGAGAATGAGTGGACTTCCTTCGGACCCCTTGAGGGTGATCCCATCGTGGGAACGCCGCAGTGTCTTGAGATTATCAACAATAAGCTTCATCTCTTCTACGTGGAGAAGGGATCTGGGATCGGTTACCTCGTTTTCAACTCTAGTACTGGTAGCTGGAAAGGTGAGACCTCGAAATGAAACCCTTGATATCCTGTTGTTGAAGTACATTTGCTAACCAGGGGGATATCCCGTTCCATATACTAGCCAGCGTGCTTGAAAACACCAAGTTCAATACTGTTATCGATAATTTTATCGTTGCCGAAGACCCCGAAACTAGTTCTCTTCAGAGCTACTTCCTTACTGATGGCTCCTTGTGGAATGTCAGTGGAGGGAAAGAAAAGACATTCTTGGGCGAGGTGAATGATGATGGTAAGCTTGTTCCTTCAGGCAGGGCGCAGGCTGGATGGAGGGTTAAATGGAAAGGGGCTCGGAAAGTAAAGGTTTATAAGAGAAAGATTGTTATTTGGTATTGATATTGTGGAGTGAGAATAAATGTTTACGGGATCTGTAGCAGTCGGCCTCCTGGTGTAGGCCTAGATACTGAAATGATAACGAATTACCCCATAGCCCCGATCAGCTACCTAGATTACTGTAATTAATATTATCAAGCTAACAGAGGTGTATAAATTCTATTGGTGTAATGGAATTGTACTATGCAAGTTGGTGTACCTGAACGCATGCAGTGTCAGTTGGGTCGTTGGGAGACGGTAGGACGCCACGAAATTAGACATAAGCAGAGTTAAATCGCATATGTAAAAATGAAGCCCAACGCACCCTTTATTAAGTTGGTATTTCACCTTGATGTTCAGACGATACTACCTATGTAATTGTGCCTACAGATTTCTAATATCAATATCGAATCTAATACTATTTTAACTACGAAAAAGCCGAGATTTTGAAATATACGTAGCTATGGGAAACGATAAACAGCAAGACTTCACAGATTTCGATCTGGAAAACTTCCAGGTCCCCGTACAATACTGGCATCCTACTCAACAGAGAGATGACACATGTATGGCCGAGCGTTTTGGAACAGACTTGTCCACACCAGCACGCCGGTGGGAAAATTGGGTAGTTAAACTGACCTTTGAGAAGCTTGGTAGTGAGTGAATACCTGATGTTGTAAATTCCTTGAGATATGTAAGAGCTGACGCAAACATTCGGTATTAATTGGTAAAGGTGAAAAACATGGCAATGGTTTCTATGTCAATGTTCCTAACGCCGCCTACGATGTAATCCTTACAGCTGGACACAACCTCGTTGACAAACCAGAACACTACTGCTCTAATATTAAGATTGTTCAAGACCCTTCTGAAGAAAAGGATATTGATGTAAAACCAGAAATGATTCGTGTTTGCCGAAAGTACTTTGAGGATCCAGATGAGCTAAAGGAGATCTACGATTACGGGGCTATCCTCCTAAGACGACCCTCACCCAAGCGACATCGCGGCTTTGGATTTCATCTTATGCTGGGCCTTCCACCACAACTAGGAAAAGGCGCAGCTTATACCGAAGACGAAGACAAGGACATTCTCCGGGGTGAAAAGGTGAATGTCTGCGGATATACACCCGAGGACTCACCACCTGATAAATCAAATCCTAATAACTCGCCACGGAAATCGGAGGGCAGATGTATTGGAACAAACTTACACCAACTTCGTTACGATGCTGATACTAAACCGGGAATGAGCGGTGGACCTGTCTGGGTGGGATTTCGTGGGGTTGAAACAATTGTAGCGATTCAGTAAGTTTACTACCACTGTTAAAATTCTTCCTTTTTTCACGACTTATTATTTACTTCCTCCTCGATGGTATTACATCTATCTAAACTATTAGGCGTTGTTTTGTTACGTCTATAGCCCTTAACAACGTAGATACTAACATACACTAAGCACTTACGGAGAAGCGAAGGACACCGCAGGTAATAGGGGAACACGCATGAATCCGGTACGTGTAAAAATACTCTGTCGTTGCTTTCAACCTCCCTATTATAGAATGACACCTACACTACCTCCTTTGGGTACACAGTGACTGACGTTTAATAGTAAGTGATAACCTTATCATTTTGACTTAAAAGGAACAGGAAAGATCCTATAACTATAGGATTGTAAAGCTGATACAGAATGATTTATATATCAGAAATATCTGGTGCGACATATTTAAATGGGTTAACGTTGGTTGGCATGGAAAGTCACTTCATTGCTGTAACCCTTCAACCTACAATATGCACCTTCACTTGGCACAGGAAAATACTACCGGCCCTGACGAGGCTCGAGTCCGGGTAGGCAAGCCTGGCAAAGTGGAAACATTATTTGATATTGTACCTGTAGCCGCAAAACCAACTGTCAAAGATTCAAGTGCTGGCTACGGATTTCTTCTGAGGCCTACTGGCCTCAACATTAAGGATACCTGGCCTGCCAGCGTTACATCTCCATGGGTGAGATGGGATCCTAAGAAGAACAAAGTCTCGCGTTCGAACCGCTTTAATGCACAGTGCGAAGTCAAGATCCCTGGGCTGATTAAAAACACAGAGAAGTCCTTTGAGATACGAACACAGGAGGGAAATGATTGGAAGCAAGTACAGATGGAAATGAAATTTCTCGACGAGGGAGACCTCGAGCTGTTAGAAGAAAACCCCCAGAGTTTCGAGGATACGTCGGAAATTTCATTCGGGCCAATTGCCAAGAACAAGAACAAGGTTAGCTACCTCTTAACCCCTTAGCCCCCTTTCCTAGTTGAAGGGAAAAAGTAAATATGATCTAACAGCATCTATAGCTATTCCGATTCAAATGAGCGTAGTAAGGTTTTGGTTACAGCTATCCAAGTAATTGGCATGTTGAAATTGGACTTCGATGGTCAGCTAGGAATGAAATAGATCTTGCGCTTGGGTTATAAGCAGCGTATTTGTCTAAGGAGTTATATTACCGCCTATCTAAATTATATTCGTATATCCTCTTGAAGAGTTATTTAATTGTTTACTATCGCTAAGGTTAGAACACTGTGAAATACACATTGTGTGTCTGGGTATATTTTCTACGCCTAGGCTTATACGAATAAATATTAGCTTAAGCAAGTTACTGCATATGCAAGTACTCATTTCTTTGCTCATTGACTGGCTGCGTATGTATTACTACCTAAAATCCAACAAGGCTGGGAGGTATCTAGGTAAGGGTACCTAAGTTACATGCAGTCATGCAGGCTATGATTTCGGCGAGACAAAATAGGTAGGCATCGCGAGAATTCCTAGGCTCAGCGCCCCGCTATTCTATCACGCTTACATATAAAAGACACAGCAGGGTTGGCAAAGATCACAGGTGAAAATCCATCATCTACAATATCATAACTATATCATAATCATATCTTAGCAGATATTAAACCTCAAGATTTCTTGGTTGAAAATGCCCGAAGCGCGACCTTTAGATCCATTCCGTTCGGAACGTCTTGTATACCGTGCTGTTAACGACCAACCGCAAGATATAGCCTTCATCCACTCAATTCAGCGGGATGCAGAGGCTCAATCCGGCTCTAGCTACGCGCTCTTGAGGCCCGAAAGCATAAAGGCGAGCACCGAATTTAAGGATCGTATCGAAAAATGTCTCCTTGGTGCTCTTATCTGTCTACCAGTCACAGGTCTCGCCGAGAAGGACTCGGAAACTCTACCTATTGGTATCATTTGTCTCAAAGCCACCCCACTAAGCCATGCACATCATAGAAATTCGGATATCAGTATTGATATCGCGAAAGAGTACCGTGGGCAGGGATACGGTGGCGAGGCTATTCGATGGGCGCTGTGGTATGGTTTCCAGATGGCGGGCTTGCATCGCATCTCGATTGAGACATTCTCGTTTAATGAGGGCGCGATGAAGCTGTATGAAAGACTGGGATTTACGTGTGAAGGCAAACATCGTGAAGCCATGTGGTTTAATGGCCGTTGGCATGATGATGTCGTGTACGGCATGTTGGAGGATGAGTGGCGGGAGGAGCAAAGGAAAGCCGGTAACGACGTATGATAATAGTCATGGTTTTAAAACTTACTAGTCATATAATATGTTGCTTAGGCTATACTTATTGATATCTAGTAATAACTCGGAAGAAGCTTAGTGTCGAGTATCAATTATTGATACCTACTTCTATGTCCAATTTCACCTTGAGATAGTTTCTACAAAATGACGTCTAATGTCTAGCTACTGTTACATCGCCCTTCCAACGGATATCTCTGGAAGATGCTATAAAAAGATATTAATAGTTAAATATTATGGCAAAGTCGACATCGTAATTGATAGCATCTAATACGAACCCCACGATAATCTAGCAATCTCATATTATTATACTAGGTTGTTTCGCCAAGAGATCTAAATGGGAGTGTTGGTTTGCAACTACTGCAAATCATCTACCGCTTGGCCACGTTGTGGCACGTACTTATAGGATTTGGTCTTTCTCAAAAACCGAAATGGGTAGCCTTGCATCGCACTTTGAGCGAAAGGAAGAATCCTTCAAGTTTCCTTTAGATAACCTTTAGCCTTAGCCCCACGCAGTGGAGTTATTAGACGAAGGATTAGTTAAAGGTTTTTTTTAATTCTATAAAAATACATTTTTAGTTTTTAAGAGGGGTGAATATGCGAGCTAAGATCTCTAACCTAGTATGATTATAGTCTATGAGTTGTGATATTGGGTCTTCTGGGCACTTTATCGTCAACTTTATAACAAAAACGTCTCTTATTGTAAGATATGTATATCCGATTCAAGTAAATGATCGACCCAAGCCCTTGGTAAATAACCTCTAATCCTTCTATGTATATGTAATTTAATCTAGATGACGTAGTGAAACTGCCGGCGATGTTATTTGGTCGAGCAAGCACTAATGCGGCGTTGAAATCAATTCATATATCTTCATATATGTCTTCATAACTATATGTATATGGTAAAGTAGAGCTGAAGGCTCGGCGCGACCGCATCTCCGGCCGAAAAAAGTGTTACCCCCCGTTGAAACAAATCCGTTTCAAGATAAAAGCTGAGCCCTAGAAGTAGATCAATGATTGGCGCCGTGCCACCCGCCGATAGCCTTAGCTCCGTACCCCGGTCCATGTTTTCTACCCTTGCGACGATGCCCCGGATCTACATTTAACAATAATTGCCCGGAAGTACTACAACAGCCCACTATCATGTCGTACATAACTCTTAGGGGCGGTTGGTAGTTACAATAAAACTTTTAAGAGGCGTTGGCCTGACTTAACTTGATTAAGGCTTGTTTCATTTATGTTCGGATGCGGCAGACTCTTCAAAGTCGAAAAGGGGTTATGTTGGCTTTCATAGGCTCGATCCGGTAGGTAAAAATCCGGCACCTGCAGGAACAAGGTAGCATCGCGAATGGGGCTGGCGGGAGAATAACACGACTGGTCAAACAAGCAGAAACGAATTACCATTTATTTATATGTCGTCTCCTTCCTGAACACTGATGGTTGTTGGCGATCATTATCTCACGTGCTGTGGCTTCGACCATCCTGCTTGTCCCATACAGATCTCGAGAGATATACCATATACCGGCTTACGTGGACCGAATTATTAAGGAGGGATTTCACACTTAGTCCCGATTTTTTCTTTTTGACGAATGAACTTTTGTAATCCCACTCATATAGATATCTCTTAAAATATTTTATACTAGGAACTTAAACCTACACGCCTTTCCCAGTCACACAGAGTTGCACTACGCTCCTGTATACAGCGGCGCCTTATGGGTGATACTCGTGCGTTGTGGATACCGGGCGTAGCTACGGCTCGGTGTCTAAATATAGTAAGGCGGAGGGAGGTTGAATGCTTGTTTCCCGTCACCCATTGTCAGGGTAGGTATGCTTATACTGTCGATGATAGCCCAAATTGACTTGACAAGTCGACAAAATAGTAACTAACCTTGTCAAACCTGTATAGCATCGACATCTGGAGATGATCGGCAGTGCAAGTTAATGGCGGTGGCGCATAAGACATCGGATGAGAGCTATGCCTAACTACCTGGGTAAGTAAATAGGAGACTGGGATCAGAGGCCTTCAGATGTCGCGCCGACATGGCCGTTCCCGAGGCTGCAGTCTGAGCTTTTCTATACTACGTAGTAGAGTACATCCATTAGCCAGATGAACGACCATTCTTTTTCAAAGTTTACCAAATAATAATCCATGCTCCTCCCCAATGGGATACATTCATATCCACCATCGGGCTGACTTTGCTGTAGACAGTAAGTCGAGCATTTGAAATCAGATTGCTTGCATCTGAGATCCTACTTCACTGATGATCACGCGCTCTGCTCGGCCTAACATGCACGCCGACGAGTAATCTCAAGAAAGGCTATTCGGAATGTATCAGTCTGTTAAACGGCAAGACCGCCATGATTGCAGTTAAGATGACTACTTTTTTCAGTAGGTCACAGAGCCGGGGAATGCACGTTGATGAAATAATTACTCTTCTTCAAGATTGAACGGGCTTTAATTAGTCTAGGTATAGCTATATGTAAGTATGCATACCTATACTATATAAACTTCTATATTGATGCATCTAAGGCGTCATATACAAGTAGATAAAACCCTGTAAATCCTAATTCTACGATCGGTAAAAGTAGCCAGTTGGCGTAGATTTTACAATTCCTATATGATAGAATTTCAACATTTTGAAACTCATCGTAAAGTCCATCATTATATCACATGCCTCCAATCAGGATGTTTATTTCTGTAGGAGGCGTTGGAGTAGGCTGGTTCATGCGAATACCTACAATAGTCAATCTAGGATTCTTATTGGTTAAATAGCGGTTTGGAAATTGGTTTTGGTAATTAAGGGAAGGTAAAGTGTTAGAGAGAGGCGCTTCTACGGAGGTTCTGCGGACTAAAAGTTCAGATCCTGGCTCCTGGACCAACTCTTTTTTTCTCCAACTTTGGAACAACATTTAGATCCCCCCCCCACTCCCCTGGCCCCCTACAACATCCTTCGGAAATAAAGCCCTTGTCTAGTGTAGAAGATGGATAAACCTTACTCTATGCACAAAAAAAGCCATATTCGCCTTACTTGCAGCATTGTTCTCCATGAGGTTAGTTTCAGGGCCATTGATAGATCCTCTTTGACCTTAAAGGGAAGGTCATCGAGGTGCTATGTGCACTTCATGGTCCGTGTAAGCTCTATAAGTCGGATGTAACTAAGTAACAAGAGGATCGTAACGTTTCTTGTAAGTTAATAGGCATCACTAACGATTAGGACATCGTTACGTATATAATTCTTCACGGGCCCGGCTCCTCGTGTTATGGTCTCCTCCGTAGTATAACCCCGTAGGTGTACAGCAAGTATCTTCCGGTTCTCTTTTGGAACTGTTCACTCTCTTTTCGCTGAAGCCACAGGCAATAGGCGTCCATTCCTTAGTTCGATGCGCATACACTCATTATTACCAAACGATCGTTATCGAAAGTAACTCTGCTTCTAGCCAGACATCGGAATACAACCAATCCATCATGCGTGCTTTTTTCAACTTGGCTGTAGCTTCTGCTACGGCGTTCTTTGCTCAGACTATTGCAGCACCAATGCCTATAGTTGTAAGCCCCGGAGGAAAAGGAGATCTGATTATTACTCAACAGAATACTGTTAACCACACCTTTCACGGCCTATCCCAAAATATGACTATAAAAGAATATAACCCGCTTAAGATCTCTCTTGTTAACAACTTTGGAGGAGGGCAACTGAATGTCTACGTGAGTGGTAACGACCCCTCCGGCGCCGTCGTTATGCTCTCGGCCGATGGTACTTGGTATCGCCCGGACGCTGCTGGCAGTGAAGTGCCCGTACCTATCGCCGGCAACGTCGCCCTCCCTATGAACGCCCAAGGACAAACTACCGAGTTCACTCTACCCGATTATATTAGCTCCGGTCGTATTTGGATTGCCGAAGGTGAACTTCAGTTCTTCGCCGTTCTCGCCGGCGACGGAACATCACAGCTTGTCGAACCCGCTGCCGCAAACCCTTCGGACCCTTCAGCGGCGGTCAACTGGGGCTTTGTCGAACTTACCAACACTGAGGAGGGAGGTATCTACGCCAATATCTCATTCGTTGATTTTGTCGGTCTAGTGATGGGTATGACCTTGACTCTTGGTACCGGTGAGACTCAAGAGGTGAAGGGTCTCCAGCAGGACTCTCTCGCCACTATCTGTCAGGAATTGAGGGACCAGGCGGCAGCTGATGGTCAGCCCTGGGACAAGTTGTGTGTTACGGACGCCAACGGCAACCCGCTACGCATTCTCGCCCCCAACCTATACCAGTCCATCGATCCCACCGCCCAGGCCAACTACTACGACGACTACATTGAGCAGGTCTGGCAGAAGTACACTAACGAGGATCTTATCATCAACACACAAGCTGCCGCAGGAAATGTTGCTTGCCGCGTCAACGGCGACGAGCTCACCTGTGCCGGGGACAACCGCGGATACCCTCGACCCGCTGTCGCCGATATCTGGGGCTGCAACTCGGGTCCCTTCGGCATCCAAGACATCGACAACGATGTTCACAGAGCAATTGTTCCTAGGCTATGTGCTGCTTTCTTCCGCACCACTCTGCTCCTTGACGGTGGCAACGTGCAGCCTTCGATGGCCAGTGACAGCTACTACACTGTAGACCCGACGAACCACTACTCTCGCATTCTTCACAAGCACGAGATCGACGGAAAGGGATATACCTTCTCGTACGACGACGTCAACCCTGATGGCGAGAACCAAGCCGGTGTTGTCGCCGGACTTCAGCCGCAGGTCTTACAGCTCACCGTCGGCGGATTTCCTTCCTAAGGAAAACCCGTAGACGATGAGACGTGTAAGAGCTTGAGGCAGTATCTACTGCCATATATTACCATCATCTCTCATCTAACAAAGATCTCATAGTAGCAACATAAGCTATGAATCTCCGCACTGTATATATCACTTTTTTCGTGTACATAGTACTTGTTGATAGCATTTTCAAGGTATATGGGTACCATGTACATACAAACCACGCTCGTTTCGCAAACTCTGTTTTTGATTTGAAAAGATTGTGCACTTTATTTTGGAGCTTAAGTGTGTATCTCGCAAACTGGTTAATTTTAGCTGTGCTAGAAATCCAGTTACACCAGAGGTCTGGTGTGGGTCAACCCCTATTGTCCTTTGCTCACTCATATGGTAGACTGAGTGGTGGTTACTTAAAATACAAAATGTAAAATTATCATCATAAAAGTTTTAAGATTAGCTTCATTACGCTTCCGACCTGGCAGTTTATAAGTTACATATCGCTTAAATATTGGTGTTCGTGCTCTCATCAGCCTATAAACGTTTCATAAGTAGAATATTGCTTTCTATGTATTCGTCTCACAATCAACACTTATACAATAAAAGACTATCTAGGTACCTAGGTACTCAGTCGTTTATATGCAGGTTACAAACTTTGAAGTAATTGGTTGAATAGTGACTTGACTAGGAGTTGCTAGCGTCATCCGAGGAGATGGCCCTGGTGCCCAACTAAAACGTAGTATCAACGAAACTGGTAACACAATACGAACTTCTTCTGCTAATAAAGTTGGCGCTTATGTACCTACATGCATCGTGTTTATAATAAGGTTAGACACTGCAGCTATTGCATGAACCTAAACTTTCATTTAACGTCTTCACTATAAGATCTCGATTTATGCCGTCATGTTACATTAGGTACCTTTAGGTAGGTACCTATGCTGATCTCGTATATTTTCGGTCCCGTAGTGTAAAACTTAAAATTTACGAGGTATTTAGAAGTTCATTTTTATTAAATCTATTACTAGGTATTTATTTCATGATGGTCGCTGTTGTATGGCCCGCTGCCAATTATGCCAGGGTGTAAGTGGGTTAGGGTAGATTCAGGGGTACATCTACTAGGATTAGGTGTATAAAGGTGCGCAACACCCTCGTAAAAAGGTGAAGGGCAAGGCTTCAATAATTCAATCTATCTACCTATACAAACATTATGTATAACTTGAAACAATAATTTAAAATATTATAAAATTGGGCTGCGGTGTAAACCTTAGTGACCTTCAGTATATCATTGATGTTATTCAATTACACACAGGTGCATCTCGATAATGAGAAATGCCGTGGTTACAATTACATGAAAGAACTACTATTAAGGTAAATGATCTCTTTTCATATATCAGTCAATTCGTATACCTCAACTGTTTGTTGAAAGAAGCTATTTCGAATGAATCGTTTATGATCTTGTCCGTAGCATTTCGCCCCTGCGGAAATATATACATACAAGCTGCCTCGGTTTCTTTCAACTCACATCTACTATATTCATCGATATACGGTCCGTATTTCAATCGTACAACCCGGAAAGCTTCAACCCCGAACAACCCAAGTTAGCGCTTTACCCCCAATTTTTCAACCCAAGAGTTGAATTGCGCTGATTTCGCAGCCGCCAAGTCCAATGTGAAAATTCCGTGCTCGGAGTGGATGCCAATAGGGGATGACGGATCGGTAGGGTCAATCGGAGGTGTTGCGGACGCGGCGAACGCGAAGCTTGCAGCCGTCGCGCCGGGATCTAAAGTCTCTTTCGCACCTCCGTTATGGATCCACGTGCTACATCCCTGACAGAGAGTAGTTAGGGTCCAGTGAGTTGCATTCGTCGTTGACCCCTGAAGTGTAGTGTGATTTGCCGACTCGTATATCTCCGGTTGAACATGGGCCCTAAGGCAAACATTAATCCTGTCTTTTAGTTAGGATGATTTAACTCACGTCGCGAATCGAGCTGCTGGAACAGTGCTATCTCCATTCGCCCAGCCTAGAGAGATGGGGTTATACAGCATGCCACCTCCCCAGGCGATACCAGCCCATCCGACTGACTTCGGCGCAACAATTTGGAGAAGAATATCGAAAGGGCCCTCTGTCACTTCTGGAATAGCAATACGCCAGACGATAGGGGCTACTCCGATTGAGATTTCAGAATAGCAGACACCAGTGGGCTCATCGCAGTACTTGGCGCTGGCTGAGACTGGAGCTGTAAGGCCATGGCCTATGAGGAGGGCCGCGGCTGTAGCAAATCGAGAAATAAAGCCCATCGTGCGTTTCTTGACAATTCAAACTCCCGGCTAACTTATGAGTGTGCTCGAGCTGCTGCAAGCTACTCAATAAGCGAGTAAGCGCCTTATATATCTTGATTTTGTCATGGCACTGGCCATTTCTGGTACTCCATCCGCTCTCATCAACCGCCACAAGCGCCATCCCTCGCCTATCTACTATAGATATCGGCAGTTGTCGTTTTCACGAGGCAGCGGAACGTGAAGAGGAGCGAACCAAGTTTTTGGTAATAGAAAGAAGTAGATTACCCGATTGCTGATTGGTCCCCACACGTGTGTCTACGCAATGGTAAATGCACCCCGGCCTACCTGGATCCGTACGGTTACATCTATTTAGACTAAAGCGGCTGAAGTCAGTGACACAGCGGAGCTTACTACGTCGAGATTCTATCTGTACCTATTTGGCAAGATGATGGAACGCAACAGGGCTACGATATGAAAAATAGCCATGAAATCTTCCCAACATGTTCAAATCTAGCAGATCCGTGATCGTTTATGGTTAGCACGACCAGCTGAAATGGACCACGAGTTCAGTCCATGAAGCGGTTAATGGGCTCCTGGAGGTCCATGCTCCTCACAAGATTCCAAAGACTGCCTTCGTATTTATTTATGCCAGCGAGGTTTACATATGGATATAGAGGAAATATATTAAATTAGAACCAATTTCATAACTTTACTAAAATTTTCATATTTCGTTAATGAGCATCTAATTCTAGGCTTGTCTTCCTATTCCGGATGTCCGACTTTCGTAGGTGAGCCAAGAAACGTGGGGTTACAGACTAACTCCGATCATCACTCGTTCAGGGGAGTAATGGTAAGTTAAGTATGGCGTGTTCTAATTCAAGCAAGTTAAGGGATGGATGGATGAAATGCCGGAGTCACAGGAAAGGCGAAAATACTACTCAGCTTTTTAAGGGAATATTAAAGAATGACCTCACTATAATTCACCCTGACGATCTCTTCACGTTCTCATGTGAGCTAACGTAGGAATTCATACATCAAGGCTACCTATGGTAGATGTAGTACGTGTCCAAGAGATCTTGAAGATTGCTTGCATAGCTTAGCAGTAGCATCAAGATCATTTATAGATATGTGACTTGGTGACGATCCGACGTAATACCAAATTAGGCATCTAACCTAATGAGAAATAAATTCAGCGCAAAAGACAGACAATATTAGTACATTGTTTCTCCCCACAAAAGGACGGGATCATATCCATCTTGTGCCCTTCCAATCATCTTAAGTTCCTCAACCGTGCTTTCAGAAGGTTGCCACTCGTCTACATAGAAATAGACTCTCCACAAGCTCATGTCATGCGCGGGCATTGGTTTGCTTCTTGGGAACGGCATACGCGGAACCAGACACCCCACCTCATATTGCCAAATATCCCTACCCATACATACTACTTCTAAAGAAGCCTCTTTTAGCTTTGGTAAGCGGCAGCACGCTCGTGCGAAAGCTGTGAACAAAGCGTTCATCTCGGTATCATTTGGTATAACCCTCTCAGGCTCGTCGGGTGGACTTGGTTCGACCATGTGTTGGTAATAATATTTCTCGCGTTCGTTCAACTCCTCCTCCGTATCTCCATAGCCAGGTGGAAGTTGATCAAGTGTAATTAAGGTGTCCTGATCTTCATCAACGTCGTCTTCAAGTTCAAACAACCACTTTCCTTCAGGGTTATACATGTAGACTGTGGCTGTTAAAGTCTCTAAATTATTCCAACACTCCCCAACCTCATTTAGCACACCCGCTGGAGGATCAAAAAGTGTGGAATGCATCGGACCTATGATATGGACATCGGTACAGTATCTTGTAAGGTGTCGAAGGGCGCAACTGACAGGGTCATAATCACCTGGAGTGATGAATCGGGGTAGGAGCATTTGCCGATTATCAGCCCACGGCCTAATTATATCACAAGAAAAACTCGTGGTAGATGCTGGAAGATCCGCTGACATGATACTCTGAACAAGATCGTTTCGGTATCTTTGATCTATGCTGTAGTACCGACCCCAATCTTCTTCGGGACGTTCTAGGTTCCAATTGATCTTCTTAGCTTTTACCATCTTGGTAGATAGAAGCATTGCGACACGGGGGCTCCATCTGCGACGCGCGTCACTGATGGTGAACTCTCGAACACAAAGTAAAGGTGGGAAGTCGGACATATCGGATGTAAGATCAAGCAGCGAGAATCTATAACGCTCAGCATTAAGATCGAATCTAATACGATCTGCACGATTGGAGGGACCTATGGTAGGAACGGTTTTATTCCTCCTGTCCGAGGGTGAACATGGCCCAAAGATATCTAAATTGAGCATTGGTGTTATATTGTAATCATGGTCAAAAAAGGTCGAAATCAGACAGAAGGCTCGCTTTAATGCTGCGGTAGTCGCCTCATTATTGGCTCTGCGATCCTGGTCTGTTTCGAACTCGGTAAAATATTCAGAAGGGTATGGTGGTAGGACCGTACTGATAGAAAGATTTCGTAGAAAGCTACGGCGCCGCGGGGTTAAAATATGTGTCAGCTCGTCTAGCCTTGGACTAGGAGTAGTGAATTTTATACTTCGGAAGGTATGGCGTTCAACGGAGTTTTGAAACTTGCGGGACACAGTTGCGAGTGCCAGGAAAGCCGAAGGAAAATGAAATATTCCTTTTAGATAGGAGGAGACGACACGGTCATAAAGCTCTTGAGGCCATTTATCCATGGTGGCAAGTTTTTGTTATTGACTTAGTAAAGTCCACACAGATGAGAGAAGTGAGCGTTAGAAGTTGAAGAGAAAAATATGAACTTGACGATAATATACTATGTAGCAAGTGGAGTGTATTTTAGCGGGGTCTTCATCTTAGAGTATGCCTGTTAGGCAGCAAGTATAGCATGTCTCTAATACATTAGATCGAGTTAAACATTTAGAGATGTGTTAGTCGTGTAGTTCCGATCTTAGAGTTATGACTCATTTTTACCAACACTTTTAGACCAACCTGTTTAAATCAGGAAATTGTAACATCTAGCTCTACCCCTTGGCTAAGAAGAGAAAGGAGATATATCCTCTAAGTTAAATAGTTGAATATGAGGTCATATTGATTTTCCTTCATCGCTTAAACTCCTCTGCTAACCCCCGTAGAATCTCTAACTCCACCTCAAATCACTTCGCTCTCCTAGTCGATCCCGAATACCTTGTGATTCCAGAATTTCTAAAGCTTAACGAAACTTGAAGAGGCGGGGCGCGTAAACATGCTTTACGTATGAAATAGTGACAAGTATATCCTTCTCGTGGCTCATAAAGTAATCGGGAAATATCGTGCCTTGGAATTTCCGCTCCTCGCCTTCCATAAGTCTAATTAGTGTGAATACATAGTCTCCAGTTCTGAGTTCATGAGATAACATATAAGCTCGCCTAGTGGTCTCCCACATTTCTGAGTATATTATCTCCCAACAGCAATATACCAAGTTTACAGCGGCACTGTGTCTCCATTGTGATTTTCTGAACGTAGACCGGGCTTGCAGTATACCCTTAACTCCTTAACGCCTTCCCAAGGCAGGCGGAAGTGCCCGTATAGGAGAATAGATTTCTTGATGAGGATAAGCTCTCAGTTTAGATAGACAACTATGATAACTATGAGAACTCATCTTTAAGCTCAGGCTCCAATTGAAGAATCCACACATTGTCTTTAAATAGTGATTAATAGTAAAATTAATCTATTGCATGCATTTGAACTTATTATCTATACACTTTTCTTCATACAATGAGCTTGCAATGAAGCTTTATATAAATGCCATCAATTGTATAGCACTTCATGATGAGTACATGTTGAAATTTCAATATATCTTACGCTAGTCATACTACATTGTATAGAATTTCATCATCATTTAATTATGTTGTTTGTCTCTCATACTTGAGCGAAATTGATGGAACTGTGACATGAGACTTGAGTGCAAGGAAACTTCCAACATAACCACGAAAATATTTATGATTGCAGTATTGAAGATATATTTTTGCATTCCATTTAGGCGTTATACTTACCAAATATTACTTCATATATACTACTTTTCCTTACTTCTAAAGGCTCTTGGTACGGCATAGCCTTCGGAATATCACCAAAAGGAGCCAATTTCCTGCCAATTTGAAGTCTCCAAGTTTGAATCAAACGGAAAAGGTAGCCGCAACTTTCTAGGACATATAACTGCCTGCTTACCTCTTAGACTTTTCATATATTAAAAATCACAGAAGCCTACTCGTTTTTTATTATCAATTCATCTCTATGTGCTTAATCTGTAGATATTCTAGAATTCTTTCAACCTTTCGCTCCTTGAATTTGCCTGGCAAAATCATTTTCACGTGTAAGCTCGTCTTGCATGAAGTAACTGCTTTTGTTTAGTTCGTACAGTATGAATTAGAGATAATAGATCAGTTCGCACTCCAAAATTCAATACGCGTATTGTACGAGAAAGAAAGTTAGATGAGAGAAGGTTTTCATCTTGCCAAATTCTTCTAATTGTCGATGACAGCGCTGAAATTCCCATGTCTTGAAATTTGACCATTTTCCAATGAACAAATACGTCGCGTCATACATCCGCTGTAAGTAGTTTATTTCTCATTGTTCTTCGCTTTCGCTCATCATGAATCGGCGATTGGCGCTGCAAATCAATCTAGAGGCATAGACTGATACAGCGGCGCCGGCCGGCTGCGTAATGCTCTAGACTGTAAACGGAGCTAGATTGTCTTTCGAGCTACGGCAAAATATTATCATTCGTTAGGTCGTAATCCTCAACGTGTTGATCGCAGGTTCTCGCATCTGGTAAAAATGGCCACAACGCTCAAGAATTGGGTCTTATCAGTAAAAACTATACGCCTACTGGTTATTCCAAGGTTGAAAAACACTAGGCGTACATGAAGCCTCCGAAATAGGTTCCAAGATGAAGAGAGTTGCAATGGAAATTAGGCGCTGAGTGTTAACATACCATCCCAAGAAGAAGTATCACGGGAGCAATGAAATTTTACCATAAGCCGCGGTGCTCGGCGCTCAACATGAGAAGCTATACAGATCTCCAGCTCAATCCAATGATTTCTCTTGGGTCGTATGTTTAATCGCTGATTAATTCCTTGTCTTTGGTGCTTACCTACATTTGGGCGATTAAACAAATGGTAAATCGGCCCGTGAGTTATAGGAAGACGAGGGCTTGTCTCCGTCTCTCTAATGTCATTCTAGAAGCAAAAAGGTCGCAGATCTCCTACGGCCGGTGTTCAGGATAAGAAGTTATTCATAAAGGCCAGTCCAGATAGGTATAGTAACTAGTTTCTAATCCTAGTCGAATCATCAAAGTCGACTGATACTCGCAGGGAATGCAAGTATCTCAGCCAACGTGTTCCTTAAAAACAGTCAAGGATGGGAATCTAGATGGGATTGTTAGGAACTGGATGGGCTAGAACCATACCACTTTAGGACCCTAGAGGGGGTAGAGGGGTAGAAGGTAAGCAATATGGTTGGTTGATGCTAACGCAGAAGAAGTAAATAGGACAAAATAAAGAGAAAAAAAAAAATGGAGGGGGAACCCGGAAAGTCGGCTTTGGGGTAAGGATTACAACCGATAAAAGAAAAAGTGCATTGCATAAACGAGAGAAGTCGTCTCCAAGACCATGGGCTCGCGGCCTTGACGGATGGGATAGAGAAGGGAAAAAAAGGAAAAAAGTGTATGACGTATAAGGAATTTAGAGAATAGAAATCAGCCCACCGTCGACCCATTATACCGAATCAACCACTAAGATACCGCATTCCACATGCAACTTGTCTATCAGCCACTGTTCTCGCCGCCTAGAACAGCTATGGAACATGCTCACTATACCATCTATCAGGCTATTACCACGCTATAATGTCATAATTGCACGTTACTCGCGCCTCGGTTACATACCCGGTGCCTTGGGTTCGCTTCCCACCGAGTCCAATGATAACATGCACATGCATCCAGTCTAAGCGGTATCACTCACATGAATCAACTGTCCATGCGACATTTTGCGGATGTTACAGGCGTTGCGGAACCTAGAGAACCCAGCTACCACCTTAGAGTAGTAGTTCTCAGTAATTGTCAACACATCGAGTGTGTTCTCTTATAAGTATTCGCCATCATCAACACTATCCTCTCCATCCCACTAGTAAACCATCATCATAACACCTCTTCTTTATATATAAATATAATAGCTTGAGCTACTCAGTGCACCTTACTACTGAGACTCAAGCTTCTTCTAAGTGTCTTTTGACTGAAAAGTCCCACCCCACCTTTACCAAATACGCTTATAAGTCGAAGACAACAAAACAAAATGACAGATACTCACCAAGCCGAGATCGATGAGATCCGGCCATTCGGCAAGGCTCGCTCCACGGTGAAGGGCGAGCCTCTATCCAAGGAAGAAATCGAAAAGTATAATGACTTTTTCAAGGCCAGCTTATATCTTAGTCTTGGCATGATCTACCTGAAAGAGAATCCTCTCCTCCGAGAACCTTTAAAGGTTGAGCATATCAAAGGCCGCCAGCTAGGTCACTTCGGATCTGCCCCTGGCCAAATTTTCACATATATGCACTTCAACCGATTGATCAAGAAGTACGATCTCGATGCCCTCTTCGTCTCCGGCCCGGGCCATGGCGCTCCCGCCGTCATCTCCCAGGCTTACCTTGAGGGTACTTATTCTGAAGTATACCCTCAGAAGTCTGAGGACCCTGCGGGCATGCAGGTATTCTTCAAGCAGTTCAGTTTCCCGGGAGGTGTAGGGTCACATGCCACCCCAGAGACCCCCGGTAGCATCCACGAAGGTGGCGAGCTTGGTTATTCCATCTCCCATGCCTTTGGTACCGTTTTTGACAATCCCAATCTGATCACCTTAACAATGGTTGGTGATGGCGAAGCCGAGACTGGTCCATTGGCTACGGCCTGGCACAGCACTAAGTTTCTGAACCCCATCTGCGACGGTGCCGTTCTCCCAGTGCTGCACCTGAATGGCTACAAGATTAACAACCCGACTGTGCTTGCTCGTATCTCACACAAGGAACTTGAGCAACTCTTCTACGGCTACGGCTGGCATCCATACTTCGTCGAAGGTGACGATATTGAAACGATGCACCAAGCTATGGCCGCCACTCTCGAACACTGTGTTCAAGAAATTCGCAAGTACCAGAAGGAAGCTCGTGACTCTGGAAAGCCCTTCCGCCCACGGTGGCCTATGATTGTCCTACGCACACCAAAGGGTTGGACTGCGCCGCGCAAGGTTGATGGCCACTACCTCAGTGGTTTCTGGCGCTCTCATCAAGTGCCCATTACCGGTACTACAACAAACCCAGCAGATCTCAAGACCCTCGAAGAATGGATGCGTGGCTACGAACCCGAGCGCCTCTTCGGCGAAGACGGCAAAATATCCCCCGAACTGAAAGCCTTGTGCCCTACCGGCAACAGGCGCATGAGCGCGAACCCAGTTGCTAACGGTGGACTATTATCGATACCACTCAAGATGCCCGACTTCAGAGATTACGCCATCAAAGTGGACAAGTCTGGCGCCACTGTAGAAGGCAGCATGGCAAACTTCGCCAAATTCCTACGTGACATCATCAAGAACAACCCTCATAACTTCCGTCTAATGGGCCCTGACGAGACCGAATCCAACAAGCTAGCAGCCGTGTACGAGGCTGGTAAGAAGGTATGGATGGGCGAGTATTTCGAGGAGGATGAAGATGGCGGAAATCTATCTCCTTTCGGAAGAGTTATGGAAATCTTGTCCGAGCATACTTGCGAAGGATGGCTCGAAGGCTATGTCCTGAGTGGCCGACACGGAATGCTTAACAGCTACGAACCCTTCATCCATGTTATCGACTCCATGGTAAACCAGGTAAGTCTATTCATGTGACCCCCTCGTTTTAACTAAATAATTACTGACACTTTGTGCAGCACTGTAAATGGATTGAGAAATGCTTAGAAGTCGAGTGGCGTGTCAAGGTTCCATCACTAAACATTCTCTTGACTGCTGTCGTCTGGAGGCAAGACCACAACGGCTTTACCCACCAAGATCCTGGCTTCCTTGACGTTATCTGCAACAAGAGCCCGGAAGTAGTCCGCATCTACCTCCCGCCTGATGGAAACTGTCTCCTTTCGGTCATGGACCACTGCTTCCAGTCTCAGAACTACGTGAACGTCGTCGTAGCAGACAAGCAACCTCATATCCAATACCTCACAATGGAACAGGCAATCGCGCACTGCACAAAGGGTATCGGCATCTGGCCCCAGTTCTCCACCGACGCAGGTGAAGAACCCGACGTCGTCATGGCCAGCTGCGGTGACGTCTCGACCAACGAGTCGCTAGCCGCCATCGATCTCCTACTGCAACACTTCCCCGACCTCAAGATCCGCTGCGTCAACGTCGTCGATCTCTTCAAGCTGATCCACCACACCGACCACCCGCACGGCCTCACAGATAAAGAATGGGTCGCCCTATTCACAGATAACAAGCCCGTCATCTTCAACTTCCACTCGTACCCCTGGCTCGTCCACCGTCTAACATACAAGCGACCGGGCAGCGCAAACATCCACGTCCGCGGCTACAAGGAGAAGGGCAACATCGACACCCCGCTCGAGCTCGCCATCCGCAACCAGACAGACCGTTTCAGTCTAGCCATGGACGCCATCGACCGCATGCCCACCCTCGGCAACCGCGGCGCAGCTGCTCGCGATGCCCTCAAGAGCCAGCAAGTCTCGGCTTCCAACTATTCGTTCGAGCACGGCGTCGACCCCCAGTTCCTGAGCGATTGGTCGTGGCCTCAGGAGGGCGTGAAGGAGAAGCTGCAGAAGCTTAATATTGTTAGCTGAGAGAGCGAGGTGCATTTATAACAAACGAGGCGAATGGATAAGGTTGGGGTTTAATGAAAAGGGGTTGGGTTTTTGGATCGCATGAGTGGGATGATGGTGGTGTTTCCTGGGTCTGATTTTGATTTTTCTTGGTTTGGCGTGGGTTTGTTTATGTGAGATAACTCGATCAGAGTCTTTTGCGATTTGTCTGTTATGATAGATATGCTTATGAGATGTGCGGTATGGAAAATTATTATATGAATTTACTTTAATGAATTATCCTTTGATGCTTATTCAAATGCTGATGTGCTTTCACTTTAATCGTCGCGTTATAGCCATAGGTTAGGCCCAAACCCAAACAAGGGGTTTAGGATGCATGGCTTTGATTTATTGTTTTGCGATCTATTTCTTCAGCTAACACGTATTGGCAGCATAGATATTCTTGAGTGGCTACCTCCTGGGTTTGCTAGAGACCCCCAACTCAGTTATGAATCAGAGCATGTAGCCCGGGCAAGATTTCCAAGTCCTTCTTCTCGTACTCATATTTTCCATCGGTAGAAATCTTGGCGCTGACACGAGGTCGCTGCTGTTGAGTCTGTCGTACCTTAACCCATTGCTCAGTGGTCAAATGCTGTCCCAGCTCTGTGAAGGCATTGCTGGTCAACCCAAGTCGGTTTAGTAGAGGGCTATTCGCGATCGGATCCAACACAACGTGGTTATTCGGACGCGCAAAGTACAACACGCCTAGGCGGTCAATATGTGCTTGGTCCGCAGGTGGTGCATGCACTCGGTGCACGCTGGACTTGATCAACCCGCCCGTCAGTGCGGTGAGCGCGTCGCATGTGTTGATCGTGATAGTGCCGTCTTGTGGCTTCACCCACTTCCACTCTCCTGCCGAGTTTAGAATTTGCAGCGCAACCACTGGTTGTCTAAAAAGGAGGGTCACTGTGCCAAGATCCGTGTGGCCCGGCCCGTACAGGTTAGCTACCTTGGCGTTCTCTTCTTGGCTTCGTGCTGCGTAGTGCATGTACCGCAGATGGTCTTCGCCTCTAACGTCATAGAGATGGTCCCGAACTAGCTGGTCCTCATCAGGGAGCTCGAGTAAGATCGCAAAGAGGCGCAGGAGCTTAACAACCACTTCCTCGTGGCATTTCTGTTACGTTTTGGTAAGCACATATATATGGACAGATGGGGTTTATCGTTTACTTACCCTTGAGAATGCTTCGATCTCCTTGATATTACTCTGGAGAATAGGTGGTTGTTGGCGCTGGTGGAAGCCATCGAACTTGGGTATGTTGTATACTTGGACGTTATCCTTCACGCCATTTCCAAGGCTACAAAAATGATATATCAGTCATAATCTCAGGTACTTAAATTTACTCCCCTTAAGATCAAGGTAGCAAACTTGTCAGATGACGTACATTCGATGGCCCGCTGGCCTATACCCATTATATTCGCCGCTTTCGAGATCATGCTTGTTATGATACTTCAACTTCTCCTCTAGAGGGAGCGAGTAAAACTCCCTTCCGAGAGCAAACTGGCGGTCGACTTCTTCCTGGGATATGTTGAAGTTCTTCACGTAAAAAAATCCTATGATAAACACGTGAGAACTTGTGCTCCTAGAGGTGTCGGCTAGGAATTTCCAACGTACCAACATTTCGAACCGCGTGGTCAAGCTGCTTTACCAGCTCTTCTTTACCTCCTGGCTGCTCATACAGACTTAGGTCCAATGTGATGAGATCGGCCCAGTCAACTATAGTAACAGAGTTATTAACAAGAAATAGTGAATATATATCAATATGGCCTCTGGCTTACGGTCTTCCTGCGTTACAGGTACGTGCTCGTAGCGATCGATTATACGTCCCGGCATCTTGAAAATTGATTACAAATGTAAATACTGATATTCTCAATGTCGGCGAGCTCGGATGAGCATCAATACGCGGGGTATATCTACATTTTAAATAATCACTAGTTGCGGGACTCAGCATGTGTAAACTGAAACTCTTATTAATACTCTTTACAATTATTTTCTCGTAGTCCTAACTGGTTAAATATCAGATTCGTACGTTAAAGAGTTGGTGGGGGTTGCAGTCTATCGATAGACTATATATCTACCAATCGACGCGATCTGTGAGTATGGCGCAACTTGGAGAAGGAATTATGTATGCGGGGACAAGGCATTATACGCGTTGCTCATGGTATTATCAAGTTCTAGCATACCATCAGCCTCCACATGTTTCCAGCATATGGCCAGCACGCCATCGCACATCATCAGACCCTATCGCAAGTAATGTAACACTGTTAAGACACAGCGGAGATAATCTGATAAAACAAGTAGATTACCGCCGTTAGACCAGACTACACCTATCTCCTTGGCAATATTAGGACAGGGACATTTCTTAAAACCTTGTGCTAGGTTTACTTATCGTTCAAGTTAGAATTGCGAAATCTCGCCTTAAAATAAGAACAAGTGCCCATCGGCCCTATGAATTATGGTTGTAACTAGACTAATAAGTAACCTGTCTGTTCCCGCGTAACTCAGGAGTGACAATCTTCTCCGTAAGCTTTGAGCAGTCTTGTTCGGCTCAACGTTATAATGACGGTAACAAAGCAAAGCCAGGGGTACTCCCTATATGGCCTTATCAAAGAGATCTTCAATTGGTACCCTTCTAATTACCCTGCAGCAGAGAGGAAGTAAGTCTACGCATCTACTTGGATATGACCTATTTCTCATTGAAATTTTCACACTGACAATATACAGACTTCTATTCAAACTTGACTTGTCTATCCTAATATTCGCCTGTCTATGTTGTAAGTACGCCTTTCCCAAGTTCTTGATAGCTTGAATCTAACAATTTACAGTCTTCGTAAAATTTCTAGGTTAGCCCCTATTCCATCCAAGCACTATTTTTGCACGAGCTTACAAGGACTACATCTCGAAGACCAAACAAACATCAGCAATGCCTACGTCAGCGGCCTCAAGGAAGAATTCGGGTTATACGGCAATGAACTCAACTATTTCAATGTGTGCTACTATGTGGCTTATGTGATTTTTCAAATCCCCGGCATGTTACTTATGTCGCGACCTCAATTGTGTGTAATGACTCAAGAAATCTGCTTGTTGATCAATAACTTGGTAACTATGCTAATAAATATAGAGCACGCTGGTTGCTACCAACTCTTGAGGTTCTCTGGGGTATATGCACTTTCGCACAGAGTCGTGTTACGAATGTTCACCAACTCTATGCGTGCCGATTCCTAGTAGGCATGTTGGAGGCTCCAGTATTTGCCGGGACACACTTCATCTTAGGTACCTATACGAGATGACCCATCTCTCTGTCTCTCAATTCTTCGAATCTTTGGCTAACCAGACATTAGGATCATGGTATAGTGGTCCTGAATTGTTTAAGCGAGCCGGGACTTGGTTCATATGTAACCCCCTGGGCACCATGGTGAGCGGGTATTTGCAAGCAGCGGCGTACACCAATCTGTCTGGTGTAGGTGGGATGCCTGGATGGAGGTAAGAAACTCTTGAACACCACCCTTACGTTTTAAGTCCCGAACTATAATAGAATGCTAAGTGTTGATGTCTCATCAAGGTGGCTGTTCATTATTGATGGCATATTTACCCTTCCAATTGCAGTAGCTGGATTCCTGGTCTTCCCGGGGATTCCGGATTCGCCAAAGCCATTCTACTTCACTGATGAGGATATCGCTCTCGCAAAGGCAAGGTTAGAACGGGCTAAGATCCGCAAGCCGGGGAAGCTAGGGCTTGACGTGTTCAAACGCACACTTGGACGCTGGCATATTTGGGTTTTTGTGTTTTGTTACATGTAAGTTACTCACATCAAAATGACCCAAGAAAAGGGTTCAAGCCATACCTATCGTTATGCTATAAGTCTAATCATCTGTCAGCTGCATGATCATCTCCGGCTATCCAGACTCGTATATGAATCTCTGGCTGAAAGAACAAGGCTTCTCCGTTATTCAGATCAACCAGCTGCCTACTGTCACGTACGCCATCAACATCGTCGCTTCTTGGCTGGGTACTACCTTGGCTGCGATATACCCTTCATGGACTGTTTATAGCAGTGCGACGATATGTATCGTGTTCTCGTCAATCTGTATGATTATTTGGGATATTCCGAAACCTCTGAAGTGTGTAACCTCTTTATGTCGATGACTCTCTGTATCTTTATAAGGTTCGTTCTATTCGCTAACAAGAACCTATAGATTTGTCGCGTGGTACTTCTTCGGCGTATCAGGGTGTCTAAGTCCGGTTTTATACTCGACGGTTAATACAGTTGTGAAGGGTGACTCGGAAGAGAGAGCTCTAATTTTGGTGAGTGGATCCATCTACCCCTTACAAGAGGGGAATTGCAAACCACGGTAAATGATAAAGAGTGAATACGAAGGCTTACCGGAATTATTTTAGGGTGCAATGATGACTTTTGGTTACTCATTCAACATTTGGGTGCCCCTTTTGCTCTTCCCAACTGCCGGCCCCAACGGTGCTCCAAGATGGCGTATCGGATGGCCTGTCGCGTTAACTTTCCACGTGCTACTATGGGCTGGGTTTATTGTTGCGATCTTATTGTATCGCAGAGAGTGAGTTTCGTCCTATCTTCAATTTGATTAGCTGCTAATATCAATATTTAGCTCCAAAAGATCGAGAGATGCACAAGAGGAAGATTCCTCGTCTGGGGAGGAACCAGTTCTTGTCCCAACCGAAGCGCACATAAAAGATTAACATCAAGAATTTGGTCACATTGACGCTGGGTCGGGAAACCCGAGGGTGTTGATGTAATACATAGATTAATTGTGATATAGTCCATACATTGCTCTATATTATCGATATTATAACACATGTGAAGCTTTCGATAGGATGAGGGCCGAAATCAGGAATTAGCTTAACGATATAAACTAACCGTTGGATATGAAGGGGTATCATAAATCAACATTGCGAATGCGATTATCGTATCGTCCAAGAAAGCGTCATTTCTAGAGATTGGCTTCCTTAGGGACGTATCCGCTCAATGACACTCTACATGGAAACTCTCCGCGTGGGTGTGCAGAACCGTGCTCTATCAGGTATGCTTTCTCATTGTCCACAGTCGTCAGATCCAGCTTCTCTCCGGCATAGACCTCGTCATAGCATTCCTGGAAGTTAAATTCTCTGCATATAATAGCGAGGAAGGCCTTTACTTCCTTTAAGACGAAAGCCTGACCGGTACAATTTCGAATGCCATACTCGAAGGTACGCCAAGCACCTTTCTCCGGGTAGAGTTCGTGTTCTGGTCCTACGAGAAATCGCTCGGGTAAAAACTCGAGTGGTCGCGGCCAACAGTCGGGGTTCCGATGGACGCTAAAGTGACTCGTCTGCACGGCACAGCCCTCAGTAGGATACTCAGTGCCATCGCGACCTTTCAAGACCAGATCCTTACATCCCATTCGAATGCCGTTTGCGGGAGGGAAGAGTCGTAGCGCCTCTTTTATTACGGCGAGGGTATACGGAAGAGAGTTGAGAACAGATGGGTTCTCGGTGATCATGTCCGGACACGCTGCAATATTTCGCCCAAAAACTTCATCATGTTCAGCGCGGAGTTTAGCCAAGACCTCCGGATGCTTCCAAATCAGGTAACAGCTGGTAACCATTGTGCTTGCGGTAGAATCGTATCCAGCAAAGAAAAACATACGCAGCTGTGCGCATAAGGAATCCATGAATTGCTTGTCAATTGGGTCAGACAACTCCCGGCCGGGCTGGGAGTAGTATGTCTCGAGAGCTTGATCTAGGATTGAATTGAAAGCCGACTGTTCGTGACGTGTCTTAGCATTGCGAAATGCGTTAACCCGCTTTGCAATTTGAGTGCGAATGTGCTGGTTCAAGATACGACTATTATTCCAGATGCTGAAGATCCTGAATGGATTAAGCTGACCGATGTTATCCATAACATTGTTCGCACCAAACTTCAATCCCAGTTGGCGGAGCATAGTCTTCGAAAGAGGGTGAGAACCGGATGTCTGATTGCCTAGCTCAGCGTTAAACACTACGAGCCCAATAATATCGTTCATAAGCGATAACGCCAACGGTTCAAGACGAAACAGATCTCCTTTCCGGGCTTCCTCCCGGAGAAGTTCGCGGAAAACGAGCATCTGCTCAATAACCACAGGCAGAGTAGCATCGAGGTTGCTATTGTTGAAGAAGGGTAGGAATAGATCGTGGTCATGTTTCCATTCTTGACCATTTTGAGTAAATAGGTTGATGCCTCCTTTTCCTGAGATAGGTGCAAACCATTCTGTAAGTGTAAAAGGCTTTTCGGCCGATACCCAAGGATGATTGGTCGCTTGGTTGGCGATATAAGGGTCTCTTACCATAAGCATAGGAACGCTCACAGGATAACTGTCAAAATAATATGCTGGGGGTCCATTTCCTCCATCTAGCTTCCTAGCTATTCGATCAAGAATATAAGTGCTGTGCGCACCCGGCGGAAGCTCGTCAGTAGCAGTCTTGGCCGCCATGAGATGACCCAAGAGAATACTATGCTCGGGCATCGGCTGCCAATGTATTAGTTTACACGTAGGTTCAACTGAATACCTGATAAAGGGGTAAGTAACTTACCTTTCCCATTTCTTTCAGCTTCTTCATCAGGCTTCTACAACGCCAAAATTCAGTTGCGAATGTAATGGTTCGCACAACCACGACAGCCAACAAGAAACCGCCACAGGCGTTCAACAGCTGCCAAAGAAAATCCATGCTGTTGCGAAGAAGCTGAGCCAATATCAAAGATGCTGTGAATGTTTGATTTAAAGGGTTAGAGCACTGCGCTTCCATATGAGGCACCTCAGATATTTAGGTATGGCGGTAAGGGGTTAATTCGTCATTCATGCCCCTTGCTTAAATCATTTCTGTTCCACTAGGGCTGAAGTTTACCTAGAAGCATTAAGTGCTTAAGATACGTATAATTAGGTCTTTATAAATATCTAGGTTATGAAAGAATAGAGATCAAGATGTGATTCTACCAATAACAAAGTGGGAATAATAAAGTACCTAAAGGATAGATGCAATTGGTTAATTTACTTTAGGTATTCCGTACCTTAAATATTATACAAACACGATAGCAGTACGTGTTAGCGATAGGTATTAAACTGACCATGCAGCCGTGCCACAGCTAAATCTTACCAATCATATTAGCGCCTAAAGCAACCTTGTCAAAATCATCATCACCTAGATCTAAAAGAATAAAATGTGTTTTAGTTATATTAATAATCATATCTCAACTAAATTTCAGGTTAGGAGGTAACATGAAAATCTATATTTGATGTTAACTTATGAGACGTAATATGTATACACTGACTTTAACGCAAAAGATTGCTCAAATCAAAGTTGTTTAATGAAATATGAGTTTTACATATTGAGCTGCAGGTCAAAATCGTTTGCTGCAATAAGGGTCTCGGCGCCAAGAGGCTAATGCATGCTACTATAAGAACGCTAAGATAAGATCCTTATCAGTTAGAAACCTCCAAAAAATTATTTTGGCGACTTTTGCGCTTGAAGTCATATTATCACCAACAATCGTCAACTTAATTCAAGATTCGTAACGTCGAAATATCCACAATGCCGAAGCCACGGACGAAACGACAGGCAATTCGCGACGAAAGAAAGGCCAAGCGACGCGAAAAGGCAATAGCTGCTCAAGAAGTCAGTAAAAGTACGAAAAGGCGACGGTTGAACGATGAAGATGGCGATGATGGTGCTGTCCAACAAGAAGCTACATTTCAAGATGGATATGATCAGGCCGAGAATCGAATTGGTGGACCGCCACAGGCCGATCGAGAGTTCTTTGGAATGCTGTCGGATCAAGAACAGGAATATTTTCGCTCCGTTGACGAGCAGCTCGACATAGACGACTTCCCTTCCCAAGAAGAACGGCAACTATATCTCGCCAGTGTCTTTGCCGAGGCACAGGGAAAGGAACTTAAGCTAGCATGCAGTCAGTCATGCTCGCGATTAATGGAGAGGTTAATCTTGATGTCCAACACGAGACAGAAGAAGAAACTATTCGGCCAATTTAGTAGTCACTTTTTAAACCTCATTCAGCACCGCTTTGCAAGTCATTGCTGTGAAACCCTATTCCTACAATCTGCACCCATCGTCACTAGAGAACTTGGAGGTGCCCGCGATGATGCTCCTACGGATCAAGACGATCCGAACGAAGAACCCTTACCCTATATGGAAGAACTATTTCTTCTCGCCCTTGACGAACTCGAGGGTCACCTCGGTTATCTACTTGCCGACAAATTTGCTTCTCACACTCTCCGTGTGCTCCTAATCATTCTGTCTGGGCGCCCCTTAGAACAATCACAGACCAAGTCCCTCATCCACAGCAAGAAGAAGGAAAAGATATCAGTTCCTTGGACATCTGATGGACCAACTGAGTCAAATTCTCAATTACGGGCCGTACCTATGTCATTCAACCTGGCCGCAAAAAAAATTATCGCCGACTCGGTTTCAAGCCTAAGTACCACAGAGCTCCGGGTATTGGCTACGCATCCTACTGGAAATCCAGTTCTACAACTACTCTTAGAACTAGACATTAGTCTAAACTCGAAGGCGACCGAAGACGGCTCTGAAGACATGATGTTACTATGGAAACTTCTACCTGATGCACCTTCTTCGTTAAAAGACGCAACCACACCGGCATCAGATTTTATCAACTCGATGTTATACGATCATATTGGCTCACGCCTCCTTGAGACTCTCATTACTCATTGTCCTGGAAAAGTGTTCAAGGCTCTATATAGACACATCTTTGGGAGCCGGATCCACAGTCTTCTACGTAATGATATCGCGTCTTATCCCGCTATTCGTATCCTCAATCGACTTAGTAAAGAAGATCTAGTAGTCGCCATCCAAAAGACTTTACCGGAATTCAGCAAACTTGTCGCGTTGTCAAGATTCAACGTGATCAAAACCCTGTTCGAACGGTGCCAAGCGCGCCAAGCCATCAGCGAGATAGATAGTTTAACGAAAGCTTTAGTTGAAGCGCTCGGGTCAGATCCCAAGTTTCTAGTCCCTAAGCTTTGCCTTCTACAGCCATTGGAAACCGACGATAAGAAGGATCAAGAACTCCCCCAAAAGAACCGTTCAGCCTTAGTCTCACACGGCTCTCATTTGACAACAACGATGCTTTCTATACCCGGGTATCCTTCCAGCACAGTTCAAAAATCCATAACCGCTCTTCCGGAAGAGCTCATTCTTCAACTCGCGACATCATCAGCGCCGACATCCTACGTGTTAGTCAATGCGTTATCAACACCATCGCGAAATAAAGCCTTCCACAAAACCTTAGTCGTAGCGCTACGATCACACTCATTCCAGTTAGCTATGTCCGAGTATGGAAACAAAGTCCTTAATTCAATTATTTCTATTCCCTCTAAAGGTGACGGGATATCCATACCTTTCCACTTCAAGGAATTTATCATAGAACAGTTGGGCCAACATGAGCAAGAATTACGGGAGTCGTTTGAAGGTCGACGCACCTGGAGAACTTGGAAGGGTGATCTGTGGAGGAACAGAAGGACAGATTGGATCTCCTGGGCTAAGGAACTCGATTCTTCAACGGAGCATGCGGCGACCGCGCCTCCGAGATGGAGCGGTGCTAACGGTTATAGTATTAGAGATACGACAAAGGATGATGATTATATAAAGAAACGAAAGAGAAGCCTAGATAATGCGTTATAGTGTGTTGTCACCCGGTTAACTCGCACAGTTTTGTAACTAGCAATAGTCAGAGTGAGTCCCTTGAAGGAAAATAAAATACCCAACACTGTTCCCCAGGCGATGTTCCTTTTCAACATCACACAGTTGGCAGTTGTGACTGCAGTTATGACTGTATTCCAAGTCATGTTTGCTCTGCTCTGTTTTAATTATCAGGTACTTTCTCCTAACCTACCTTAAGCCTGCCATCCACTTAATGTCTTTCTTTTAACCATACTTCTTTAACAATCTTGTCTACTTAAAAGTATTCCTACCTACCTTTTATTCTACTCTAGTCCATGAGTGACCATCACTCCTCATGACGTTTATCTTCCATTCTATCATCCTCAGTTAGAGCCCTTAAATCCTCAGGCATCTTTACACTTTCTTGCAGCTGCTGAGCCTACAGATAGGCATCTTTATCCTCTATGATGGTTGATAGCTTCCCTAACACAAAATGCCTAGTCGTCGAGGCTACGATCTATCTAACCTCTGCAAGAAAACTCGACAATATGGACGAGGACCCACAGAACAACCCGATTCTCCCCTCAACACTACCCTAGTCATTAACAATACTCAAGGCAATAACAAGAACAATTATGTAACGTCTACCCAGTCGCAAGTACTTCATAGCCAACATGAGCAGCAACCACAACAGCCACGCTTAAGCCCCGGGTATACAAGAAGCTCTGGTCAGTATACACTCTATAACGAACAGACTAGCCGCGGATGGAAGCGCATCATTCAAGCAACGAGCTCTACTCATACATTTTCTATTGCGACTCCAACTACGTCTAATACGGCCATGAATCCCGACGATAACAATGTCAGCTCAAACCCTACTGACCTTTCACCATCGGAGGGGGGCCGCATCCGCAATAGAGGTATTAGAAAGTTAAAGAAGCGCATAACATCCATAACACAGCGCGCAATTCAAGTTTCGCAGAACGCAAAGCGGTTCCTAACACCGCCCTTTTCACACCGCGCTATCAACCTGCAGTCTAGTACGCTGGTGGTTAACCCTGCTGAAACCGCAACCCCTAAACGTGCGACCTGTAGGCAACAAGCGGATCAGACTTCTATTAACACTCAACCACCTCTACTACTTCCGCAGATTATCGTCACCTCGCCATCAGGTGAAGACAAGGATGTGCAACAGGCCTGAAGTGGGTTTAATACGGTAAAAAAGACAAGTCAAACTTGTCGACATATACTGTCGACCGCACGATACCAAGGGTAGAAGAACTCGCTACATAATAACCGTACTATGTCGAAGTAATATGAGCAAAGAACAGTGGTGTTGAAGGAAACGCATAGGAAACGCATATATGTGGTATTCATACGTCTTAAATAACCACGTTTCGTCCACATAACTTTGACGATACGCTCTTCGACCTTGAAGAGACTAGCCAATATCCAGTTGTATATTCGAGATTCAAGGTTAGCCATTCTTATTCCCCAGCCCCTACTACCCGCTTCTTTTACATATAGTATTTGCATATCTACCCAGACTACCCTCATATATTAACTAACGTCTCTCTAGCAGATCCTTGGGATACAAGAAAATACACAGAACCACAACGCAATTGACATGTTTCTTGATGATGGAAGATAGTTACCCAGACGGCTGGCCATGATAGGTGTTTGCGATTAGTTGTGCTAGGGCTCTAAGACTCGGAATATTATACGATACCTACGGTATTCCATGGCAGCTTCCCGGGATCTGTCTTACGCAGTCTCACTCGTTTCTATATAGATTGCTTTAATTTTAATTGACACTTGATTAAACAAAGACTAATGTTCAGCCTATTAGGGCAATAATAACCCAAGGTGACTAGCCTCTTCAATTCGAGAGCGGCTCGAAGGCGTCATTAAATCTAGCATTGAGAACGAATATTTATCATCACGTAAAGATGTATGTTCAGTACCTAGGTACGTACGTACGTAACTGAACAGCTTACTATAGGTATGTGTTGTTGTTAACCCTAATGCGGGACGGATATCTCGGCTTCGAATAAGACCCAGAAAGCGGCATGTTTCCCGAAGTCTTAAACTTAAACCCGCGCGAACTAAGACGCGCGTAAAGCCTAAGTGTGTAGAGAAAGGTAAAAACACGCGATCTGGACGTGGAATTCGGTATATGGGACGGATGGCTTACGTTGTTAATAACATGTACTCGGTTACCCAGATGGGGAAATTTGAGGGAGTTCTAATAATACCCGATGTCATTCTCATCCAGGTTGATTAGGGAGGGGGAGAGGACATATGAGCCTACCTGTCGACAACTGGCCATGTGTCTAGTATGGGATGACGTTCGATCTTCACTTTCAAGTCACACCGTATTTGAACTATCAACCTTGTGGAAGGATCTATAGTGATAATTAATTCGACGTTACGCATTTAAGTGCGTATGGTCGCATGATAGCTACACTACATTACTAGTCCCCCTTTTTTGTTATTTTCCCCTATTTTTGTGACTGGAAGTTGCGTGATTCATGCTAAGGCAAAAAAGTAGATATTGGTATTCATCTCCCTCTTCAATTCAAAGTAGTGCCACCCAATCCGTAGAGAAGTTCTTGTATTTATTTTTCTTTACCACTTCATTCTAAACGAATAGCTAGCATCAGCCGATTCTAGAATAATAGTTGGCCATACTAGCCAACTTAGTCTTCGTAGCGCTCGCTATATTCCAACAGGCTTTCTTCAAGTCCCGCGATGCCATTAAGTCGAAGAGTGCACTCGCCTCTTGTAATGACACTTGCTCGTATGCTTGCAACATGACTAAAAAATATTGGAATACCGTCATGTATCCATATCAAGTCATATGTAGTAGACTCGTCCCCATTGAAGCATATCTTCTCCTCCACATTGTCCGAATATTAAACATTGTAATACGTTATGGGATAAGCGACAAATACCTCCTCCCCCCCTCGGACACAACCGTTTGCGTGAAAGAACCAAAATTCAGAACGCTAGCCCAGGATACAAACAACGCTTTCATGCAAACCAACCCAGTGCTAAAACCCTAAGAGGCGCAAATCGTGCATGGCGCGTGGTATCTCCGGCGATATTGGCGCCAGAGGAATCCGGCAAACCCTTTTATATGCGAAAGTATTGTTAAGACATATACAAGACGCATCTTTAGATGTTCATACTTCATAATGAGATATTGACGCATTATTGCTCAGATCCGAAATCAACGAAACTCTCCCAGGTGTCACCCCCTGTCCCACCAGCTGGTGTACCTAGGCGGCTATAGTTATCAATAGAAACATCTGAAAGTCCCATGGTACCCTCTATTGAGGTGGGGAAGTAGTCTTCTTGAAGAGGATTGCTATATGGCGAGAATGTTTCGGCCCCTTGGTCTACTGTACTGGTCTTAGCGCTGTTATCTTGTGTTGAAATTTCGCTCGGGTAGGGTCCAAACATCTGGTAGGTCGAAGGATTCTCATCCATGAAGTGCATCGCCATTGGATCGCTCATGTCAATATTGGCCATCATCTTCACCTCATTTGAAAGTTCGGATGTGAATATGGAAGAGGATGTAGACTGCTGCGCCAGTTGTGGATCTAGATGAAGATTTGGGAAGGCAGAGGGAGTCTGATAAGGTGTACTCTTTGAGTCAGACATATCTGCATCCGTTGACGACGCAGGCGTTAATGCTGGCGGGGACGATGTTGTTGTAGCTGGAGTGTGTATCGGGGTCCCAGTCGTAATAGAATCCCTCCTGTCGAACTGCGACTGAGATGAGACTGACTGGGTTCTGGTTGCTGGAGATCCTTGAGCAGACCCCGATGTGGATAGCCGATGGGAAAAGTTAGCGTCGCTGTTCATGAGCGGCGCCATATACATGGAATTGCCCAGATTCTGCTGGTAAGTCATAGCGGTTGGAAATGATTCGCTAAAAAGTCGATTGACTTCGTTGTATCTGGCCATGGTGGCCATCGCTGCTTGGGTAGTGATGTACGCGTTCACACGATGGTTCATATCCGGCGAGTTCGTTTGTAAATGGGCAGTGAGGTACTTGTAATGGCGGGGAATTTCGTCCTCCTCTTCCTCGTACATTTCTTCCTTTAATACGATCTCCTCGCTCACTTTGAGACCTCGGCCCGTCCGTCGTCGATGAATTTCGGATGCTTGGCGGGCGGACTGCACTCTAGCCTCTAAGCTCCGGTCGGCTCGTCTGGACGCGGCAATGTAGGCCCTTTCCTGGTTTTCTTCGTGGGATCGTTCGGTCTGTAACAAAAGTTAGGGGTTTTCTGGTAAACATGGTAATTATGAGGAGGGTAAAGAGCTTACCTTTTGTACCTTGACAGGCGGGACTCGTTCGCTACCCGGCATGGCGTCTGAGATGTCTAAGGATCGCTTCGGCATGGGTTGAAATGTATATTGAACCTTATTGCTGAAGGTAGAACTGACGATAGAATCACCTCTGTACTGGTGATACGTCAAATTATCCAATAAAATAATATAATCCAAATAAGGGTCTTTGCGAAGATATATCAGAAGTCGGTTGTACTATATAGTCTCAAAGGGAAAGATTCATAAGCTGAATGTGGGGTGTTTCGGGCCTCGTTGGCATCTGCAACCACGAAGGCAAACAAAGTTGTGTGCTGGTTAACTTAAGTTGACAGTAACCCGTAGCACAGTATTCCTGGAGATGACTGCAAGTCACAGTGGGTCGTGAGATGCAAGTTATAGTTTGGGTGGAAGCTTCTGTATAAGTCGGCTCTTCTGTTTGAAGTTTCAAGTCTCTGAGTCTCTTCACGTGCTGTCTATCCTTGTGTTTATGTCGAAGCTATGCTCTTATTGCGGGCTGTCGACTTATATGAAGTCTTTATGGTATGGTTAGACGGATATGTGGTATGTAAGTCTCGTTCCTAAGTTGTGTATCTGACACTTCCGGGCTCCTATCTGGGATGGGAGCAGATGGATGAGATAAAGAGACGGGATATTGCTTGGGAGATGTTAATTGGTCTGCTGACAAAGGAGGTCGTTAGAAGGGGGGAGCAGAAGCTCAAGCTCAAGCTTAAGGTAAGGTAAGGTTAGGTAAGATGATGGTCATAAGAGGAGTATAGTAACAAGAAAACAGGAATTTGAGCTCGGAGAAAGACAAACACAATAGGTATACATATACATATACAATAATGGGATTTCTTTAAGTTCGGAATCGCGAAATGATGGAAAGTACATGATATGCAAAGCCCCATTGCGTAACAAGGCCGCAACGGAGCATACCATGTTAAGGTACCTGGCCTGGAAACCAATGGCTTCGATCGAAGACTAGAACAAGGATTCAACATATTCCCTGATGCGGGAGAATGCCCAAGTGGCGATCGATCGCGATGAGAAGCGCTTGGGACCAATGAAATAACTAGTAAGTCCTGAGACCGAGCAGGGATTAAGCCGTTGTGGCCTGGTGATAGTGCTTCAAGTAGTCCCCTAATAGGACTAGCATGAATAGCTCTCTGAGTCCTGGGTTCATAGCTCCCCGCTTTTTGTTATACGTACCATCCGAGCTGATCTATCTAGCAATGGATCTTTCATAATACGACAGCTAGAGCTTAGGTACGGCTATTTACCTAGGTAGGTACATGCGTAGGAACGTACCTAAGCTAATATCATACCTACATGTACATAGCTCAAGATATTAAAGTTGTTTATTAGCTTTCATATAATACTAAGATATACTAGCAAACTAGATTCTGTAAAGGTTGGGGCAAGTTTACCGAGAAGCGATGAGTTTGTATATTGTACCCAAGTACGTAAATCCTGTTGAATACTTAAATAGATTCGCTTGAACTTCACCAAATGATGTAAGCTAGCCGCGATCGACAACACTATAATGCTGGCAGCACGTTTCTGATATCATATAAGTAACTACTTAAAAGCTTTAGCAAACTAAATGTCGGCTCTGGGATCCGATTAAGTATAGATATACTGCGAAAGATTTTCTAATAACTACAAATGATAGACAAGAACAGATAATATCTGGGGACTCTAGGCTATTTGGTGTGAGGGGAAATTATAAAGATATGATGAACATATAAACGAATAGGTTCGCAATAACGTATGAATTGAATACGACGCAATTGTTACCTAAATTTAACGTCAATTCTCCCCCACACCTCACAACACTTTTCGAAAGATATTGTATATAGATTTATGTATAATGCTTTAAATAAGCGCCATCTCAAAGATGCACTTAAAAGTTTAACTCGTCTCCGCCCACCCGCTCTCTATCCGCCTCGATCCGCTATTAGCAGATTAGGTAGATTAGGTAGAGGTAGCTAATAAACTTGGTACCTCTTAGCTGGCCGGGTTTGCGGCATAGAAAATTTCTCTTTGTTGGCTACAAAATTTTATTTTTGTTTTTTTTTTGTTTTTGTTTTTGGCTTTTGCTTTTTTGTCCCCATAGGAAAGTTATCAGTAAGAGGTACCTACCTAATTGCTCCTCGGAAAATAGAAAATCAACATTATTTGTAATAAAAGAAATAAAAAATAAAATCTCATAGCCGCGTCCGGACCTCATTTCCGCTAGAGGCATCCCAACTTCCTCGTTACTCGTTTTACATGCCAAAGGAATCGAGATAGATTATGTGTCACCTTGGTATCGAATCATATCGACTTCTATCACCGTTACAGTCGGAGCTTTTGCTACGCGTTTATCATATTCCCATACGAGATACCGCTGAGAACGGTTAGAATTTTGCAAGACAACAACCTGCAAGCAACTGATTCTTTTTGATTCCCGCTCAGATCTTTGTTTAGTTAGAACTTTGTAGAACTTCATAGTTGACATTCAATCTTGGTCCAAACCAATTATAAGTCACTGTTGGAAAAGACATGGCAGCGATAACTCCACTAGGACCCGGCACAGCTGCATTTATCTAGCTTAATTCATCCAATCACCGCCAAAATAGTTTCACCATGCATCTGCGGACGGTAGCGTGTGTGTGTCCCGCATGAGATGCTGGGTAAGAACCAGTTCCATTGTCAGGTGAGAGATTCGATCAAGGATATATTTTAACGATTGCCGTCATATTTTTCGATTAGTGACAATCAGCGGTTGAATCTGTGAGCGGATCCAGTCGACTTGAAACAGACGAACCATAAGAGAGATGAGATTCTCCTATATTTGCTCTTTTCCTGTTTTGGGGAGGGTTGTGACTCTTTGAATCTTAGGTTGTCTTCATATTCCGGAGCAAAATGTCCGTCCCCTGAGCCCTTAGTGGCGGCTCACCTTGGGTACTTAGAGCCTTAACAATTTCTCAAAACCTCAGCTTCCAATCACATAGATATATATGGATCCTTTCTAGAGCACTTGCATGAGCCATACGTGGCGCTGTGGCTAATACTAATTAATCCCTTGGCGTTCTTTGCTCATTTCTCTTCTTTCCTAGTACCATTGACGCACATAGCTCCTCATACCTCACTGTGAACAAATTCTTTTGACCGAAAACAAGCTTAAGTGGTCAGCCGTTCGACCAAAAGGCCTAAAACGAACTGGTATGTCTTTCCCCGCAGTAGATCTTGACCTAGAATCCGAACACGACAACGTAACTATCGCATAACTATGGGATTCGGATCTCAGTCTCTCAAAATGCCATCCTGACGTATATGGGATTTGCTTTCGCCCCATCCGATACCAAGCATTTTTGATTAATTGTCATCTTACCACACGCAACGTCCCCTTTGCCACTATGTACAGTCAACATGGCAAATTCTATTGTACATATCCAATGGAACTCGCTCCGACCGTACTGACCAAATAGCTTTCCTAGTCGGTTGATCTAATGTTTTTTTAATGCAGTACTTCTTGTGAATTAGTACCTGAAAACCGCTCCCCTCTAATGTAAGCAGTCAGTCCCTTGCGTGACGCGGCATTTTCAAAGTCGACGGAGGGACTTCGGTCGGTGGGATCTAGTGTTTGCAAATTACGTCTATCCCTTTCAACCTGTACGAGTAGTTGAGGTATTGTTCATTCTCGCAAGCCTTTTCTAAGCTATTGCCTTCTCGCTCATCAATTGCGGACCACTACTTCAGCTGTCTCGCGCTATATGCTATTAGGAATCCCATTGGGCCAATTATCTAGGTATGGATCGCCATACAATTTCTATGGAGTTCAGCGTGTCCGGACCCAAGCACTACTAGTATCTAAATTCATACATGAAGCTATTTAGGGATTTATCTACCAGGATACAAACCGTTCCAAGATATCCGGTAGATCTTATGGGGCAGATCTCGTTATACCGAAAAGGGTAATTCTCTAGCATAAGGTGGCCAATTTTACCTACCAAGTTCTGTAAACCTTCTTCACAAGCTGGACCCTAAGCTACGCTCTATTTCCCCAAACCTAGAAGAACCGATAGCCCTATAAGGTAAAGAGTTTTATTAGGTTATGGTAATCGTTGTCGGTGGATATATGAAGAATGATCCTGTTGTGTCTAGGTCATTCAGAACCTTATTTAAAGACTCCCCCGCTGTATAATATTGGAAGGAGTATCGTTATTATTGCTGACAGTGAACAGGACTCATTATAGAGGCATATTTCACGCCTATCCATATCCTCCACGGCTTTGACGATAAATGTAAAAAATTATGAGGCCAGTATGACTTGCAGAGACAGTTACCTTAGGACAAAAGAAGGGAGGGCTAGGCATGAAATGGCTTAGGAAACAACACCTTGACGTTTATGATCTAACGTTCTCTCACGATCATTTAGTATCTTTGATTCAGTGTCTCTAGAGCTATTACTCTATGCTTTACTTGTGTTAACATTCCGACAATAGGACGGCCGCACCCTTTTCTGAACCCAAGAAAGATAGTACTCTGATGCTGCGTGCTAGCAGTAGCTTGAACTATCTTGACTCAAACCCGAGAACAACCAGAGAACACTAAGACGCACCAGTCTCCCACGATCATTCGCCCCTTATACAAGCCCGTCTCCGTAAGGAGCAATGTCCATCGAATGAGAGAACGTATGTTATTTTCTAAAGTATGAAAGACAACTTTTCGTCTTCCAGTAGGCTGGTCGATCTTCACTCTTAGCATTGGCGCCAAAAGTTCCTTCAGATCGCCCTGACTATGTTCGTATGAAATAGTGTCCGGTAGATCGGCTTAGGGCCTTGGTGGACCCCAACAACTCGGCCTTCAACATTTCTAATGTCGGTCTAGTAACTACCTGACTTTAGGTTTGGTCCCAATCGGTGTTCTTGGTATCTCCCTGCTCGTTCAATCTATATTCGCGAAGTTTAACATCAGAACTTCTACATAACTCGCGGTCCCGGTTCTATACTATTGGTTTGCGCTGGCAACGCAATGACACCGTAGGTTCTTGTGGGTCTATATTATCCGTACGATCTCCCGGCATCGTGATCCACAATCACGGCTGGGACCCGTGAGGCGCTATCCAGGTAGCATAGCTATGCCCTTGCCATTTGAGGTCTAGCTACTAACGCTTAAGCCTCCTATAACGGGGTCTCGGGAAGCTAGGACCCCGAGGATACTCAACCCAAGGCGACAGCTTAGCGTTGGATATTACGTTACTTTGATATCCCAATGTTATCGTCAAAGGCTAAGAGGAATTGTTGGAACCAAATCAACTGCCTCCACGAGATCCTATCTGAGTTTGAAGATATAGTCCCCCCCGGCTTATTGTAACTAAATCTAGCCTCATCAACCTGATGACCATGACGCGTGATGAGGTTCGCGTGAAGTTGTCCAGAGGGACGGACATATGAGCTTGGTCGCTCGAGTCTTTCAAAAACGTATACTCGCATTTTCCTGCGCTATCAACGTCTTATTCCTCTGTGTCCGACTACTAAGGTAGTTTACGATATGAGAGCCACGATAGTCTCCTGAAAGTCCACAGAACATGCATCAGCTGAGAAGCGATACATCCCACCCATACCGAATTTTACACGTTTTCTTTTTTGCTCCAGTCCCCCTATTTCAAAGTAGCCACCCAGGTTCTTGCACGTTACCTTTGCGGTCTCCTCCTTAGCAGGAATTTTATTCTACATGGAACAATGGCCTACAATGTAGATAGCTACATTCTATATCAACTGTGTTTTATTTTTCTGTGTTTACCCCTCCAAATTCAAGGATCTAATGGCACCACAGCAACCCCGCGGGACACCAAGGACCCCTCACCGCCCCGGTTTCCAAGGGGTGAGCATGGGAATAGGAGGCGACCTATTCCAATTTCAAACCATCTATAGCTGCAAGAGTCTTGGATATATTCTAAATCGGGTCGTTTTGACCGCTTGGCCGCATTGACCTTCCTCCAACCTATTTCCCGACTCCGACGCGTGCCGTCGTCGTACGTTCTCACGGTAGGCATGCATGCAAATCCGCACGTGGTCCGGGATCAGAGAGCATCTCACTTGAAGATCCCGGTCCTCTATCATGTCAATCATCCCGACACCCCAACGATGCCAGCTCCAGTTTCTATGCTGTTACTTCTGGGGCCTTTATACTAAATGGTGATGGTATGCTTCACACCGCTCCTATTGTGGGCGAGTCTAGTTAATCGAGGTTGCAATGTATTACTTGTTGATCTTAGAAATATGCATGGGTTGGTTTTCAGCGGTGCCGAGCCGTAGGGGTAACTGACGAATCAGATACGCGCCTGTTCTGTGATCTCGCTCGCTACCAAAGCAATTAAATCAGATATGTGTCTTTAAAAGAGCTTTTCATGCAACCAGACCGTTCGTCTATAGGGGTTGATACAACATACTGCCGCATGTTGGCTGGTTCGTGCATGAAGTTTCATTGTAACAGGAGCCAGCATATTTTCATGCCCTGTCTGTGCCGTACCCATGCAGATTCGCAAGCGCACATGGTATAACCCTAGCTTCTATAGATATCGAAATCCCAGGAGGTTGGAATATTTATATGCAGGATACTGGCCATGAATTTATGTCGAAGTCTAGCTATCTAGTTATCAAAATCTAAAAGCTGTATATAAGGATCCTACTTGGATCATAGCAGAACGAATTTCAAACAATCACTACCCACCCATATCATTAAGAAAGAGACATCATGGCAGCATCACAGCCAGGGCATTCCCTCAAGTACGACCCCGAGTTTGGGGCGTTTTGGGCAAAACTTGGCGGTGCAGTCCAACCGGCACCCGACCAGCCGATAGCTGAGCTACGTGAAGCCAACGACGGCTTCATGCGTGCTATGTTTGCTCAGTTCCCAGCGCAGCCTCACGTCGTCAGAACCAAGCACACAACTAAGTCATACGATGGCACCGAGGTCGATGTCTACCGGTATGCCACCGAGGAACAGAGATCAAGCAAGACGCCACTACCGGCAGTCTTGCACATACACGGCGGAGGTATGATGGCTGGAACCGTTGATATCTTCGCACCTTATATCGCTGGCCTTGTCAACGACACGGGCGTCCAATTCTTCGCTGTCGAGTACCGCCTCGCGCCCGAGCACCCCGACCCTACTCCGATCGAAGATAGCTATGCGTCCCTAAAGTGGCTCATAGAGCACGCCGCCGAATTCAATGTCGATGCCACACGGCTCGGTGTTATGGGCGACAGCGCTGGTGCCGGTCTTGCAGCAGGGACGGCGCTCCTAGCTCGCGACCGTGGCTTAAAACCTTCTCTAAAGAAGCAGATCCTTATCTATCCCATGCTTGACGACAGAACCATCACAGCCTACCACGCTCCCGACTACAAGAATCCACTAAAGGATTTCGTAGTCCTCCCCACAGACACTCTCATCCGCTGCTGGGAGTTCTATCTTGGCAAGGACAAAGCGGGCAAGCCCGAAGCCGATGTAAGCCCTTATGCAGCGCCATCGCGAGCAAAGGACTTAAGTGGACTCCCCCCTGCATATATCGAAGTCGGCAACCTCGACTGGTTCAGAGACGAGTCGATCGACTACACCACACGATTGACCAACGCGCACATTGAAGTTGAATTCCACATCTTCCCTGGTGTACCTCACGGGTTCGAGGTAGCTGGTCCCATCAGCACGACCAAGAAAGCTGTTGAGCTACGAACTAAGGCCATACAAGACCTGTAAATAATGAGATAGATGAAAAATCACTCGAGTAAAAAAAAAACTACGTCGAGAAAATAAGAGTCAATGTTAATTCTCACCAACTTTATTGCTGGACCTATGTGCCTAATGCCGATGATATGAAATTGTAATTAAAATCTTGGTCATGAAGCTTGTAGAAGCACAGTGCAAGTTAAGCAAGTCAAAATGTGACGATTCAACTCCACCCGTGATGTTTCGGCAACCAGGTCGCAACGTGGACGCCCTGTTTCGTGAGCGGTATTTCTTATTACACAAAAATAACTTGCAAATAAACCCGCCGTATGCCCGCCCTACGTAGGGGTGTTTAATGTATAAGTGGAGTGAGTGGATGATTGCCAAGTTAGAAAAAGCAAAAACATCAGCATGACATATGCACGTAAAAATCAGTTTGGCATTTGACGATCCGAGAGTTGTGGGCTAACGGTGGCGGATATCTACCCCGCCAAAGCCGGGACAGGTAAAAAGATGGAAAAGAACAAAGTAAGAGGGGAAAGGGAACATAGAAAATCATGAAGAGATTGGGTAAAGGGAAAATAATAAAGAAGAAAAAAAGATAAAGGATAAAAAGAATGAAAAAAGAAAAGAAAAAGAAAGAAAAAAATAGAGGCTGCTGATCCCATTTAACTGGGAAGCATCAGGAATTGAGCCCGATGCGGGGGTCGAACCTTTGAGGTGATGTTAGCATTGATCATATAAATCTCAGATATTGAGTATTGACTTACCCGCAACCTTGAGATTAAGAGTCTCACGCTCTACCGATTGAGCTAACCGGGCGTAAAAGATGGTTCGAATTTGAGGTATATATTTTGTAGGACGTTCGTGTGCGAGCCATCGGAAAACTACCCGGTACCTACCTAACCAATCATGATTCTAGTTTGAAGTGGGCACTGTATTATTCCTCGGCCACATAAAATCGCGTACATAATTCGATCAAATATAAAAAAGCCGAAATATAATAAGGGGAAATCAACAGTAGATCGAAGAATTAAGCGCAAGGTAATATTAAAAAGATGAAAGCTGGTGAGATTTATCTCGTAGAACATAGAGCAGAGCGGAACTTGGTGGTATTGATTAATAGTTATATCTCATTCTAACCAACATACTTGTAAGACTATCAAAGTAACGGTCACTACGTATGTCTTATTCGAGCTTAAGCATCCTACTTACCTATAACCCCTTACATATGTACAAGTATATGCTAAGTACTGCTATCCGAGGATCTATTTTATACCGCTAGTATCTAAACTCTCCTTAGAAGTCATAAGCACCAAGATACTTAGGTACCTATAGTGATGATCTACACATTTTAATATGATAGCTTTATATCTCTTAATGCTAATATAGATATGGTTAGCATAATATTATTTCGTTTGACGTGAAGTTATCTAATGCATGTATGACTTAGAAACCTAATGGATATGGAACACCAAACTACCTACCTAGACAAATCTAATAGTCTCACGAGGCTCTTCACATGTACGGCAACATGACAGGTAGCTTCAGAGTATTGCTTAAAACTGTGGGCTTATCGCAGAGATTCATATATCGAAATAAAAGCTATGTTTTAAGCCGCCACATATATATGACTTTCGTACCAACGTGGGTTAGTTGAACTCAAGAGTAAACCCATACTTTCAACTAAATATATCGAATAAGTCGATCGTTTAATAGGCTTTATTTAAGAGTGATATCCAAAAGACCCTATCCAGTATCGTGACTATGGAGATGTAAAGTTACACCGTAAAATATAATTTCTTCGACTTCGTTTAGTGATACGATATTAAGAGTACCCTCTAAGCTCTCCCTAAGCTTTCCTATAACGAGATATTTCTTGTTTGAACATACTGACAGTCATGCCGATAGTTATATTTATTAATTCCTTGATGTTTATACTAGGGATACTAGGTAGTATCTGTTACTTAGCAACTGATACTTTCAGCAATGTATGTCTCCAAAGCCTCAAGCCTAGAGTTGTGGCCACGAAAAAAACGTGCTAGTTCAAGATGGAACGACCTCCTTCCCTACCTCTCGTAATGCTTTCACAAGTCCCTCCACAGTACTCCTCAGGGTCTGAGTGTTCACTACCACGCGGAAGAGGCTACCCTTTGGGCCAGGTGCGTAGTCTACCATGAAGCCCCTCGGCACAAGCTTCGCGACCATCTCGCTGGTTCGCCGCGTGGTCTCCTCTTGGTCGTCGGGTAACGCACCGCCCGGAGCATAGTAGAAACACACCTGTAGACATGGTGGTGGGTTGCTGGATAGGAGGTAAAAGTCGCCTGAATCTTGTATGAGCGTTGCAAGGTACGCTGCGGTGTTGAACGCGTGGTCAATACGCTTCTCGAACCCCTTATCACCATAGTAGATCCACGAGAGTGCCAAATTCAACGCGTCGCCACGACGGCCACATTGGAGCGTCAGATCTGCTAGATCCCATATTTCGTCTTCGGCGCCTGCATCATGAAATAGGTATCCCGCACGCAGAGTGTTAGCGCGCTGGAAGACCGTGACATCGTTAGTGAGCAGAAAAGAGCAGGGTATGGGCACATTGAGCATCTTGTGCGGGTTAATGGTCACGGAATTGGCATGCTGTGACCCGGCTAGCTTATGTCTCTGCTTTGCCGAGAAGATTGCTGGTCCGCCCCACGAGGCATCGATGTGTAGCCAGATGCCAAATTCCTTGCAAATGGGCGCTATCTCGGCGAATGGATCATATGATCCCCATACAGTTGTTCCGGCAGTTGCGTTGACATATAGGGGCGTCTTGCCCTCGTCCTTAGCACGAAGGATAGCTGTACGAAGCGCCGATGGGATTATCTGACCGGCTGAGTCGACTGAAACCGTGATGACGCTGTTAGAACCGAGACCGCATGTGACAGCTGCCTTCTCAACCGAGTAATGTCCGTGTTCACTGGTGAAGAGTGCGAATTGGCGGCCTTGGTTACCGGAGGTCTTCACATCGGGGAACAAGGCGTTTCGGGCGATGACAAGGGAAGTCAGGTTTGAAGCACTGCCTCCTTGACAAGTAACGCCACCTGCTCCGGGGCCAGTAAACCCAAATAGATTTGCTAGTTTACGTGCGGCTGTCTTTTCGATGATCGTCAGTGCTGGAGAGGTTTTCCAGACATGCACCTGCATTGTATTAGAGACCCGAAAGAATTAAGGGGTAAGAGGACTTACATTGGTGTTTAGTACTGTAAGGACGAGCTCTGATGCCACGCCAACCTATTTAGCTATATAAGCTTATATTTTTAAGAGGTTTTGTGCTTCTTTATGATCATTTAGGGGGTAGCTTACTGGATTGATGCTTGAGTATAGCTTGTCCATAAATCCCTGATCCCACGTATTTACGCTGTATCGTAGGATAGTTTGGATGATATCTAGTAGACCTTCTTTCCCTACTCCTTCCTCTGGAATTGATATGCGTAATTTCTTTACCAACTCCTCTGGTTTATGCGAATCAACTAGGACATTTTTACCCGGTGTCCCTTGAACATCTGCAGCTATAAAGCCGCTAGCTCGACTTGGAGCGGCTTTGTCTGCATCCCTGATAAATGGTACGAGAAGAGATTTTACTGCGTCGATTAACTGGTTATGATTTAGCTATGTAACATAATATTACTATATGTTGTGTACTAGAATTAACTTACATCTTCGACCTCATCGGCTCTGTTTAACTTCTGCTCGTCGGCGCCGTTACGCTCATCGACTTGGATATTTGTAGACATATTTGACGATCGTGCAATGGTTAAATTGACGTCGTGGATTTGGAGGTTTCTAGAGGTTTAAGTAAATCTCGTTTATAAAATCATTTGTCTTGGTTAAAGCTTCCCGTGTTTGACTATCTAATATCTTAGAAGTATCCAGGTGCTTGAAATTTTTCGGCTACCCTTTCCATGAAGATGCTTTCTGCAAATGTAATTGCCGAGACCCACTGCGTAGGGTAGTTCTCGGAGCTACCATTCGGTGTAAGCGATCGCGTGCTTCCCGGAGTTTTAGTGCAATGATCGGAAAAGGAAGCATTGCGATAGTGTTAGTCAATCCATGAGGAAACCACATCCTATTTTTCTACCGCATAGAGGTAGCTAGCTAACTTATAACTTAACCCTGTATAAAGTGAGAAAAATCGAATTATCAGATTACGTGTAATGGCGTTATCGCCTCTGTTACAATACCATCTTACAATACCGGGACATCACAAAATGTCTTGTCACAATATTCCGCCGAATGAAATGGGTATACTTGGACAAATCCCTTTTGATAGCCTGTGATGTCACGCCAATTTCATCCTACCTCTTACAAACGCCATAATTCCCGGAGCCTTGCCAAACAACTGAATCCAGCTTATGCCATGTAAGTGAACATGTTTTATGTTTACCTCTGAGGAAAAGGTATCATTCAATCCGTCCATCCGTTGCATCGTGTTCTCGTAACGCTCTCAGTCGACTCGTTTCTTGGTGTCGATTGTTTCTCCCCCGTTTTGCTCGGTCGTTTTACCATTACTAACACCTATATCGCCATCATCTTCACCCTCATCCCATGCGTCCACGGCGTTCTCGTCCCAGTTGTCGACTTCTTCTTCGAGTGTGCTAGCCCTTTCATTTTCAGCTGCTGTCATGACACCCTCCTCTTGAGCCTCGATATCCTCATCAAGTTCGAGATCTGTAGGGTCCTCACCCGGAACAGCGTTGTATTGTCTACGGGAACGTTTCCTCTCTAGCATTCTTAAGTGGTACCAGGAACACAACCCGAGCCCCACCAAGCTGCCCACAATATTGGCGGCAATGTCGAAGGGGTCAAACTCTCGTCCGTTAGGAAGAAACCCTTGGAGGAATTCGGAGCCGACACCGAGGCCTATGGTACATACAACCACGGTGAAGTTGAGGGTACGGCGACGGTTCGTGTCGATGATCCAGTAGAAAGCGACGGTCAAGAGGAAAAAAGTTAAGAAGTGTAGGACTTTGTCATTGATAACGGTGTCGAGCTGTAGGGACGAGAGTCCTGCGTAGCCTGCAAGGAGACATAGCAGGAAGAAAACTCCTATAGATGTTTCGTTAACTTATGATCTTCACAGGGGCCGTGATGTAAAGCTTGAGCGATTGTCGGAGATCGTCATAGCAAGTCCGGGAGCCTCTTAACTATGGAACGGAGCATATTAGGCAACAAAGAAAAGAAACTAGGGAACAAACCTGCAAAAGGTAGGCGAATTCGCATGTTGGAGTTTATAAGAGTTTAAACGGGGATAGTATGTATGGGCATGGTTTCACACGGGGGTATTGTTAATTGTTGTAGATTGTAAAAATCTTATGATGCTTAACAAAAAAAAAAGATGTCGCTGAAGTGAAGAAAGTTGGCCCGGGTGAGCTTCACTTCGGGTTTCCAGTGATGGAAAGCAGACGGGGTTCCACTTCTTTCGTCACCTAGCCCACCCACCTGGTCCTGGTTGCTGAAAAGATTTGGGGCTTCGACTGATAGGCAGATACATAGGTTGTACAATGGTTGAGCTGAATTACATAAGCGACCTAGACTTATTTGGTGTACATACCTAAGTTACATATACGTATTAGGTACCTTATGTAACTGGAAACCTGCATGGACTTTATTATCTGCAGCTGGCCGCCTGCCCGCCGCCTGGGGTCAGCTAGGGACTTAGATATTCCCCACTAGCCACTTATCAGATCACATAACTCTCCACACTTTCTAATGTCGGGGTTTCGGAATATGCAGGTCGGGGCTGAGCTGAATTGGTATATATAGGTAGTCATTTTTTAGAGATCTATAGATTTGAGACAGCCTAAGTCCCGGATGCTGTGCTACTATATGATGTACTTTGTTGTATTACTAAAGCCCGAATAGGATATTCCTGACATTAAAAAAATGTGGCTGTGAGACGAAAATTTTGTGGCCGCTGACTTTCAGCCATATGTAATGCTTAGCACGTGACGAGTATGATTATCTAAACGAGATCATTCGATTGGAAATTCGGTTGCTTGCGGGGGCTTTGAATATGTACCTGATGTATACTTTCCGTCACGTCTTCAATATACATTGAACGTGTATGTGTCTCTTTGAGAAACAAGATATTCTAATACTATAATTGAGGACGTAATAGGATAATTAACTGAAAATGAAAAATCATTATATTTAGTATGAACTTAATAGTGCAACTATAAATTTTGTTAAGCTAGGTATCTTCTACTGTTGTTTGATGAGTGCCCAGTCCGTCTTCATAAATGCAGCGGGTTGTCATCGCAAATGCGCAATAGCAGGCAGATAGAGACCTAAGGTGCTGATTTAACAAGTTATGGCGGGTTCTCAGGGGCACATTACTTGGATTGGTCAGGTGCGGTTAGTGGTTATCTAGGTACCTAAGGTTAGGTACTTATAGTTACTACTATAAAAGTAGAGAATAGAAGGTACCTTAAGAGGTAGTGTATTATTCATTGTACATGTAATAGGTAGTTCAATGTACCGCGGTACCCCCATCAAGTCATAGTACTAGGGATCCGCTCAAAACCTCCTTCGCCATAACCTCACCCTTTGAATATACGCGAAATCGCCTTGAACAAGACGCATCAAGGTATCACCATTCTTATCAAATTTTCTTCTAAAACAACTTCTGTCATCTAATTCGATGTCGCTCAATTTTATACTATCAATTTAGGGACCTTAAACACCCTATTCCCGTATCGACGCGACTGTAATTTCTTCCCGCATGGCTCCCGCCACCATTTCATCACTTTAACACGCCTATAAGGCCATCATGTCTATCATGAACGGCCAGCATGCCTGGCCACCGCCGCAACATCATCAAGTCATTGGAAAACGTCCCTTTCATAGTCCTACTGATGCTTTGACACAATCCAACGATATTATGGATAATTCCGCCGCGTCGGTGCCTGAGGCATCAGATATCGACGAGGACCGCGTGAGGGCCCACTTTCGTGAATTGTATCACCAAAATGAAGCTCGCATTGCGCAGATGTTCGCCCCGGATGGTTCTATTAATCGTGCCGCTATAGAATCATGGAGGCGACCAGTTACACCTTCTACGGCCCCTCCTCCAACTACCGACCATACCGCCGTACAAGAACGTCCTGCCAAGAGAGTCAAAAGAGCGATCGATGAAGACGACTACGGGGACGACGATGAGGATGAGGATGAAGACGACGAAGACATTAATAATAACACTAATATATCTTCACTTAAATCTAAAGTTGCCACCGCCACCGCTGCCGCAAAAGGCCTCCCGTCTCCTTCTAAGTCAGGAAGCTCTCCTATCGCGTCCGTGCCGTCACCTTATAAACTTGACGATAGAACGAAAGATGATAGCCAGTCGGGGTCGCATGGATCGCAGTCGCAAGCCAACAATTCGGAAGACGCGCGCAAGCAGTTGGAAGAAGCGCGGAAAGATACCGAAGAAGCTGCCAAGCGTAGTTTCTATACTACCTTTTATACACTTGAGAATGATCGGGCTGCTATGTTAGAACAACAGCAGCTCGAAGAATCTGAGAAGCAGCTTCAGGCCGAGATGGATAAGAATACCAGCGGCAATACGAGCGTAGGCACGTCCGGGGAAAATCATGGATCGCTCAGTAGCGCAAACCTAGGCGCATCCAGTTTAACCCTCAAGCATCTTATTGCGCGTATAGATATGAAGCGCGATATGGTGCGCGCATCAGATGCCGAGTTGCGCCTCCTTATGAACGAAGTTCGTAAAAATAGAAGCAAGTGGGCTAGCGAAGAGAACGTTAACCAGGAAGATCTATACGAGGCTTTAGAAAAGGTCTTGACCGAACTCAAGGCACATACCGAATATTCAACCCCATTCCTCCAGAGGGTTAACAAAAAAGACGCTCCCGATTACTATAATTGTAAGTTTCGCGCGACCACCGAGGTTCGATTACGTTAACTGACACTGTCGTAAAGTCATCAAGCAGCCCATGGATCTCGGCACGATGACTAAAAAATTAAAGTCGCTGACTTACAAGTCCAAGTCCGACTTCGTTATAGACCTTAATTTAATTTGGGACAACTGTCTGCGCTATAACCAGGACATGGGCCACCCATTGAGGCGAATGGCCAACGGAATGCGCAAGGAAGCTGAGAAGCTCATTCCATTAATCCCGGACCTTGTTATCCGCCCTCGTGCTGAAGTCGAGGCTGAAGAGAGACGGAAGCAGAATGGTGGCGATGATGACGGTGGTGATGATTCGGATGACGAGCCGATAATGTCGTCTCGCGGCCGAATCACCGGTGGAGCGAAGGGATCAAAAGCTAGGAAGACACATTCTAGCCAGAAGGAAATGACTCCCGGCGTCGAACAGAAGCCAGTGCTGCAGCTAAATGGATTGTTAGCAAAAGCTCATAGAGAAGGTTCCGAACTCGATGGAAGTAACGGGTTTGGAACCCCTCCTATTGCGGGCTCTATGACACCTAGTGGGATGAATGGCCATTCAGGCATGGGTAGCAACGTGGATGCCATGGACATTGACGGCCCGGAATTGAACGGCATGGCATTAGGACAGGCGCTGAATGAAGCCGCCCAACAAGCTTATGAAGACGAGGAACACAAAATCTGGAAGCAAGTGACCAAGAAAGACCGCGCGCTAATTACCAAGAGTCGGTTTCAACTTTTTAACAATAATAAGTTGAATGTCGACGAGCCTGCATTGCTTCGAACTAAGGCTGGCATGCGTCGATTCCTACGTGGTCAGCAACAAGCGGAAACTATGGGCTTGGTTGGTTACACTCAGGATCCGTCAGCTAGTCTAGGCAAGGAAACAAAAGCAACTGAAACCCTCGCAGAGGGTATGGAAGAGGATGAAGAAAAGGCTATCCCCGACTATTATGACATCCAAAGCATCGTACCTGATGTCTCGCCAGCCCTCCAGTGGGTCGAGGACACCGAAGGCCATGTCATTAACCAGCATGAGGAATTTCTCCAAGCCTTGCCGCAGGGCTACTTCACGGCACCTAAGAGTAGCCTAACGCAGAAATTCGATGCCAATATTCGACAGATGCAGGAGACGAGAAAGATCTGCTCCAAGATTGGTGTCATAAAGCAGATGCAGCTCCAGACCCAGGTATAAACTACATTTCTAATACCATCGTACTTGCATCATTAACTAACTGATGTCTCTTAGGTTTATGCGAACCAATTTCCGAAATATAACCCCGAGCCGTTCCAAGAAGCCGATGTTGAACCGCATGTTACGTGTGGTGATAACATCGTAATGGCGCCCGAGGTTTGCAGAGCGGGGATGCAACGGTCTGTTGCGAAGATCTTCTACCATGCGGGTTTTGAAGAACTCCAGCCGTCTGCCATGGACGCTATCACTGACATCGCTGCTGACTACTTCGGAAAGGTGGTACAGACTGTCAAAAGCTACACCGAGATTGAAAAGAAAGACCCCTCTGCCGAAGACCTCCAACGTGGTTTAACAGCTCGGTCCCGTTATACCCCTGAAGAGGCTCTGCTCCATACGCTCAATGAGAGTGGCTATTCGATTGAATCGCTTGAGAGTTATGCGAAGGACGAGGTCGAGAGGCTTGGCCATAAATTAGTTGGCATTCACGAGCGTATGAAGTCTCACTTGGGTGATCTTTTGCGTCCCGCGGTAACCGAGGCGGGTCAGGACGGGGCCGCCGCCTTCAATGATGGAAGCGAGCAGTTCGTTGGGGGTGATTTCGCCGAGGAACTTGGCGAAGATTTCTTTGGATTCAAAGAACTCGGTCTCGCCGGGGAGATGGGCGGTGTACTCTCAGTTCCTCTTCATCTCCTCCAATCGAGGGTTCGTAGCCAATACCAGGTCCAGAACCCAACGCAAGGTACTTCCGATGAGGTCCTCTTTGAGGATCTCTCACCTCCTGAACCCATTACCAAGGAGAATATCCAGGAGCAGATTGGCCTTGTCAAGAACTTCTTCCTCGCTAAGCTGCACGCTAATGGCGACTCACCTTTGGTGGAAGATGAAGACTTGCCTGTCAAGCAGCGACGACCTCGGCCACGTCTTGGTGCTACTGGCAAGATTGTTTCACCTCAGAAGCGACCCCCCAAAGAGCAGAACGCCATCAACAAGAAGAAAAAGAAATTAGAGGCCCAAGCAGCCGAAGCTAGCAAGGCGACAAATAACAGTCCTGAAAAAGGCGGCTCGAAGAAGAAGAGTCTGTCCATGCCCAACGGTAACAGCCTTGCGAATGGTTCATCTCTACCTCCCACTGCTCCTCCTATGGAACGTGGGGGGAGTACACAAAGCCAAGGCAATAACAGCCAGACGGATAAAGAGGACAATGGTATGATGAGCCCAGAGAGTATGGAGCGTTAGAGAACCGTACACCAAGAGCTTGTCGGCCCTTATACTGACCAGCCATGGTGCTACTCTTCTCATCATCTACCCTTTCGGAAAAGTAGTAACGCAGTGTTTGATTAACCTTTCCCATCCCTATTCTATACTCTATTTAGCGGGATATCCATTTTTCCTTTCAGGTTTTCCTTAGACGTAGCCTGGAACCCAAGGGAGGGTGCGCGGCGTATGTTAGTGCATGGGGGCGTTTTGTTCAGAGGGATGCCGATGAATATTCACCCTTTCTCAAGTGGACATGGTTCTATATTTGGCTCGTGTTCTTGCTAATGATTTTTTTTTTTTTTTTGGTACGACTTGCATATATCTGGATGGATGGACGATGACTGAGGAGACAGACAGGACGGCATATGGATGAGTCACGCAGGATCGATCGACAGGGCACCCGAGATGCACACCATGTACATAGTTCTCCCCCGCCACACACACGTTACCTTATTCCACCACCACACATCTAGCTATATGAGCTACCCTGTATCATACTGAATCTGACAGGCACTCCTGAGCCTCAATTTCAGCATTCGCGACTAGTAACGTCAAGCAATGGTTCTTATTGAACGTGTTGGTCTATTGTAGATATGTAAATTAGCTAACCTTGACTCTTCGCTGTATTAGTTGCCAATAGGGATTTTTTTAATAAGCTTTATTATGAAGCCCTTTCTCTTTATATCCCCTTAAATACTTACAACCCAAGGCAAGGTTCTCTATGAGACCTAGTTCCAATATCTAGGTATATTTCTAATATTCTCATTTCAAACCCTAGCTCGTAAGTGCCAAGTACCAATTCAAACAGCAAAGGCGAATTGTGTGATATCCAAAGCATCCATCCAACTCTTATTTAAATTAAGCGTCTATCTCGACCGGAGCCGGCACTCCCTCGCGAGCATTCATCCTCTTCCGAAGACCTTTCGCAAATCCCCTCAGTGCACTGGCCCGGGTACCCTGTCGCACGAACGCCTGGTCGATCTCGCCAAGACTTAAACCACGGGTCTCGGGCATGAAAACAAAGCACACGGCGGCAGTAAGCAGGGCACAGCCGCCAAACAGGAAGTACGCCCCGTAGCTAGTGCGGGCGAGTAGTGTGGGTGTTACGAGCGCCACTAGGAAGTTACTCAGCCAATTGCTGCCGTGGGCGATACTGGTTGCAGACGCTCGGGTTCGTTGCGGCTGGATCTCCGCTGCGTAGATCTTGATCCCGACTGCCCATGATAGCGCATAGATCACCGCAAATAAGTAGATACATACTATTACTACCCATCGCCCAGCGCCAGTACTGGCATGTACTGCGTCTCCTGCGTATAATGAGCCCACTGAAGATGTATAAGTTAGTAATTAGGTATTTGCTTCAAACTGGTAATGTGAGTGTGTCTTAGGCAACCACTCTAGTATGAATTCCATTAAAGAGTTCTCGAATATACATACTGAGGAACATGGTTATGGCCATACCCAGACCACCGAGGATAGTGTTGGCGCGTCGGCCCCATTTGTCTGCCAAGATGGCGGCTGGGATAGTGACGGCGAAGATAACAATGGCCGAGACGCCAGAGGCGAGAAACGTGGATTCGTTTGAGGATAACCCGGCTTGTTGGAAAAGGAGGGGTGCGTACTAGATCAGGGTTAGCTTTTACATTTGATAAAGACACATGCTATAACTTAAAGGATAACTTACATAAAGAACGCCGTCAATGCCACTCAGCTGTTGCATACCCATAAGGAAGACCGCTAAGAAGAGACGCGGCCGAGCATCCGAGGAGAACACGTCAAGCAATTCTGTCTTCTTCGACTTCGAAGCGGCAGCAGTGGTAGAAGTAACCTGCACAGCGCCTGTGCCACCACTTGCATCAGGAATAGCAGTTTCTATTACCGAAGCATCGTATTGGTCGAGAATCTTCTCTCGATCGGCGGCAGGGACGTCAAGTTTCTCCCAAGCCGCAGATGCTTCTTTCGTTTTCCCGTGAAGTGTGAGCCATCGCGGAGACGCAGGAAGCCACATAAGAACGGCGACCGAGAATACAATGGAATAAGCGGCGAGTAAGATAAATGGTAGACGCCATGAAAACGATGACTGTATATTAGCAGTACCGTAACAGGTGAAGAACCCCGTAACTAATCCAAGAGTGATGAGCAACTGGGGTCCGGTAGTCAGAGCGCCGCGGTTTCTCGGAGGGGATATTTCGCAGATGTAACTAGATTCCAGATAGAATAAGACTCTGTTTATTCTCATCGATCGTTGTAGTGTAACTTACACTACTAATACACTAAGATAGAGGCCTTCGCCGATTCCTTCGATGACACGGCCGACTATGAACATAGCAATATGAATCGAGGCACCTTCGAGAGCGGCACCGGCGCCGAAAATAAGAGAGCCAATAGCAATCGCATAAGGGCGACCAAGCACGTCTGCTACCCTCCCAGCGAAGAAGGACGAGATCGCAGCGGGAATAAGGATGGAAGAGACTATCAGACCGTGTATTGTTGGGGAAGGGTTACCGACATATGCTGTGAAGTCCTCCATTACGGTTACAGGGCCGATGATGCCGGTGTCAATGCCGAATAGGAAACCACCCAAAGAGCAGATAATGCTGGCGAGAACATAGCCCGGGGGCTTTTGGAATGAGCTGAGTAACTGCATATTTTCCGCACGCAATGTCTAACCTCTCTCCAAGAACTCGTTATTATGGATTTAAGTTTAAAAATGTCTAACCGGAGCTAAAGTGTAATGCTTATTATTTTATATTACAGGTACCTACCTAGGTAGTTATATAAAGGACAAAGAAATAAGAGAATACACTAGCCGTCAGCTATTTGAACAAGAGAAATGCTATCAGCAGAGGCGGGGGCATGATGCAGGTGATGGTTTTTAAAGTACGGGGTGTCGTTTTCTGGCTAGTCGATTTGCCCTTTGTGGTATCGTGGGTCCTTCCGGCGTTAATCGGAGGGCGTTCGGGGTGGGGACTAAAGGGCGCGGAAGACAGCCGGAATGTGGAGGTACATGTAAGGAACGACTATTCGCTCTTGCCTAATGAAATGCTCCCGTATAATCCACTTTCCTTAATACATGGACCTATATGCATTTTAGGGACTAGGAATAAGTATAACTACTAGGTAGCATTTAGACCTCGGGTTATCAGTTTACGCGAGAGACTGCCGGTACATTTATATAAAATACCTACATGACGTTAAATGCACGTTATATGAAGTGAAATGTGAGATGAATGCAATCTGTAAATGTTGAGATATTATTAAATATCATACAGAGCCAATATATCCAATTTCTGTGAGTATTTATAATAATACATAGATCTAGGAAAGGCTCTTAATTACTAATTATACAAGATACGAGTAAGTTGAAAGTATCGCACGGCCAAAATTATACATTCGATATCACCTCGTATTTGTCCTGCTCCTCGTTGTAGTTAGGGTGCTACGGGAATATATCTTCTCCTAGTTCCACTGTATTCCAAGGCCGCATCAGTTTGTCTTCAGGAAATGTTGGGACTGATAGAGAGGATGGATCTAGATCGAGACTTGTCGTATTCTGGTTTCTGTCAATCAAATGTTGGAGGATCTTATAATCCTGTGGGAACTATAACTCTACAAGATCTCGAAGAGTAATCTCCCAATTGCGTTGTTCTGCAAAGATTGCAAGGGCGCAAGATCTTGACACAACCCCCCAGGATAAATGATCATTTGTAACACTAGTATAATCTGCTCTGACTTTTAAAACGACTTCGTTATTGTGCTTGTTACGGTATACGGGGCTAAAACATAATCTAAATTGTACCCTGGCACCATACCGAAGACACAGGTCAAGTAAACGTAATGGTTGTATGAAGGTTTCAGGAGACAGAACTTGGTGATCATACTGAATAATGTACCCATAACAGAATATATATGTCCGGAGTATTAGTTCAAATAACGATAGCCCCTGAAATCCAAGTCCGGGTGATCCCTCGAACTTTGGACTGCCGTAGTTGGGAGATATTCCTTGCGAGAAGCACAATTCAAGCATTCTACATTGTCGAGTATAGCAGAGCCTCATTGGTAAAACGTGATAACCAATGTCACCCATCAGAAGTGACATGAACTCCGTGGCAATGTCATCTTCTTTGATTGGAGAGGCTTTGCTAACAGTTGACATCAAATAATTTGTATCAGACGCTCGAATGAACTCATGTAGTTGCCAGCATATGGCAAAGGTTTGAATATGGGTATCTGGTTGAGTGCAACCATAATAAATGTCGGCTATGGCGTAACCCGCGATTACGCCAACAGATGTGCAGTTATTTATTGGATTTGATTGTAATCTTATAGTAGCTACTATTTCGAGTTCGGTTAAGAAATCAAGGAAACGATCATGAAGCTGGCGTGTGCCACCATCGGAAAGGAAGACAGACGTATTGAAAGCTGCAAAATACAAAATAGAGCTTAGCTCCTGATCAGAAGGAGAGCTGAAATGCATCTTTCCACAATGGAAGTACCAAACTTGATTAGTGAACTTAGTAAATGCAAGGAATCTTTGACAGATACGATCGAAAAAGTCGATATGTCCCACGGCATGATCGATGGCTTCCCTTATGAGATCATCCTCTAGAAACTCATATGCAGTACTATGCATGAATGTGACTTCGCCATCATCGGGTAGAGGCGGATGCGGATGTAGGGAATTACCTTGTAAGATCTTTATTGGGCAAACGTTCAGGAGACCTTTGCAGCGTCCATATATTTGCCTCCGAGTGATTTGTAGTAGCCGCGTAATATTTTCGTCCGGCATATTCCTGATCTCCATTTCCATCGCATAGTTTTGATCGTCTATAACCTCATTGAGGAAGAAGAACCGAAGTAGGGGTAATTTTGGTCCATGTCTCATATCTTGTGTCAATCTTACCATTCTCAAAGCCTCAAAAACCTTGGGACGATCTGTATAGTGAATTGAATCGAACAAGTGCTGATAAAGAGCCTGAAGCTCACTTGGGAATGTGTCAATTTTTGATCTGAGGTCTGAGACGCCACCGCCATCGAGTATACCATCCTCGACGGCGGTGAGCACAAGCCGTACCCGGAGAAAGACTCCTTCTGCTTTATTAACAATTTTCTCGACAACAGATCTTATGTCTTCGCGATCAACCAATGTTCGAAAGTGTGAAACATGCTTGAGATGATCACTAACAAACATAGTGATATCCCGATGTGTGCAATCATGTATGTGTAGTTGAGGGCATTCGGAAAACCCAACCACGAACTCGTTCAATTCTCTACTAGAAACACAAATCTTCAAATTATCCGCATTTAGAGATGCCCAGCTAATAAGCTTGCTGACGAGCTCGACGTGGCAACCTTGATACTCATCTAGGCCGTCCATGAAGAACACCAACTTGTGTCTTTTGAAAGTTGCTTGGCTCGTTAAGAGAATTTCAAATGCATGCTCAACTCAAGTTGGACCCCACCAGTTCCATACGAATTGGTCTGTGCCCAAAGAGAGTGGAAAGAACTTGATAAAGAGAGCGAATAAGTCCAATAAGACTTTTTTGCGTGTCACTACCAAGCCTCCAGAAAAAAGTCTTGGCAAATACGAGAACTTTCCCGTTTGACCAGTGCTTGAGATGACATCTTGTTAACGGGTTCATACATAGAAATTTCACCAACGTCGACTTTCCAGCCCCCGGTTTACCGGATATGTGAAATATTCCATTTCCATATTGGAGCTAGTTGGTGAAACGATCTCGCACCATCTTTCTGAAATTAGTTACCTGATGATTTGAATGGCCCATCTTTGGCTCGTTAAGTCCCCCCGCGGATGCATTATCGTGACCGGGGTCGTCCTTAAGAATCCATTCAAACGTCGTTGCGTGGGCGAGCTCCACATAATAGAATCGATCCTCCATCCCCTCATACTTTAACGCATCTAAGAGTAGCTTTCGCTTAGATGCCAATAGAGTTTCATCTGATAGGCGCAGGGTATCTTGCAGCCTCTGTACGAACTGAGAATCGATATTGGCTAGTTATCTGTCCTGGTAACGATTGCCGAAATGATTATATAGCATGCTTTATGTTCGTCAGATCCTGGTTAGTTGAATTTGCTGATGTGATTAATTCTCGAAGCTCTCTAATGATATCTGACCTATCATAGTCATTCAACTAATGCCGTGGAATCTCGACATAGAATCTTCTTGCTTCTATACCTACCTAGACATACTCGCTATCTGGAGGTCGAGCTGTCTCCGACAACTGTTGAGGCCACTTTCAAGTCGACCCCTCTCGTGTCTCATCCTGTGATTCCGTAAAGCTGCTCTAAATGCTTCGAACCTGCTGTTGGGATTTTCGTTCTTCAGGCAGTCGAGTAGTGCAAGCATATCATTAGACCACCTTCTGCACTCCGCGATTAGTCTCCGTAGAGCCTCTTCTTCGTCTGTCATCCATAGCGTCGGGAACTGTTCCTCTAAGCTTTGACCTAGTCGTTTCATCTCCCTGGTGATAAACTAGACATCCTTATTTGACTGGCTCGATTCGTTGCCGGCTCCATAGATATCCTTTGATGCGGATAATACCCTATATCCCATGCTGACGAATTGGAGGACGTTGCTGACCAGCCCGACTGCAGCCCGGGCTTCCATTTCGGCACCATGCAGTCTCAATAATGACGCTAACCGGTTTTCATTAGCCGTCCCGCTGTCAATAGTTGAGAAATCAAATCTCGATCCGCACGATTTGACGGGATAGGAATAGGAGTAGGATGAGGGGAGGACGGGCTATCTACAGAAAAATGTCAATACCTTGAGAGGCGGGACGGATGGGGGGATGGGGTAACTGATGGAGAAACAGATCTGCAGTGCTGCCTAAACTGCTAACATGATTGGTTGCAAGTTAAGGCCTTTTCCAGCTCCGTCTTATCTGCAGACGGGAGTGTTGCATCCCCCTCTTACCATGACTGAGGCTCGGGATAACCCGACTATTACAAGGTGGTTCATGGTTCTGGAAATGGAATGGTGGTTCGGCTTATTTTGTTAGTGGGCCGTGGTAAGAAGAAAAGACCCAAAACCTCGCGCGCGGGTTAGTGAGAGTCCCGGTTATAATCCCAATTATACTATCGTATACTGTTGTAGTCCCCGTTGAGTGGATTGGATGTGTGGCTACTTCAGTCATGTGATGCCAATAAAACATTGAGAATGCAAGGAACGGCCGACGATGTCCGCCCGTCATGTCCGCTCAAGGAAATACAAGGGGCGGCCGACGATGCCCGCGCTTCCTACGTCCCTTAGGTAGGTACAAACCTTAACTAACTAAGTTGGTTATAGTATAAGCGCTTAGAATAATGAGAATCATGTTAATTCTTATTGGTTAATAGTCTATAGATTCTCTATCTGAGCCGTGGTGGTACTATTCAAGCCCTATACGATTTATGACATTTACTATATTGGTCAAAATGAAGGTTCATAGGTTATGAGGAGTAGCAGTGTAAAAGGATATCAAAACAACTCATACAAATACGACGTTATGACGGCAGTGGCTACCAAAAAATATGTATCTTCGGGTCTCAAGTCTTTGATGCCTGGAACGTATTTGTTGTATAGACGAGTTGGATAGGTAGTTAATTGCAGATCTGCAGATGCAGAATTTATTGCCTATAATACTACACAACCAGAGTTAATACCATTTTGGGATGATCTATGCAAGTTTAGAAACCATGCTGGCCAGTACCGATTGTGAGATAGACCTTGTGTCGTGAGACGTCCTGCAGCACGCTACAACATGTTGCATAATTCCGCAAGTGGCGATCGGCTTCAAACCCGCACCTCTTATCCGCGCCTGTCCCGACCTACTCGGTTGATGATCCGTAGATGATCCATTGGCTTATAAAAGGATGAAGCTTCCACTGACGAGTTGTTTCTATTGTGCGTAGAACAAACCCAACGATTTCCGAGAACTTCACACTCGATTCAAGTTTCCGCGGTTCAAAGCAACACGCGTCGAAAGATCTTTTATCGAAACAACGCCATCCAGAAACCAGCTGCTTCATTTCAGCAATGGCGGTGTCATCAAGTGAGCCGCAGGGCGGCGTCATGACCCAGATCGCCCGATCGGTGGGCTTCTCGAAGAGCTACAACTTCTGGCTATGGGCTGTATTCGGCGGCGTTCTGCTCGGATTTTCCGTATCTCGGTTACCGTACCTTGACTTCTACGGCGTCTTTTGCAGTGGTCCGGGAATGGCCAAGGGTAACATGGGAGCCGCCACACCTGGCGAGTGCTTCTATTACTTGAACCTCACCCTCGGTGGCCTCGCCATCAGAACACACTTGTGGTGTGTACTGCCCGCGGCTCTGCTCGCCTTCGGACAGTTTGTCCCCATATTCCGACGCAAGGCTCTATGGCTCCACCGAATCAACGGTTGGATCTCGACCGTTCTATCTCTCGTCGGTGCCTTTTCCGCCTTACCGATGTTGAAGCACACGATGGGTGGCAGTACCGAAACCCAGTCGATGAACCTCCTGCTGCTTATCATCTTCGTCACTGCGGTCTACAAGGGAATTGTTGCCGCTAAGAACCACAAGATTCAAGAGCACCGCGACTACATGCTACGCGCTTGGGTTTATGTAAGTTCCATAATGGCCCCTCTTTCCATGCTCATTCTTATCGGATGAGTATAACCAACTTCGAACAAAGTGCTGATTCGGTTTTCTTTTAGGGTGGATCTGTCATTACCCTCCGACTTATCATGTTGGCCACTTCCATCATGATGTCGTACAGTGGTAACTGGTATGTCGCTATACCATGCGACAAGATCGAGTACTTGATGGACGCTCAAAATGCCACCATGGCTGAGTACCAAGCCAAGTACCCTGACTGCGCACCTCAGTGGTCTGGAGAGGACCCGAACCGCCACATTGCTGTTCGTGTATACGTCCTCGACGACGACCCAGTGGGTGTTGCTGCCGCCCACTCCCACTGCTTCGGCATGTCGGGTTATGTAGCCATCATTCTGCACTTCGTGGCAGCTGAAGCCTACGTAAGTCAAGTCTCAAATCATGTATATACTTGATATCTCGTTTCAACTATAACTAACACATTGTTCGTTAGATCTACTGGACTTCGCCCGAGCGCAAAGTCTCGAAAGCCATCCGAGCTACCGAGACTAACCACGCTGCTAAGAAGGTGGAATAAAGCTCACGCAAAGAGCTCCTGGAAATATAATCCCCGCCTCTGTGAAGTAAAGGTTTGGTATCGGAACAGTTGTCATGAATTTAGCGGAATATTCGATACTCTTTAAGAGGCGGGGCTAGACAACAGGGTTAACACAATGTACCTTATATCATATTACCCGTTTCCATCCGTACGGGTAGAATCTAGGATAAGGGGTCGGGGTCGGCGTGGGGGTTATGCATATCATGATATGGTCTAGTACGCAAGTATAGAAGACCAAGGAAGGAAAATATAAGATAGTGAGAAAGATGCTCCTTATATACATACCCTTTAGATCATTAAATGATGTCCGCAAGTTCTTAGTGCACGGCCTTAATCTGACAGTTATCATATTAGCACATTATTTTTATATGTAGTTCATATAAGTTTGAGCTATAATGCCGGGATAGTATTGACTATGATACAGAGGCATGTGAGGGAGGAGCAGTCGAAGTAGTCGATGCTGTGGCTTGGCCCTTATTGTCCGCTTTCATAATGCTTCCGTTTTCCTCATCTCGTGCTGCTAGGACAGCTTGTTCCCCATCGATCCGAGCTTCATCGACAAGAATAACTTTATCGCCGAAGGCTTGTGCAATCTCCTCGAGGGTCTTTCGCCGTGTCTCTGGGAAATAGAGATACGCAATGACTAAGAAGAACAATGTGCACCCAACAAAGACGTAGTAGTAATTTTCGCGGATATTGGCGAAGGCGCTCGGGCCGGCTTCAGTGACGGCAACATTGACGATGAAATGACCTGCCGCTGCAAGACCCATCACCTTGCTGCGCAGCGCAATTGGCAATACTTCTGCGCCATATAGCCAAGTTGTAGAGTTGATCATTGCTTTGGTATTGAAGTTAGAATATTATTTTTGGGGGTGGGGGAAGGGGGCGCTGTTGATAAATAATTCAGGGGCTAGACTGAAGCTCGCCAAAATATCAAAACGCCCGTTGATACGTAAAAGGGGTTCGGGACACCACTCACCATAGTACCACGCCACGTATAAATATATACCTAACACTGCAAAACCTTTGCCGATCCTGTTTTCGCTATCCTGGAAAATGCGCTGCATCACGGCAGAGTATATCATGGTTAATATGAGACCAGATAAACCTGCCAATATCATCTTTCGGCGACCCCATTGATCTGTTAGGTATCGCGTAGTAATGGAATTTGATAGGAATGCAACTGTTCCGTATACACCTGCCAACGCAAGTATAGTCTGCTGTTGGATTCCTAGGGATTTATACTACAGTAAGAGGTTAACAAGAGCTGACTAGACTTAGGACTGGGATTATACGAAAAAAAAAAAAAAAAAAAAAAAAAAAAACCAAAGCCGAGCCAATAGAGAAGGGTACACTTGCAAGTGTCGTCTGATAATATTGTATAACATTTATACCAGTAAGACTTGTCATAGTTTGAACAACTATGGATACCATGGCTCGACGGCCGAAAAGTGTGAAAACCTCGCGGTATGACTGGATCTCGCGCGACATTTCAAATTCGATTTGTGCCTGCATCAAGGCGAATTCCTCGTGTACTTCGTGCGGCTGGAGTTCCCGTCGGACCCTAGCAAACTCGCGTCGGGCCGCCTCGATTTTACCGTTGCGGATGAGTTGTCGCGGAGAGTCGGGCATGAACGTCGCTAAGCCGATGAACATAATGACGCCCCAGGGTATTTGGATACCCAGGGGTAAACGCCATTGTGTAGCACCATAGGGTGCATACGAGCATGCAAAACCCACCCAGTTAGACATCATAGTACCAAAGGAAATACCACATCCTGATATGCCTCCAATCAGGCCTCGTGAATCTGGTGCCGAGATCTCACTCAGATAGATAGGCACAGTAGCAACCATAGCACCCACAGCCATACCCGCAATGGCACGACCCGCTAAGAACATTCCGATGTTAACTGATGCCGTCTGGATCGTCGTACCGATCGTTACAATGATGCACAGCAACTGCATAAATCGAATACGACCCAGTCTGTCTCCTATAAAAGTTTGACCCAGAGCACCGACAGCTTCACCCGCAATATATACGGCTACTACTGCTCCTGTGATGCCATTGGAAGGGTGGTGCATGTAATCGATCCAACTTTGATGCGCGATCGCTAATTAGTACTTGGTTAGCAGATCATTCCCAGCGATATCTCCCCGTTTTCAGCTTAAAACTCACTCGTTGTAGCAATGCCGGTATCGAATCCCTATTGTAGAAAGTATAGGTTAGTATAGTAACATATAATAATGAGATATAATGAAAGAAACATACGAAGAGAAATGTGCCCATCGCGGCGAAGAAGGCGACTCCGAGAGAATACCAACTCGCCATGGTCTGTGTTTTTTTTTTCCTTTCGGTCCCCGTTTAGTCTATAGCTTTGCAAGTAAGAGGGGATGTTGAACAAAAGTTCTAACAAGGATGTAAGACTATTTTCAACGGGGAGTATAAGACCTTTATTTCTACCTTCTCCTCTCTCGGCTACTAGGTTTTTAAGACACTAGAAAGCTGCGAAAGCTACCGGCCGCCATGGCAGGCCATGGTTGGAATGACGCGCATAGCCTGAATCTCCGCGTTGGGCCAGGAGACCGTGCGTTTAGGAGATCATAACACATTGGGGAAGCCCCACGAACATTTCTTTGCCCCTTGTCACTACATATGTGCAGGTGTACCCGCAACTCCCGCTGTCCAGTCGAACAATGACCCAAACAAAAAGAGAGCCAATATTAAATTGTAAAAGTCTCATCCACTCGATCCGTAGTTTACTCCCGGTCTCGGAAAGTTCCCGACCGGTCTATGGCTACGACCTCGGCTTACATAGTATGCGCATGTTGCTAACGTGCGTCAACGACGATGAATAATATAGCGATGGTGGGAAATATAACTAACCTGGTCGTTTCTCACCGCCTGTAAAAGTTAACGAACTTCCCTTTTCTCTCTCTTTCTGTTGTACATTGCACCATGCCTTCGGTGTTTATACTAACTACCTCTAACTTTTGATAGTTATGAGATTATCTCGCGAAGTTTCCTTGTGGATACCTGACCGTATATCTTGCAATGGGGAAGGTAAAGCCGATTATATTACAGACTTCGACTGTCGGTGGATAATATAACGAGCTAGGCGACGCGTCTTTCCTAGGCCATATCCACCCCCCGTCGATAAAACCCGTCACGACGGTGCTAATAATTTACCCCAACGCCGATACTACTGGACCGCTGGCGTGCCAAGTTTAGGGCGTTATGCTGGGCGCTCATCTTAACCCCAGATTATGCTGAAGCTGGGGAAGTGGAGGTAGCTCAAGTTGCCGAGCCTGAGCTAAATATTTTCTATTTGATAAAACATTTATTTAGTTACATCATTGTCTCTTCAACAGAGAACGGGAAAAATGTCGGTATGAGTTTTCAACTCATTTCGGTTCAGCTTTCGGCCGAATTAATCCGTCATTTATGGCTTCAAGTATCTCCGTCTCTCTTTAGCTATACATCTTTACACCCATACGTAAAACTAACGACGTAATTGTAAAGGGATATGAGATTTAATTACAACAAATTTTAGGTATTTAACTCAATTATTTATATTAATGAGTATTCTTAATTGCACCCTGCGCGGCTTCTACAATCATGTTTACAAGTTCATCCGTCTTGTTAAGCATTGGAGAGTGCCCTGAGTTGATTCTAAGCATAACAGAACCTGCGTTTTTGCCCCACATCTCCTGGTACAGCGGCGGCGGACCTTGGTCATTCTCGCATACTACGTAGGTTGATGATATATAGCGGTATGCGGCGCGGGTAAGCTTAGTAGTTTGGACGGCATAGGACTGATCGATTATCTTGGATGTCCAGTACTCGGCTTCTTCGGTAGGTAAGTCACTGTACAAGACTTGTGCGGGGTTCTTGACGCGGAGACGACCACCGGGACGGATCTCATTGTTAGGAGACTCTCCGAATGCGCTTAACACCGATTGGCCTATATTAATACCGTAAATGTTTTGTTTTATTATAGAAAAGAGAAGCAGGAGGCTCACCTTCCGCAAGAACAAAGGCGGCGAAGAAGAACAGATGGATAACTCCACCGCTTAGACCCCGGTCTTTACGCTTATTCCAGTTGAATTCCTCCAAGACTGCCTCGCTTCCTACGAGACCTCCATAAGAGTGCATAAGAACCAACACGGTTCGCGATTCATCCTCAATAAGGCGTCGAAGCACTGACTGTACAGCATTTGCGTCGGTAGAAAGAGACTTTGAAGCAAAGTCAGGCTTGTCCGGATCCACTAAGCTTGGAAGAAGAGGGTGGATAACAGGATAGCCTTTTGCTTCGAGGGCTTTTGTTAACTTCCCATACACTTCTGGTAGCTGAAAAGAGCCCTGAATTAGTACGATGGTAAGCTGAGTTGAGGGTGTTGAATCCATGATGATATCATGAGGTTATTATCTTAAAATGGTGAGGTCCTTTACTAGATTGTGAGAGGGAGGAGGGGAGAGGGGCGCAGTTAGCCCCCAGCTATAGACAGTCATCTCTCTTTTGCGCCTAACCATTTAGCTTATGGCAAAAGTTATTCCACAGTATAAGTCCTTCGTGAAAACAACCTATCAAAGCAATCAGACGACATAGGAAAACAGATATATATCTAGGTAGCCATGAAAAAATTAATTATTAGAGTTGAACTGAAAGGACATTCTTCAGTTGCATCCCCGGTACGCCCGCACCTCACTTGCATAACGATCCGCAGAGAGAGAAGCCGCCAATACCGGAAGAGGGAATAAATTGTACACGCCTAGCGCTGATTTTCATGAATATATATTCCTGCCTTAATTCAATATAGCAAGCACCTACTTTCATCAATCTCAACTCGTCTGCAATTAACATATAAATCTAACGTGACTGGTTAGTATTAGAGGATTCATGCGACGTTTCAGACAGCTGCGGTTGTGATACACGTACAGATTCGTATACTTCCGCATCTTGGTAATATCGAAGGATTGTTGTAATACCATACTATATTCTTGTAATACAGATATATGCATATCATCCCATGGAGGCCGAAGTGGTGGAAATGGGCTGTACTACTTAATCTTCCTACAACACAACGAATAAAGTAAAGACTGTCTAAGACCAGATCTCTCTAATGGTAAAGAGAATATAGAGGAGTTTCGTAAATATACCTTATCTAAATCGAGGTGGGAACATTCGGACAATAAACCCGAAATTTTCGTGCGATCCTGGTCGGTAGAAATGCGTATTTTAATATATGTATCGAGATAATATGCAACGCGTATATGCTACACAGATTGGGGGTAGACATTCTGCTCTAGGATAGGGGTAGGTAAGCGCCTGGAAAGGTTGCACAACCCATCCATACCCTAGGTAGTTAATATGGCTCGGTATATTTAAACTATATTTTACGAGTTCTGTCTCCGAGCTTTGTTATCTTTTCTCTAGGAATCGAATTTACCTATTATACAAATGTCAAATCTCGGGCCTCTCACTACGGCTTACCAGGGCCATGGCACTGGTTGCCACTCGATACATATGGGCTCTGTCCCCAATGGGATATGGTTAGAGTATGGAACCGCCAGCGACTGTTTCCCGTCAAATTATCAACCTTATGATGGCTACTACTATTTTCCAGGCGTTTGTCCAGAGGGATATATCTATGCTTGTATAACGGGCGTTGTAACTGGCACGTTAAGTGTTTCTGCTGCTACATGTTGTCCTAGGTGAGTGCGATCGTATGGGCTATATGGAGGATACTTAGGGTGATATGGAATAGACAGTGTACTGATAAGTTAATCGGTAAATAGCGATTATATCTGTAGCACCAAAGATGACAGCGATACCAATTTCTGCCAATCTACTATGTTGTCACCTAGCTCCTATATCGTGGACGTATTATCGTATTCAGGGGATTCTGTAACAAAGATTGGTACGACTGCTACCTTTTTTAATGGTGGCAACACGGTATTTGCTAGGGGGCTCGTTGTATGGAGAGCCAGCAATGACGCCGAATGGTTTGCGTCAGCTACTCTAAGCTCAGTTACGGATGAAACCACATTTCTAACAACACTAAGCACGCCAACCACGACAGTTAATGTGCCAAATACGACACCTACACCAGTAGCCGAAACTAACAATCTTAGTATCGGTGCAAAAGTAGGTATTGGCCTCGGCGTATCACTCGGTGTGCTTTTCTTTATCGGCACTATTTTGGCAGCATACGTAATTGGCAGACGGAAGAGTCGTCGAGTGGGTAAACTTCCAGAATCAAATATCAACAATAACGAAGGAAAACACGGCTCTAGGGTCCCAGAGGAGCAGTTTAATGGACAGAGGGGCATGGTAGAGCTGACTGCTGATAGAGAGCCAGCGGAACTAATGGGTTTATAGCGCTAGCCGGCTTTTGTTTAAATTTTTTGATGTTATCATTCAAGTTCTAGTTGAAATGTTACCTTAGGTACTGGTTCGGTTCATGTCGTTCAGTAATACTGTTATACAGTTTTTTAATAATATACTATTGAAGTTGTTGGACCTTATTATATCTTTATACAAGTTTAAATCTAAAACGCAATACATGCTTATACACTACCCTTTCTAGCCTATATACTAAGTACTACAAGAAGTTGGGAATGTCTCTCCTTGATCCCACTATTCAGAATATAAGGTCAATATTTGATTGTTTAGGTACTTTGGCTTGATTGGACTTTAAAGGGGCTGGTAAAAGGGGAGTCGTTAACGTACGTGCTCAATAATACAACCATCTTCCCAGCGGAATCGATCCACAATCTCGCCAAAGGAGTTCTTGTAGTTAAGCCAGGACATCTCACCCCCAAATTTAGTACGGAGAACTGTTATCGACTGGTTTCCCCAGATCGGACCGAGGATGTCCAAAGCGTTCTGAGCTCCGTCTTCAGCGAGGGGGTTGTGATTCTATAAATAATTAGTTTAATCGGTTTTGAAGTTATATTGCATAATGTCTATTCCACAAACGTACAATATATTCAGGAAGAATATATTCAAAAGCCTTGTAAACATCTTTCTTAACCAGGAAAAGATCGGCGAATTCATTGAACCTCTTCTCGGTCTCCTCTGCAGAGGGCGCTGGCGTGATTCGCGTGCAGAACTTAGAGGTTCCTTGTCGTTCAATGACAACTGGGACGGCTAGTGTCATGAGAGGTGCCGACACAACGGCAAACAGAGTAGAGGCGCGCATGTTGATTAGAAGAAATCTGTGAAAATGATCAATAATACTTCGGAACTCCCGGGTAGAACTACAATGGGAATTAAAGATCTGTTTATAAGCAAATACCATAAGTTTTAAGGTACCATTATGACATATATCCTAGTAACACCTCGTTCCCAAGTTATATTACTGTGGAGAGGCCAAGCGTAGCTTCAGCAAGAATATTTTCAAGGTTTCTTCCTTGGGTGGCAGTGAACTCATATGATTGGTACCTTTTAGGTGTCAATTGGAAATATGCTACGAACATATAACACATTAACCGCTATCGGCTAATTACTAACGCTAAATTTCAAGTATCCTACCTACCTACCTAGGTAGTGATGTCTATCTTTGCCAAGCCATGGCTACTTATCTATACACTACCTCTTGGCGTCAGTTCTAGATGGCAAACTCCGAGCGGCATCTGAGAGGTTACATAGGTCGTATGAAGTCGTGAAACGTCAACAAAGATAGAAAGAAAGAAGTATAGTTATCAGATAGAGAGTCGAGTGTTCTAGACTTATTAACTTGAACTTGAGGCGAATTTAGACTACTGTGACAATCATTTAGAGACCTTTGCTTGTGTAGTAAGAAGGTAACTCCTGAAAGCCCCGCTGTTAGCAGCTTATTAATGATACTCTTCGATATTGAATAAGAGTAAACGTATTTTATTGGTATTATGGTCCTTTTATTCATGTAATATAACAGGCAATCTCCATCGATCTAAAGCTTGCTGGAATGTGGCGGCGGAATAACAGAACCCAATAGACACTAAGATGTCTAGACACTAAGAGGTCGAGACACTCGCGAGAACCAGGATGTCACCTGTACTTCAAACCAACCTCTGGTGCCTTTATTTTATCGTCTGGGGCCGTCGTAAATGTGCACTTCCCAATCCCATCCTTTATTTCTACTACTCCCCACCGGACTGGTAATAGATAGGCCTCTTCACGATCTTCCTCTAAGGTATGGCACGCAGCACTGATTGCCATACTATTAGTAGATACCATGCTCATCGTCCCATCGTATGTGCGAAACCCCATAGCTGCAATAGATAGAATGATCAAGCCCCCGACAATCAATGCTGTTAGTTGTTAGATAAACCCATGAAGGTATGATATTGTTGTAATGTACATACTGATAAAAAGGGCAAAGGGGCTATGCCCACATGTAGAGAATGAGTTGACATTGTCGACTTGGCCACCGGGACAACTCTTAGGAGAACCATCCCCACATATAGCCGTTATCCTAGCTAGAAAAAAGCTCTGTGATACCAGCCAGTGCATTATGCTGGAAGTCGTATATAGGGGTATGCCATAGCGAAGTGGAACGGAAATAAAATAACTGGACCTCTGGATCCCAACGGGTTCCGAAACCCGAAGCGGTTTCCGTCGTTTTGAATGCATGCGACTAAATTCGCGTTGAACAAGAAAAGTACTCAGCATAGCATTGTAGAAGATATAAAGAAACGATAGTGCTATCTGCGGAAGATTGGCTAGGATCACATGCGAAATTAAACCTGCGGGATCCTCCCGTGGTAATCCGGCAACAAGGTAGGTATATGGAGTGAGAGTGCCGAAACCCAACTGCCGAAGCCCGGAAATTGTCGTAGGGAGGTTTCGGAGATGAAGGCTTTTGAAAGAGAACCCGAGTAGAATTCCAGCTATCAAGATAACAAGGCAGCATCTCGAAGTAAGTCAGCTCCTTCATATCCTAGCCTTAAAGGGATTAAATATTGTTAGTCTCTGCATATTGTAGGTACTCACGAAAATAGTAGCACAAACCACCGCCGTTTCCTAGCAGCCATAAACCAAAACTTTCGTTGTCCTTCCCATTCCCTTGGTTCTCGGTTTAGAGTAAAGGGTTGTTCCACGAGATTAGACTTCCACGACCGGCGTCGTATAAAGTCATCCTTGGTAGCAAGACACATATCAACCGTTGTCGGGTCCGGATTCCGCATAAAAGAAGCAATTGCGTCGCCAAGGGTATACAGAACCGACCCGTCTGCGTCGTCACGCATTGGCTGTTGCCATTTCCTCATAGCCCAGATGCAGAGCATCACGAGTATCTTGGTAAAGTTCAGCGCACATACGGTGAACATAATAGGAGGAGAGTACTGGAAACGACATTTGTTGGTGATCGTACTGGGAGATTGAACTCGGCAGTATGATACTTCGTATCTCTTGGGCCCCAGAAACCAGTTGGTTACTGGAAGTTCTGGCTGCTTAGCTACGAAATCCCGTGTACCATTGCTAATAGCCCACATATTCTTTGCCCAATTGTCCCAACGCGGTATGATGGAGACGTACATCAATAGGCTGTCGTCGTCTGAGTCGGTGTCGTCCTTGATGAATATAACAGCATTACCTTGGGGGGCGAAGTAATCGTTATACAATGCGAAACAAGCAGAAATGTTCATTTTCTCCCATCTGGCACTCAGCATATCTCGTTGCATCGTTTGGATAATTTCCGTGTAGTTATAGGTATCTGGGTTTACTCTGGTGTCTTCCCACCCAAAATCTCCTGCTCGGTTAATTTCCGCTGTAGTGAGATCCCAAGTACTGCCGTTTGCAAAGGAGTTCTTTACGACAGCAATGGTATAATCATTTGATGCAAGTGATTGAAAAACGGCAGAGTTATACCTATGGGTTTAAGATTTAGCTTATATATTCACGGAGATGAACATTCTAACTTACATCAGATGGATAGGAAGGGATGTTAGAGCTAAGAGATACCAGCCCAGTCGCCTCCATTTATTGATATGTTGGAGGTTTCGTAAACTTGGCACACCAATATCGAGCCATTGTCCCTCTTGGTGTTTTCGATCTTTCTTATGAGAACCAGCTTGATGAGCGCGATCGATATCTGTTCGAGTAGGGGCCGCTTGGAGTTGCATGCAGTAATTTGATGCTGAAAGCATACCAGTCCCAAGGCAGTTGATTAAAAGATGAGACCACTGATCCAGAGCTTTAACCTCGCCACAGTCACCTTCATAGATAGTCCCCACGCCGTTTTGGCTATCATATCGAGTAATTGTAAATAGTGTCAAGGAAAGATTAGTAATAAATATAACACTAATCAGAAGTATTTGCATCAAGATTGCTCGCCCTCTTCTTGAGAAGTATATGCGCTTACTGTTACTTTCATTATCTTGGACTTGAGGGAACCATTGAGAAAGGGTACTCTTCTTTGCAAAACAACTAGCACGGAAGTCCTGTTGTTGTGCCGGCTGGTCGGTATTCTCTCCGGGGGTGCCCTCTAATTGACTAATAGGCTCTCCTTCAGGAACACTGCTGGGTATTAGTCTTTTAATCAATGGTAAATGAAAGTTACTTACAGTGGCTCCACGGGGAAAACTTCTACCATATTTCGCAACCTAATAGTCTGCCGAGGCGTAATACCTATAGCTTGATCCCCATGTTAAAAGCGGGAAAACGTTCTTTCTTGTTTATCTTCCAATAAATAGTCATCGTAATTGTCGACAAGGCTCCGCCCAAGAGCTGAAAAGCCTTGCCGCGCAAGCAGTCAAATAGGGGTTACGCAGAATCATAGCCACTACAACAATCCTATTCACAGTTTCAAATATGGTCCTATTTGACTTTCCATTATGTTGTAATACAAGCGTCAGGACTTTGGGGGGGGGGGCGCAAAGGTCTTGGCCTCTAGTATAGATTGATATACCGAAAGAATATGTCTGTACTTTTGTAGACTAGTAGTAGTTGATAACATTTTGACATGTGATATCAAGTCTACAAAGGGCCTATCATACTATTTTTCAATACCGAGTTAGTAATAAGCTCGCTACCTTATGATAGAAACGATCATTAACTTATATAAACTATCTCGTGACATACGGGTAGAAAATCAACTACTCGGGGAGAAATCTGAGAATCAAATGTCTTAATTTTTAAGATAGATACCTTGGTAATAGGGCACTCACTGTGTTAACAAAAGCCACCTGAAACGATGGGCTTAGCTGTTGTACATTCAAGATTGGGGGCAGGATAAGAGCGGTGATTCGTCCAAGCAATCGGTCTATGGGCTGTACATACTGTTGGCATACCAGCCCCTTCATTACCTAATTGTCAGCTGGTTCTTTTTCTCGTACGTAAGTATGACTTGAAGTTGACCGGAAGGATCCAAATTAAATGATGCTAATTAACTAATCATATTCAAGATTGCTCGGAGTTTCCAACGCCCTTGATGCCAAGAAGCCACAAAGTATGCCTTATCGGGAGTCCGCAATTTTTCATATAGTTACCTAATTACCCCTGAGTGTAATTATATCTAAGACATCCGGAAATATCCCTATGTACATAATCATCACAACACTCGTAGTTCGCTATCCACAGTGTTCCGGTGGACAAGGTAGTCCATAACTATAAGCATTATAGATACCAATTGGGCAGTCGTCCGTATTTGGAAGAAACTTGAAGGTAGTATCATTGGACGAAGTCACTGTACTCACGTTAACAGCCTGAACTTATCACTCATAGGGGAGTTCTGACTTACTCCCAGCCACACACGTCCCAGCAGCAAACATACAAGGGCCAACGTCAATGGTATCTAATATATGAAAACATTCCACATTAGATTCTCAATCCTCTAGTTCTAGGATACCCACGACTCCTTTACAAACGAGTCAAAATAATAGGGATTGTCGAACTTACTACTGAGCGTTAGTCATTGTATGCCTAATGAATGCAGTTTGGGAATATTTTGGAATAGGGCTAACAAAATAAGGATATGGGACATTTTAATACATACCAAGCGTAGCCAGGTTCCATATGGATAGGCGGAAAGGGAGGGAAAGTACCAGCGGTCGGCTGGTTATTGAACGTAGTCTCGGGGCCAGGGCAGCTACCTGCCAAATACCCCGTGAATAAAAAGGAGCCTTCGCCCTTATAGGTAAAAGAAGAACTGCTAAGCTGATCCCTGCGGGGGAAGAGAAACTCGAGCGTGCAGTTGGCATCGACACGCGACTCGGGAATATCAAAATTGAAGATAGATGAGATGCCATTGGGCGTGATAAGACCAGTTCTCTGTGGACCAAAAGCTCTGTCAGGCTCGCACCGTGAAATATGTGTTATGTAGCTTGGGGACTCGAATTCGCCATCTTCAAGATAGGCTGGGCAGCCATCGTCCTTATTGCGTACCCATTGGTGGTCACCAAGCGAGCGCTTCGAAATGAGTTTGAATGGCGTAGCTCCGACTACGCTCAGATATGCTACAATAAGGGGCAAAGTATACATTATGACTTGAGGAAGGGAGTTGGACTAGCGAATGTGAGCAGTCTTATCGACGCTTAGTATCTAGAAGGGAGAGGATAATATAAGACAAGCAGGGAGAATGTTCTATCTAGTCATAGATATCCACGGGGGATCAAAGCTCTTATACTATCTCTTCAGCTGATTCAAGAGATACTCGCGTATTCGCGTATTCGTGTACTGGCGTACTTGCAATTTGCATTATGAATCAAAATTTGTTGATTGGATTTGCAGAACGCCTCCAGGTATAAGTGGCTGGAATCTAAATCCGTCCTCTCCAAAAAGCATCGTGCATCAATAGTCTGTTAGGAGGAATACGATGCAAGTAAAATTGTGGTCGCCGGAAAATTTTCCCGATGTATTAATGCAGGTGAGGCCAAAGCTGGACTAATAAGAGTTTGTATAGCTAACCTGTGATAGACTCTAGCATAAGGAGCTGCTGTGCCTAGCCTACTAGTCATTGCATGTGTCGCACAAGAAACAGGGAATACCCTCGCGATCTGTGTCTTTCAAGCAAGTTTTCGCGAGGAAATTCAAGGATTCAAATGTCATCAAATTTCCACTGTCGCCGGAAGACACGTTCTCGTTGTTTCACGACAACAGTCTCTGCTGTGCTAATCTGCAATGCAAACGTCCTTCTGACTTACGTCTATCGTCTATCTGGCGGGATCCTGCCGTAGTAAATCTTATTTAGGCATGCATAGATGGCTTTATCCCTAATAGGACGGAGTTCAGGAGTTCAACAGCAGCAAGGATATTTACCCATTCATACTGTTTCTTCGTTAAAAGGCTCGAATAAAATGAAGCCACAATTGTGCCATTTCCATTGCAAGGAGTATCTAAGGTGAGGGGTTCTTATAAATCCATCGTAGATAACTCAGAAGGTATGGTCTCTTCATCGACGAAGTTTGATCCTGACCAGAGTCTAAGGGGAAAATATATAAAATAATCACGGGACGCCCCTACCAGCTCTTGTAGCTTTAGCCAACTCCGACTGTGCCATGTCATCTGCGTAGCGCTTATAGATTGGCACATAGTGTTCATGATCACTCGTCGTATTTTTAACACTGTCTCTGCTCGAAACCGCGTCTAGCCACCTACGCCACCAACCCCAGGCCTCTTCCTCTGGTCCACCCTGCCCAGGCTCCGGGATACGCAAGCCGCCCTTAAATTCCTCGAATACCCAAAGGCGAACCTGCACGTGTCAGATGGTTAGAAAAGCGTTATTCCAGGGGCGAGTAATGATAAACGATGAAAGGAAATTAGGCTTACCGCCCAAGGAACTATAACAATATCCACAAGGCTCAAATCTGGGCCAAAAAAGAACGGCCCCTGGGGATCTATCTCCTTTGAGAACTCAAGAAGGTGTGATTTGAACTCCCGCCGCAGCTCATCGAGCCTCTTCTCCCCATCTTCATGCTTATACGGCTGAAACTGCAGAAATCGGTGAAACGCAGGTATCACTCGGCTCGTCACGTAGTCGGTCCAGATACGGGCCTTAGCGCGAGTATAATCATCCTTTCCCACCTCAGGCAAGACTATCCACACAGACACGATAACCCATTAGATATGATCATTGAATCAATGGCTAACCGAATATAAAGGGCTTACCATGCGGCTTGTGACCAGGATAGTGTTCCTCGAGATACTCGCATAACACAGTACTCTCGTACAAGGACTTGCCTGGTGCAACTTCAAGTGTTGGAACGAGGCCGCGTGGATTGGCGCGCAAGACTTTGAATGGCTTAGCGAGGTATTACTCTCATGTGTTAGAAAAATAGAGGGAGTTGAAGAACGCTTTGCCCACGATAGCTCCTTAGTGATTCCAGTCACATATAAATCATAGAAAAGGGGGAAGTAGAAGAACCTTCAAGACTACATACGTTCGGGTCCCTTGTTGTAAGGGTTAATCTCGATATACTGATACGGGATGCCTTTCTCCTCAAGTGTAATCCATGCTCGTTGTACGAAAGGGCAGAACCAGCCCGCAAACAACTTCAATGTCTGTTCGGCCGAGTGTTTCTGCGTGTAGCCACGTTAGCACAGGATATATCCATCTGAATTCTCTTCCTATCCGCTTATAGCCGTAAAAACCCATAGGCTCACTCGGTACGTACGTCAACTGTTTTCTTAGCCAGGCCCGTCGCGACGGGATGTAAGTTGGCATCTGGATGAGACATGTCGATTAGTTACTTATTTATTTGAAGATCTATACTCTTTTCTAGGATATTTGTAAAGACGGTGAGTATGGGGAAGTAAACTACTAAATATGTTTGTGTATTTGTAATAAGTGTAGCGAAGACCAGCGATTATTGGATGACGTGATAGTTGGGGAACTTGGGCATGACGCATTACAACTGGTTCTGCTTTTGAAGTTTTCCGACATGGTCGATATTAGATTAATGCTACGGCCGCACAGCTACACCGATGTGTAAAGATTCATGTATTGCGTTGATATTCGCCCTGATGCGAGTATCCTAGCCACTTTATTATCTACACATAAAACACCGAATGGATATAAGTTCCCTATAATGTACTGCGTTGAAGCAGTGCTACCGATGACCCAGACCCTAGAGCTATACCAAACTCCGGAGCTCTTATGATATTTGCAACGCCTGATGAATGCATGCAACTGTCCTGTTTTGTCATCCCGTTTTCCGTAATGAAGCCTATCCCGTTTCCACAAACTAGAGAAAAGTTGAGTTGCCCCTCTTTCGCCCTCAAATCTATATGTTGAACAATAACTCCCCGGTTCATCGTAATTCATCCACTTATGTGATATACTAGATGCCTGCATCCAGTCTCCATCCCTCAACGGGAAGAGGGAAAGTCAGGGACCAGGAAGAGATTTCCTTCTTGAGATCGTCAATCCTAGCATTACCGCCTTCAAAGAGCTTAGCTCTGAAATCCTTGAGCTTGTTAGCTTCCTTAGGCAAACTAGTCTGGATCTCCTTAGCAATTTTGATGCTCTCGTCAATGTAGCCAGCAACACGCTCGAAGTCTTGCTCTCCAAAGCCACGCGAGGTCATGGCTGGTGTTCCAATACGGATACCGAAAGGCGTCAAGGCAGACTTGTCGCCTGGGGTGGCGTTCTTGTTGCAAGCGATGTTGATCTGCTCTAGGACAGCTTCAATACGAGCGCCATCCACGGCCTGGGGTCTCAAGTCTAGGAGAACCATGTGTGAGTCGGTACCGTCGGATACCAACTTATAGCCGAGAGCCTTGAACTTGTTCTCTAGCGTCTTGGCGTTGGACACAACCTTCTCCTGGTATGCCTTGAATTCAGGAGTCTGGGCCTGCTTCAAGGCAACGGTAAGAGCAGTGATAGTGTGGTTGTGGGGACCGCCCTGGTGGCCGGGGAAGACTGAGAAGTTAATGGCCGGCTCCAAGTCGTAGAGGGTCTGTTTGCCGGTCTTGGGGTCGGTGCTACGAACACCTTTTCGGAAGAAGATCATGGCACCACGGGGTCCACGGAGTGATTTGTGTGTTGTGGTAGTAACTATATCGGCGTGGGGGAAGGGAGACTTGATAACCTCAGCTGCGATTAGGCCAGAGATATGGGCCATATCAACGACAAGGTAAGCTCCGACTGAATCAGCAATCTTCCTCATGCGCGCATAGTCGATCTCACGGCAGTACGCCGAGGTACCGGCTACGAGGACCTTGGGGCGGAACAGTTGAGCGTTCTCCTCGAGTCTGTCGTAGTCAATGATGCCAGTGTCAAGGTTTACTCGGTATGGCATTGTCTCGAAATAAGTAGAGACTGCCGAGATTCTATAAGTAGCGAGGTTAGTCATTGGAACTCAGATCAAACTAACCAAGGTAGAAACTTACTTTCGGGAGGGAGTCTGGTATCCGTGACTCAAATGACCACCGTGGGGCAGATCTAAGCCCATCAACCGGCCTCCGGGAGGCATGATAGCCTGGTAGACCTGTAAGTTTGCGGGACTACCACTGAGGCACTGGACATTGACACCCCATTGTTCCGGATCTAGGTGGAAGGTTTGGAGAGCACGCTTCTGGCAGAGAAGCTCAATCTGGTCTATGTGCTGGTTTCCACCGTAGTATCGAGCGCCGGGGTAACCTTCGGAGTACTTGTTGGACATAGGAGAGCCAAGGGCGTCGAAGACAGCACGTGAAGTAACATTTTCAGAGGCAATCAAGATGATAGACTCCCGCTGTCGTTGAATTTCCTTTTTCTATAGTAACAATTGAGTTAGTTGCAAGGTCAATCAGCTTATGGCAAGAAACTTACCATAATCTCCGCAACCTCCGGATCAGAGTCGAGGAGAGACCTCTCGAGCAACTAAATATGAGTCAGCATGATTATTTTTGTGAAAACGAAGCAAATACTGAAGTGATATTACTGACATCCTTGTGCTCTTGGGATAGAGCATAGGTAGAACCGTTAGCAGCCATTGTATGAGAATGGAATGTCAATTGAACTACAAGTTCAGAAAAATAATGTGCAATAAAAGATTCTCTCACTCCGGTAAGGGTTGGTACGAAGTTTTTTGTTTTTTAGTAGACTGAGGAGAGGTTTAATAAATAATAAGAGGAAGAGGGATGACGGAAGGCAGGAAAGCGAAGAGAGGGAATAATAATTTTTTCTCTCCTCCAATTGGGGTTTGGTGGGGTTCCTCTTAAGTAAAAAGTAAAAAGTCTAGATGGTCAACCAAGAGCGGGGTGATAGTGGGCGAATTCCTATCTGCTTACGCTCCTGATTGCTTACTCTAGCTGTCCAGGGACCTACCTAACCTTAAGGATCCGGAGTTATTGGCGGAGTAGCTTAGTGTCCACCACGCTAGTAGGGCTAACTCGTTAGTGTTTACACTGGAGGATCCATACCGAAGTCGGCGAATCGGCGTAACCATCAAGGTCCTAATATTTACTGTTACGACGCGTAACTTTTTAGCTTCACAATATTCATTATGCTTTTGCTATTTGCTGATGCAAATGATATCATGATAAAAGCCTAGATTTGGCAAGTTCACAATTATACTATATACAATTAATGGACAAAAATACCGCACATTTTATTCCAACACTTACACATTTCAAAAATTAATAACTTTACAAATAAATTAGCTAAAAATATACGGTCTTTAATTTGATATTATTTAGAATATATATTTAATAATTATAATTTTTATTATTATCATATATCATAAATAACTATTATAATATATTAAATAAAAATATAATAATTATATATAAATTAATTAATTTATAAATATTTTAATAATTATATTATTTAATATTTAATATTTTTAATAAATAAAGTAGCCATTTATTAGTTTATTAATATTAATTATATATTTATATTTTATAAATTGATAAAGTTATAAATTTTTAAAATATATATATTTTATAGAATTTTAATATAAAATAACGTTTTTTTATTAAATTTACTATTTTTAAAATATTATAACTTTACCAATATCGATCGTATAAATTTTAAAATAATATTTTTATATAGTTAAATAAAAGCTATTTTTAATAATGTTGGATTGACTGGGGAATCGATTCAGTTACTTTGTATCACCAATTACCCTTGTAGTAAAAGTAATGTCCTATTGTATTAATTGATGATAAAAGAGGAAGATCTACGAAAAGTGGGGGAATTTAAATACAATTGGATTAGGGTGTGGGTGGGGCCCAACCCTTGGTCACATGACAATGCTAGGTGCCATTGTCACGTGACCATAATCCCAACAAATAAAAAATGAAAAAAATTAAAAATCAAATAATTTCAGTTAAAATGTAGGTTTAAAATATTTAATAAATAATAATATAAATATGTATTTTTTTATATTTTTAAATATTACTTTTTCCAAAATCTAAAATTAAAATTAAATATAAAAAATAAAATAAATATTAGTTTATATATATTATTTTTTTAATATAATATTATTAAGCGTTATAAATTTAAATGAAGTTTAATATATTAAGATTTAAAATGTTCGGTTTTTTTGTCCATAAATTGTAGGTACTTACCTACCTAATCTTATCTTCCTATATGATAGCCATGCATTTCTTTTTTCCTTTGGTTATTCACCTACTTCCAGTTGGATTAGTTGATAGGATGAAGCTGTAGGATTTCGATAACTGACGTAAGCACATATAGCATGTCTGCATGCTTGGCCAGGACAGATTCGAAGGAGCTAGTACATCATTAGCGATACGATAAGTGATATTCAAGTAATCTGTAAGGGTCTACGAGTTTGATCATAATTGCAGAGCTCCCTCCGTCTGTCTATTATCATACGCATCTCTCTATATAGTCACACTTTAGCTAATACACTTAAGTATCTTGTTAAAAATTCGAAGAGATTTTAACGCTCCTCAGCTTTTAAGCTCCGTTTCTATGCATATCAGCATATGTGGAAAAAGGCCGACTATATTACCTTACCTTGTTAGGACATGTTGATTTCGTATCACGTAACCTGTGTCTCATCAATAACAATAATATTCAATATTATCATTCAGAAATTTAATAATAGGTAACTACCTAGGTGATAATAAAAATGAATTTGCTGAGATATGATCTTACAAGGTAGGTATCTAGGTAACAATTTTATTAAAAAAGCCAGCCAAACAGCTTATTGTTATAATATAAGGTGGGTAGTCAAATGGAAAGACTATACTTCATTAACAACACTGTGTTCTTGGTAAGACACGGAATTCCCAATTCTCTAATAGTACTCTATATATAATATATAAGGCTTTAGTTGTATAATGCTGAATGAGTTCATTTTGGCTTTGACCGCGGTAATATGACTTTTAATAAACCTTCTATACAGTCATTGTCCTGATAGTGAGTCTTTGATGAGAAATTGAGGTTGGGGATATACACTTCAGCATAGCTACGTCTGAGTGTAAATGTATCATCCCCTAACATATTAAAGACGTTACTATGATCGCATTGCGTACTCGAATCTAGTCATATCCTTTCTTACATAAGAATAGGAATGGGGTAACAGTGAAGTTCTCACATACTAACACGCGAACGTAGATATTGGGTCACATGTTATTCTTCATCTTGGAAATATTGATTGATTTGTACAGTACAAACCCTCCTCTATATTTTAAGTACCTCTTTAAGTGCTACGGAACGGATTAATATGGACATACCACATTTTATTGGATGTAATGCAACCCGCCCGGGTGGCGTTGAGTCTTGTACCTGCTTGTGTCATCAGCGGTTGCTGCCTCAAGCATTTGGTTGCCCGGAACAGTTGGAACATATGGGATCCACATTCGCGAATCCACCTGCGTCATTGGGTGGACTCGGACGATTTTAAGCAGGGAGTGCTTTGTTACAAGTCGTCATGGGAAAGGACGTAGAGGGGATGTACTGTACAATCTAGGCTGTATTTATCTTGCACGAGACTAAGTCCCCACTCCACCCCCAGAAAATTACCTAGATAGGTTAAGTGTCTGCCTGCATGCACATTTCCGCCTTCCCCCCAAACAGAGACGTGCGCTGATTGATTAGAGGAGCTCAACCGTTATCTTCCAGTCTCTCAGCAACATCATCGGTCATTCCTCCTTCTCCTAACTATTTACAACACTCAACTCATCAATCATCAACTTTCATCTATATTTCCCTCCATATCAAGAATTTCAACTTGTTCGGATATCCCTTGTCTACCCTTTCGTTTTGTTAAGAATTTTATTATTTTAATTAGTCGATACCGATCGGAGTTGCCCATGATGAAGGGAGCTCTACTTACCGCAGCTGTGCTGCTAGGTTCCGCCCAGGCCGGCGGCGTCCACAAGATGAAGCTCAAGAAGATTCCTCTGGCTGAGCAACTGGTTCGTATTTCCCTTAGCTAGCTGACGCGACATAGTATTAATGATTTATAATAGGAGAGCATCCCGATTGAGCAGCAAATGCGCGGTCTTGGACAGAAGTACATGGGTGCTCGACCTGAAACTCAGAGCCAGGCCGTATTCCAAGATACATCCATCCATATGGATAAGGACCATCCTGTTCCCATCTCCAACTTCATGAATGCTCAATGTATGTGTATCTATCTTCGCGCGCGGAATTTCTTTGAGTCCAGTTGCTAATAAATATGGCTAGACTTTTCTGAGATCAGCATCGGCACTCCCCCCCAAGATTTCAAAGTCATTCTTGACACCGGTAGCTCCAACCTCTGGGTCCCCTCATCATCCTGCGGTAGTATCGCTTGCTACCTCCACTCCAAGTACGACTCGTCCTCTTCTTCGACGTACAAGCAAAATGGCACTGAGTTCGAGATTCGTTACGGATCTGGCAGCTTGAGCGGTTTCGTATCTCAAGATACCTTGACTATTGGTGACCTTACGGTTAAGAACCAAGATTTTGCCGAGGCTACGAGTGAGCCTGGTTTGGCTTTTGCCTTTGGTCGATTTGATGGCATTCTCGGATTAGGCTTTGACCGCCTCTCCGTGAACGGCATCGTTCCTCCATTCTACCAGTTGGTTAACCAGAAGTTGATTGATGATGCCGTCTTTGCCTTCTATCTCAGCAGCGAGAATGGAGATGATGCCTCGGAGGTTGTTTTCGGTGGCGTCGACAAGGATCACTACACTGGTAAGATCACTGAGATCCCGTTACGCCGCAAGGCTTACTGGGAGGTCGACTTCGATTCCATTTCTTTCGGTGACGAGACTGCTGAGCTTGAGAACACCGGAGTTATCCTTGACACCGGCACTTCCCTTATTGCCCTTCCTTCCGATCTTGCTGAGCTACTCAACAAGGAGATTGGCGCTAAGAAGAGCTTCAACGGCCAGTACACTGTCGACTGCTCTGTCCGTGACTCGCTTCCTGACATCAGCTTCAAGCTAAGCGGTTACGACTTCGCTATTGGACCTTACGACTACATTCTCGAGGTTCAGGGCAGCTGTATCTCTACCTTCATGGGCATGGACTTCCCTGCTCCTGTTGGCCCTCTTGCCATTCTCGGTGACGCATTCCTCCGAAGATGGTACTCTATCTATGACCTTGGAAAGGGCACTGTTGGACTAGCTAAGGCCAAATAGATGCAGTCTAACAGGGATTGAAAGGGGATGTATGAATGACCTCGCGGGGCTAATGAGACGTAACATGGAAATTGAACTGGCTAAACCATAATTCGAGGGCGATAACGGTTTTAAGTGCATTTCGAACCGGTTCCTGACCTGGGAACTTTTTTTTCTTTGGGTATTGCCGTTGAAACTTGGTCATTGAGCATGATGAGACGTCGTCTCCGTTGTAAATTACATACCTACAGCACGTATTCGTTTAGCATGCCACTATTTTCATACTGTTTTTGCCAACTCTAACAGTGTCTTATTCGTCTAATGATTTGTTCGTCCAGTAAACTTTTTATCGAATTAATTATTGGTGTATAGGCGAGTATCTCTGAAGTTCGTCTAGTAGTATTTGGGAACACGTTCATTTTCATACACAACCTACCTACATGTAGGTATGTATCTGTATAGGGTACCTACATTCGGCGGTGTGCATTATGTACATGCTAATAGTCTGATCTATCTTTAAATGAGTGGTGCTACTACTGGACGCGAAATTCTTCATATCCCTATTTGTAAATAGATGACCAAAGAAACCCTCGTCCTCAACATTGTAACATCTCGTTGTCAAAAGATAAAAGCATGTTTACCAAGTGGAAGGATTCTGTAGAAATTGCTTACTCGAGGAATTCGTAGTTGGAGTTAATGAAGTACGCATGTAGTAAGGTCGTATGCATCTTTTCCGGTCCGAGCAAGACTTACATGTTAGAAATGCCCGAGCGAGTTGCGGTAGCAATCCTATACTCAGTATCGTATGAAATAAATACGAGATGTAATATATACTTGCAGACCCCGTGTGACTATAATTATAAAATTTATCATAATAATCCAATGCCCATGATTTTAATTGTGTTTGTTCTCCTCAACAAGAAAAATACGCTTGTACCTATGTATACTCAGGTACTTTGTCAATCACGTGTGGATGATAATTGGTGGCTCGTGCTAATGGGGCTAATACATAATAGGCCTAGCTTAGACCCATAGCGTGGACCATCATTTGCAGGCAAGTCAGGACAGACAGATTCATTTCATTGTCGCAGCCTCTTCCCTCCCTCTCAAAAAGTGATAAATGCAGTTTCGAGGAAGAAAATTGCTAAACTAAAATTGCGTGCATTCAATAGCATATCCATTTTAAACCGATTCCTTAATATCGCCGAATGGTTTTTTCGTGGTGGACTTGGTTTAAAAAAAACTTTTGTTACTTTTTTCTGTTCTTATTACATACTTCCATCTATTAGTTTACCGGATGGTGCGTCCTGTCCATTCAGCCATTTCTACTGCCCTTGCAAGAATTTTGTGGTCCTATTCTAGGTACCTCCTTACCTACGGGAATACCTGCTGAAGTCAAGTGCAGTAGGGGCAGTTTCTAGTACCTGACGACCTGGTCTTGCCTTGGGTCCTTTTTTGGGGGGGTCCAAAAGTCTGGGAGGTCGCGGTCGCACCAGCAAGCAACCACAAAATTCCAAGTCCCTTTCAATCGCGACCGACAGGCCGTGCAGCGCGACGGAGCCGCCAATTTCTTAGCAAGCCCATCGACATCAACCGCCGCATCTTGCATACGACAGACGGCAACAATAAAAATAAAATAAAATTTACATTACAACTAGGCAAAAATGGCCTCGCCAGCCATAGCACTCCCCAACGGCCTCACTGCGCCTATGCAGCTCAGCAACAACAACAGCAATAGTAATAACAATAACACCACCGACGTCGACATCAATTCCAATGCTAATAGTCCCGATACTGGGGCTGATTCCGATGTCAATACCGCGCAATCTATCGCTAGTAGCTCCATCAAGCGCAAACGCGAATCCTCAGATGTTGGCGAGAAACCACCAAATGGTCTTACCATTGATCGCATCACTCCTACAGCAACTAATGATGCTGCTCCTCTTCCAAGCGCGACAAAGGTTGACCAGCCTACAATACGTAATTACTATGAAGTTCTTCAAAGGTATATAATGTTTCTCTGCCCTACGCAGCCGTAAATATTCTTTCCGAATCATATGCGCATTTCCCCCCCACACGATTTCTTTCTCCACGCGTAATAGATAAATGTATTCCAGTGCTCACTATTCGCGATTTATAGGCTTGACCCAACACCCTCTGTTCTCAAACGCCCCCTTCCCGACCCTGAAGATTCCGGTGAACCCCAAGCAAAACGAAAGAAGCCTGACGATGAAACACCGTTACTTTCTATTGCCGACAAGGTAGCTCGAGAACATTATGATGACCTTGTTAATGTCATTACCGACGTCAAAACCGCTATCATCGACCACCTAGCCGAGCTACGAAATATACAACCTGGACAAGACGCCAAAGTAAACGACGAAGCAATTGCTAAGGTTATCGAATTCAAGCGACAGGCCTATAACATTTTCAAGCGGGAGTTATCATATCCTTATAACCCCCGCGTTTCTGATGTGCTCCACGATCTCAATCTGATCAACGATTTGCAGTCGAATGCCAGTGGAAACACGGTGCTAACGATTATTGGAGAGCCCATGAGGGGGAAGCCTCTGTACTCGAGTCTGCAACAGCCTATCCTCGAACGCGACGGTGCAGAAACGACTATTCGATCATTGAGGGAAGATGGCTTACCTAGCGGCGTTAAAATTGCTAAGGCCATACCTTACACCTTTTCTTCCGCCATTGAGAAGGACAAGAAATCTAAGACGTTAGGGGAGCTATTCCCAGCTCCGCGCAACCTGCCGTCGCTTCAACCCCCTAAGGCACCAAAGAGCACCACCAAAGGGGTCCAGGTCGGCTGGCATCGCCCTGAATTGACTGAGAAGTCTAAGTACCGAGCCGGGTCGTACTTTAGTCAGTCCATATCTACTGGACGTTGGCTAGATTACAGCAATGCCGCCCCTCCCTCACAAATCATGACAAAGCAACGCGAGCGCGCTCTAAGCCTGGCTGGAAACAAGCCATCTTCCTCAGACCTCGAGATGTCCGAGATGGAAGCCCTATTCCGTGGCGCATTCTCCAGTTTTGCCCCCTCGAAGGACGATTCGGCTGCCATGATCTCGTCGGGTTTAATTAGCCACACCATGTGGTGGCAAAAAGTAGGAAGACGTAGCTTCGATCGTTTAATAGAGACCGAACTACCGGAAGACACCCCCGAGGAAACAGAAGATGTCACTACTGCCCCCGCTGAGGAGATAGACGAAGAACTAATCAAGGAGGCTCTAGAAAATTGGGATGATTCTATGGTGGACCCCAGCCTTGAACAGGCCTGTTGTCCAAAGAAATCTGATGAGGAGAAAGATGTTGATGACATCCTTCAAGACGTATCTGACATGATCCAAACATTGGTATCATACCAGAAGAATCGCAATTTAACCCTTCCGACCGCATCCAGTCAGAGTCGATATGCGGCGGATCCGTCTCACAGCGATATGCTCACTAACGGAACACCGGTGCAACCCGGCGAAGAAGAGACGGCTACTTACCAGGCCCTAAAAGCACAATTAGCTCTTGTTATTCAAATGCTCCCGCCTTATGCCGTTGCACGCCTAAACTCGGATAAGCTGGATGAATTGAACATATCAACCAAGATTGAAGTTCGTACCGATGAATATCAAGGTCTAATGGAGGAAGACGAGGCAGCTGCTCGTGCCAGAGCTGCACAGGCTCCCGTAAATCCCCGGCCAGTCGTGCATCGCTCTTCAAGTTCTTCGAACAACTTGCAGTATAGTCAACAGTATCACGCCAACCGTGCCCCGATGCCCAACCCACCGTTTTACGGCACGCAAACACCGATACGACCCCCTCAGCCTACGATACAAAGGCCACCCCAGTCAATGCCGGCCGCTTATCCCCAGCGGCCCCCATCAAACACGGGCTACCGGCCTCCTAATCATTATCCCAATACCGGTTATCCTCAACAATTCAACAAACCTCCACCATTCCCACAGCCCGGTCCTTACGGAGGCACGCCGACACAAGCTCGGCCCCCATTCCAACCCATGCCCGGCTATCCTAACATGGGTAGCCAAACACCCCAAGCTCGTTTCCCTCCATACCCACCGGCCGCTCAAACACCTAATTATCATCCTCAACCTTATCAGCCACAACATCCACCTCAGCAGCATGGTACTCCAACGCACCAACCGTATAGCCAATATGTAAATGGGGCAGTTGGCGTCCCTCAAAGGACGGCATCCCCGCATATCTCCCACCAACCATCGCAACACCAGCCTATCCCTCACCACCCGGGGTATAACCAGGCTGCAACACCTACAAGGCAACCATATGGCAGTCAGCCAAACATAGGCAATGATCCATCAAGACGTTTCTATCCCCCAGCTGGCTCGCCTGCGGTACCAAATAACCAGCTCAACCAGCACGGGCAGCAGAATTCAAATCCCCAAACTCCGGGTACCTCGTCATTCCATACGTCCCTCAACCCCCACCAGGTCCAGCAAGCCATGGACCAAGCCAAAGCTCGCTTTGATGCGACCAAGAGTGCTCAGAGGACGAATGAGGGTATTAGAAATTCGATGTCCGGTCAAGGACAGGTTGGTGCACCAGTTGGCTTAGGTGGTATTGGTCTGGGAGGGGATCCAGCAAGGTTAGCAGCAGTTAGAGCAGGTGTGCCTAACTATCCAGCCTCTAGCCAAAGCCCTAAACACATGCCTGTAGTTAATGGCAGCCCCGCGATGGGACCTGCAGTTCCGACGGCAAATGGTGGCCAGCCAGCTCCCGGTAGAGAAGCCTAGAAACCTTCTATACCACAAATTCACCATCGTTATGTGGCAGATACTATATTACGCCAACCCATCTATGGCGCGGGTAGTGTTTACTCGCATAACCCGCCAAGGGCTAGCGTCCCAGCATCGAGACCCGATTTGGAAACCAGACGAGTTAGCGAGAACATGTCCAGATAAAAGTCGTATTGGCGTTGGTTCTTGATCATCAAGGTTGCATATTGAATTAGGAAGCAGCCGCAGCTCCTAAACAGAGGGGTGATGTAATGGAGTATGAGGAGCGCAGGTGACGATGCTCTTCCACAGTAGAAAAAGGCATCGAGTTCTTCTGCTTAGAACGAAAGGACTAAGAACGGGTGTTTCCCTTGTTCTCTTCCCCCTGATTCGTTGGCCTCCCTTTAGAATGGTTGTCAACGCTGGAGAAACGGAGTTAGCGAAGTGGAAATACGGAGGATTCCCCCTTAGGGCAAATGGACGGGTAGGAAATACGTAGACGGCTTCATTAATATTTTTTGTTGCGTTCCTTCCGCCTCTCGGGATAGAAAAGCTTCATCTTGTTTCGTGTGCGTTTCTCCCCTGCCGCCCATCTAGCAGATAGGCGTGCATTTCGATACAAGCAAGGTTTATCGTCGCCGCCACTTTGTTGTGCTATGGTGCGCTGCGTAGCCTTCGTGTATAAAACAGTATTGTAGAGATGTCAGGTAGTTGATAAGTAGAGGGTTGAGATAATTCAAAGGTTGACGTAGCTGACTTAATCGATGATGATATATTTTACTGATTAAATTTGTCTTGTGCTGTGATACTAGTAGGTCTGTGTTGTTGTAGTGTTTCTGGTTTGAAGCGGTTTCGCTATTGAAGATATATTGGTTACCTGTCATGGTGGGGATCCCGCTGTCGTGGAGGTTATCATGTTGTTGTAAGTATTAAATAGGCAGTGTAAGACCTTTGCTGATTTCTCCCCGGGTTCTAGTGCGCAGCTTCTAGGACTTGTGGCGGGGGGTGGGGCTCAACTGTGTGGTGTTGTTGACCAGGAAAGTTGAGGATGGTACAGAGAACTTAATAAACCTGTATCTGAGAAGAAGCTATCGCCGGTTTCAGCGGCGAGTAGATAAGTAGTCGTGGTTTGTCGAAATTGCAGAATCGTTCATGGCGATATGATCTATCTTCAAGGGAGTAAATGCCTTTGTCAAGTAGGTAGATAACTACCCAGTTAGGTTGGTTAGGAAGGAGTTGTGATAGCGTTTGGGAGAAGAGAGTGAAAGAAAAATTGTGAGAGGGGAATGGATTAAGAAGATGAAATACTTAAATGGGGTTGGAGGGTAAACAATACGGGGCTAGTCGGGGGAAAGAGGGAGGAGGAGGTAACTCTAGCAATGGACTCGATGGACTCGACTGGCTGGAATATTACTCGGAGCTTAGTTCCATAAAAAGTGACAAGCTTTGCTTGTCCACCTTGAGGATACCGCAGTGACGAGGAAGTCCCCTCATAGATATCAATCGAATCCTATTTTAGTTTATTTCCGCCGTACGAGGGTTGACTGTTTTAGTAGTTTGTATTAGCCCGCTAACTATTCACCGAGTCAACGAAGTTCAAACTCGGAGAATATAATAGCGCTTCTATGGCTAGCTTTATTTATCTATTCTCTAGTAAATATACACGAAAACTGACTCTATTCCTAGGTCCGCTGGTGACCACACTGGCCATCTGATTACGAACCAGCCCGAAAGCTGTGTACAACCAACGCTATATCCGTGCGGACCTCCTATCCACTCAACCATAACAGATGCAATTCTAAGGCTATAAAGAAGTCTTATCTTCAGATCTTATATGAGCTATGCTCATTCCCCTGAGCGTATATATTGACGTTGATCCAAATAGGTTGGTGTTCGGAAACTGAAATACATCATACGCCTTGGCGAGTAAACGAACGCGGGGTGTATCGAAATCCGGAACACGATAGCTATGTTAACGATATGGTAAGCATATGTTCTCCAAGAAATTATTTAACAAGTATGATATAGAATAACAAGTTAGGTAACGAGAGACACATACTTCCAGGTGGACGTGATATAGTCCCCGAAGGTAACACGCTGACGGACCCTGCTTGAAATATCGGCTTCTGCCGGTGTCGAAACCGTGCCCCAAAACATAGCTGCGGGTTTTGCGATATCCGCTACGATCTCCTTGAGGCAGAAGTCCGAGGGGGGAGCAAACACGAACGTCTTGTCGTCGATCTCGGCGAGTCCGCCTGCTCCATATTGACCTACGACGGAGAAACCATTTTTGAATAGGACTGCCGCGCAGTTAGGGGTATAGTTAACGTCCTGCGCGAAAATTTGTATTTGACGGCCAAATCGCTTGAACAGTATCTCGGCGACGGTAACTACAGCCGCATGCCTTAACATAGCAAGACTCAGCATGCCGGGGTTCTCATCACCGCTACGCGGGGCGATAAAGTTGCCGAGTCCGATGCATACAATCTTGTTGATATATGGCGGTAACGGAAGTCTCATGAAGGTCGAGTAAAAGTGCTGCCCTATCGGGTTTTCATCCCAGGTATCTTGGCATTGGGTAAATAGTTCTTTCTGTTCGTCAAGGTCCTTGGGTACGAAGGTGTATGTTGTCTTCTCGCTAATGGTCATAGGGCTGTATGGCATCCCTTCGGGCCGCGTTACAGGCGGAAAAGCCATAGCTCGGTAACCATGAAAATCGACCTTGTATAAACGCCTATTCGAGCATGTTAGTCTACTCGAAAGGAAGCATAAATTTGTGAAGCTTCGGACCCCATATCCTTTTGAGCAGTATAATTCCCTCGTCCGGCATAGAGCGAGGTGCGCACTATGCCGCCATTGCCTGCAATCATATTTTCTATGCCGAGGAGCTTCTCTTTAGTCCACAGTCTAACTCCCGCTTCGTACTTTTCAATGACCTCACGTTGGAGCTTGAGTTCCTCATCCGACCACCTTTTGAATATGGGAAGCTGTGGGACAGCCTTGGCTAGTATGTCCGTACTAGACATTGTACCCTCAGAACAGGTGCTGGAATCTTCACTAATTTCACAGGTATCCCATTCATGCACGGATGGGTTTTCACTGTCGTTCAGAGGGCCAGCTTTTGACTCCGTAAGGCCCGTTGAGCTTGAGGTACGTTGAGAGCTGTTACTGTCGCCATCACCGCCGCTGGGTTCACTCTTAACCGGGATTACAACGCTGGGTTTCTATTCCAATGACTCGGACAGTGGGTCAGACAAAAGTTCAAGTTGTAATTCAGACGTTAGTGAACATGACGACGCCGATTGACTGCGGCTCAACTTTCTTTTTAAATCCCCAAACTTCTGGCGCATACTGTAAGTCTTCGAGATAAATCTTAGACATTGCAGATGCAACGGATCGAAATTGGAGGTCTGAGTGCCAGCATCGACACGTCCTGGGGTGTTCATTGGCATTTTGAAGTAAAACAATAGAAGTAAAAAAAAAAAAAAAAACTTTTTGAGGACTTGATCCGATTTTCAAAAGATGTGTAAATAGTCTAGTTTAAGAACCTGTTAGAAAGAAATATCCCAACATCCACGGATTAATCGAAGTGGTATTAATCTGGAAAGATAATGTGATGTTAATGGAAAGTCTGAGGGCACATAGAAGTGGATTTAAAAGTGCACCTGAATCTCGTTTCATTTTGTAGTGCAACTTCCTTTAGAGTTGGTCAACATCTCGAGATGTTGAACAGGATCGATGGGCGTAGTAGCTTATTTATAGGATATGAGGTATGTTCATATGAAGGCAGTACTTCCTTGTAGTTTCCTGTAAACGCGTATCGCGATTAGGTGTCGTTATTGAGAAAGCACCAGAATCTAACATAGACTTATCTCATAGTTATCCTAACGTTGAATAGTTTAGTATAATTTTCAAGTTTTTCAATTACTTAGAATTAATGGCAATACCTTGTCCGTCCACTTGTGCATAATGCGTCATAGATGTACCTACAACTATCTCCCGAAGAGTTAAGTCTATCTAACTGCCCAGGTGCTCGGAACTCAAGGTAACACAGCGTATGCAATAAGAAATGAAAAGGACGTTGCAGTTAAGATTCGGTCAAATGCATAACTCCAAAAGTCTTCTTCCTGTTTTGGAAGGTTTATAGTGGATTATCTCATACGTCACAGCGTTTAGTTTCGGTATGCTTCTAAGCCATTGACCATACATTATATAAAAGCCAGGGGATATTTAATCCACAACTTCTGACACTGAAATAAAGTCGTTTCAGCGTAGGCAGGATAGAAGATGCACACGTTTATATTATCATCAGCCATCAAAACGAAACATATTTGCGTTCTTTAAAGTTCCCGCGTTGACGATCTCCCCGTAGTTTAAATACCGGAGAAAAAAAGGGAGAAATGATACATCTCTCTACAGCAAGATTTCAGATAAATATGTGGAGTAGATTGCGTGTACGCCGAAACATTATCTCTCGTCTTTAAAAGCCTGAAATACATTAACCTACCTCAGATAGATCATAGCATATTAATAGATATGATCCTTCTTCCTAGGAACTTCTTTCTCCGGCTGTTAACCTTGACTGATTAAACAGATCCCCTTTAATATTTAATGGCCGGTAGGCTCACTCAGAAGATCCTAGGCCATCTGGGCCCCCTATTAAGCGGCGATTCCAGTAACAACACAGCATCTTCACCTGTCCACTGGAAAGTCGGCACTAATGAGACTATCTTACACCCCGCAGGCGGGACATACCCTCGCCTGTGCCGGCTCTCAGACGGTGATTTATTATGTTTAACAACGGGATTCCAAGGCCCCGGCCGTCGCGAACACGTCCTCCAAGTTTCACGCAGTGTGGATGGCGGTCGCACCTTTAGCCCGCATGGAGAAGTCACCCGCGGAATAGGCGATATTGACAACGGCTTCTTAATCGAAGTGCCAGCTTCGGCCCCCGGGAATAGTGGACCGGTTGTTCTCGCCGCATTCCGGAACCACGACCGCAAGCCCGGCAGCCGACCCTCGCATTTCCGCATCGTGAGTACTAATCCCAATTAAGACTCCATTAAACCTTTTTTTTCGTCTTATTATTTTTATCATCGTAATGAAACACCTTCTGACCCATCGTAGACGGTATGCCGCAGCGAAGACGGCGGGCGTTCGTGGAGATTCGCCTCCCAGGCCGTGGAGCAGAGCGCAGCCAGCAGTCATGGTTTAGGATTATGGGAGCCGTTTATGCGACTTGGCGGCAAGGACGGGCAGGAAATACAACTTACATTTTCGCGCGAGCTAGCGCACAATGACCAGGAAACCTTCCGCGTAGATTCTAGAGACGGAGGGGCGACTTGGAGCGGCCCGCCTCGGTGTCTGCGCTGCCATCCGTCGCATGAGAATCTACGCGACGGCATGCAGGGCATTGTAAGCGTGCGCGACACAGGAGGTGTGGCGGCGAATGGACAACAGCAGGACGTCAATGCGCTTGTTGTAGTATTTGAGACCACGAGACATGGCACATTCAGCGTTGAATACGCTGTTTCATACGATGAAGGACTCACGTGGGGATCGAGAGGCGTGGTGTACCGCCCTAAACCTGGTCGCAATGCGGGCGCGCCGCAGATCGAGCGCTACGGAGATCAAGGAATGGCTGTCGTGTTTATGTCAGATGAGGAGGCGGATGTACCATCATGGCCCGGAAAAGCTGCCATAAAAACAGTATTCGCTGAGGGTTTAGAAGGAGGCATGATACGTTGGGGCCAGCCCGTGCTTATCCATAAAGCACCTTCTTTCTGGCCCTCGATCATCAGTCTTGGCCAAGATGAACTTTTGGCTGTCTACGAGCATGGAGGAAGACCTCTCGGGAAACGCATACAAAGAGGCTAATGGGTCGATTAGGGCGTGTGGTGGTAAAGACAAATTGTTTGATTGAGATATTTTTAGATAGAGAAGAACCTCTCATAACTAATCAACTGGCCAATACTAATCAATACTAAGTATATCATACCAGGCGGAAGAGGAGTGGTCGAGTTGGTTACTATTCTCTTGCTTACCTTTTTAGGCCCAAGAGGTTCTTCGTCTCTATGGCCTATTATCACTACTCTTGTATCGTCATGCGGACGAGTTTACCTTTAGATTTGAATGTGTAACGAAGGAGTACTGCAGTGGGTAAGGACTTGACGGATTGGTATATCTGAATACTGAGTTACGAAAGTTGCCCATTATTCTATCTTATGAGTGTAGTGTTATATATTGGCGTCTTCTCCTTTACTACCGTCGTTACTATTGACTTACTATAGCTTATTTTCATGGACGGGTAACCCACTCATTCAGATAAGTGATCAGCCTGATATACTCTTCTGCCAGTAACTTACAGGGAACTCATACATTGGCTTAGAAGGCGCGTGGTATTTTCGTATGTTTGAAGCTTGTATGGAAAAGTACCATAAACATGGACTGAGTGGTGTTCTTAAGTATCCCTTAGGTAGCTTTCCTTCCTACCTACCTACCTACGTATAAAGGTACGCAGGACATTTGATATCTAGTCTGAGCTTGCTTCGCTTATGCTCTCACGATATACCCTTCTCAGTTCAAACAGGACTTCGATGGCAATAAGGAATATGATGATCCACTCCAGCCGGTGGCCGTACTTTTCGCTAACCATCTCTCTTAAGACACTTACGTTCTCAAACCCGTAGTCAATCTTCTTATTTAGAATCCCAATACGTTGCCGTATATCTAGAACAGTACTGATCTGGTTGTAATAATTCTCTAGGTTCGACTCGGAATCCCAGAACATATCGGGGAGCTGGTCTGTTATGTCGGAGTAGTGGTTTAACTGCGATCTCAAGCTAAGGAGCTTGCCAGTCATCTTCAAGACGGCGCTGCGCTTCAGCTTATGCTCGAAGCCTCCCTCAAGAAAGTCAAGACTATTCTTAGAGTTTTCAAAATAGTCAATAGCTTGGTTTTCGAGCATTGCTAGCTTAGGACTCCTAGCTAGGCCGCTCGAGAAGGCGATTTTGGCAAGGGTCGTATCTAATCTGTGATTCTCTAGCTCTTGTGCCCTTGTGCCCAGGACAACAACTTCACCCCTCATATAACTAGTGTCGCGAGATTCATCCGGTATGAATTCGAGCTCTTCCATCTCGAGGCGATTAAGATGGGGCAGCTGGGCGGCTCGAATCAGCTGCTTAGTGGCAAGGGTCATGAGGGCGTCGGTGGGTACGGACCAAGCCACCACGGTTCCTGAGGGGAAGACAAATATGTCCCCATTATTGATACCCCTCGCATGTACAACACCGGTAGGGTCGAATTCGGTACCGTCGGGATCTAGTTCGAATGCGTGAAAGCGCAATATTTCCTGTACAGCTTCCATATCGAAAGATTGGGCAACGCATATAGAGGTTATAGTTCGACGGTAGTCCATCTCAGAATCGGTGTTATCCTTCCTCGGAATAGTGGTGCGCTGAGGCGGTTTGGTAGTAAGTCCTAAGCGCAAAGTCTTCGCCGCCGAGACACGAACGGGTTTGCGCTTGGGGGCCGGGGTTCGGTTTTGTTGTTGTGTTTCCGAATTGTTGGCAGTGTCATCTTCCAATGATGTAGAAACGCCATCTTTTGTAGAATTCGCAAGCAACTGATTTGAAGTAAAGAAACTACGCTTTCGCGGTAGAGAGGCGAAGGTGGTTTGGTGGAAGCATCGTTGTGGTCTTGGGAGAGGGGCTACTGTATGCAGTCCTCGAAATGTGGAAGCTATTACTTTTTGCAATGAGGGTCGCATGGTTAAATTAATTGGGCCATCGAATGTGGATTAATAGCCCACGAATATATTTTCAATCAACTTCAGTGGGATGTAAATGTTTATCGTGGATTCAAATAATTGAATGATTTTATTTTATTATCTTACATTGATAACCTTGATAACCTTGATAGCCTTGATAGCGCAACCTTTAAAGCTCACGCTAAGGACATCAGCTAGCCAGGGGAATACTTCGGTACGTATTGCCTTGTACCTTTAGATATAGGTGCATCTAATCGATAAGAGTTTTTGGAAGATGAATGTCCAAATATTCTAATTCTATTCTAAAATATATTCACAAGGATACCTATCTCAACTACTCTAACTCCTCAATATCTTATTATCATGTTTACAAGACTACGGTGACGCGAATAGCAACATGTCGGACTTACTAGACCATCTACTACGTGGAGTCTATAAGTCACATGTAGGTACTCATTCGGATTCGAGAGTACCACAGAGCGGCCAGACAACTTCTACATTTCCAACAATTATCTCTGCATAGTTGAGAGAGGTAGGCAGTCTGTCAGCTTAAGCAAGCTCAAGTTCTTAATACCTAGGTACCTAAAATATTGGCATAATGTCTGCCTTGCCTGTGGTGTCGTTAGCCAAGTCTGGAGCCAAGTCTGGCTCTATTTTGTCATCTCAACCGACTTGGAGTCAAACGCTTTCGCGATTGACTAGCTCGAGACGGCATCGTTATCCTCGGCTACGAACATCTCCTAGTCGTATAATTGCCCTGTGGATGCGTAGCAAGACTGAGAGGCAAAAGAAGTCATATCATCCAGCCTTTCAATTCGCCGCTCAACAGCGGACCGATCGATTACCCCTATTGATGTTACAAGCCTGGATGGCAAATCAAGATATTAAGAATGAGCCTGAATTATTCAAGTCTATAAACTCCATCACTTCGTCTGAGTGGGCTGACCGCTTCCAGAGCTTGGCTACCAGAGGTTGGTCGAAGGAAGACGTAAATCATTGGATATGGATACTATCTGGGGAGAACGGCGACGTTCGCGTTCAACGTTTGATTTCAACTGAAAATCCTAAACCTATTTTTCTTACCACGCTTATGTCACGTAGTAACGAGACATTTCGCCAAGCGACATCTTTATTATCCCTGATGGAATATATATTGAAACACTATATCAATATTGGATCTCCATCATTGGATAACAATGGAGCCCTATCCGGGCGTGAAATGAACCCTACAATAACCCAATTTTTGCTACTACTTCGCCGTCTTATTAACCATGTTCAAAGATCATGGCCCAGATTAATTGTCACGGTCTCACGGTTCACGATGGACTACATTCAAGCACTACCCTCCGATGACTATCATGGTAAATGTGAAGTCTTCAATTCGGCTTTGCAATTGTTTAAGCGACCGGCTGCAAACCAACCAGTCGCAAATATGGAATTCAATTGGAGAGCGCAGAGGCTCCTGCTAGCTATGTCCGATAATATGGACAGCCCCTTAATCATTAACAAAGCTAGCTATAGAGCTATCCGAGAGGTTATGATTGGGCTAAAGAAGTCAAAAACGGAGAAAGCAGTTGCTGTAAGATACTCGAAATCCTGGCCGCCATATCGGCAAGATTTTGATGGATTTGATGCGAAAAGAACGGTAGAAGATGACTACTCGAGAAGCGTAAAGGCTGGCGTTCTCATGAAGGAATCTGGGTATCATGATGACAAGTACGATCAGGCACTTGGTGTTCTTGGTGGGTTAGGCTGTGATTCTCCTACCGTGCAGACTCGCAGTCTTGCACCAAAAGAGTGGAAAGGTGAAGAACAAGATCGAAACATATATTCGCGCTGGGCTACGATGATACGCGCAACCCGCAACCGCCAGGAGGCATGGAAAGTTTTCAACGACCTTGCTTTCGAAACAGGCAAACCTCCTAACACCCAAGTTTACGCCGAGATGTTTATGAAGCTACAAGCTCGCCTCATCCCCGAAACCTCAACTTCCTTGCCAGGCGAAACCCGAGAAAACTTTCCAATCCATGACGCCAATTATAGTGAATACGAGCTAGCTAGGCTTTCACCCCCTACAGTTAGCGAGTTATATGATCAAATGATCAGTCAAGGTGTAAAACCGGAGGGTTACTGTCTTAATACTTTGCTGAGCAACGCCAGCTCCCTCCAAGAGGGGACTCGCTTTCTTCGTGACAGTGGCATTAACCCTGCTAGTATCAACGCGCTGGGTGTTTTTAAACAACCATCTTATGAGGCACTACGACGAATCCCTCTGTTAGTTTTTAAGAGCTATGTACAACTTCTTTGTAGATTGCAGCCTAATCGTCAGGGTCAAGAAAAGCTCCATCTTGAACAACTTTTTCGCATCCGACATGCTATTAACCTCGTCAAGTTTCGACTAAGACCGGGAACTACCGAAGGCTCTACTTTTCGACCGCCTTGGGCTATCATTTTAAGGACACTAGCGCGACCACACGTATGCGTGATAAATGGCACGCAGGCGAGCAATGATGCGGCGGCTCTATCGATGTCTATGGATGTTATCCCATCCGTACAGAAAACAGCAGGACTAGACCCGGATATTTTTTTATATATATGTCGTACGGTCCAAAAAGCGGCTGTATCCCGACTGGAATCTCGAGATCCATCAGCAATCGAAAACAGTACGATTGAGATTCCTTTAATACATCATTCTTATGATGTACTAGAAAAATTAAGGTCGCTATTCTCTCAACTCACTATGCCGATAGGGATATCCAGAACAGAGTCTAAGAGGCTCGAAGTACCTCAGTTTATACATAACGTAGGCCCTGCTCATCTTCACGCATATATGCGCGCTCTAGCTTTCCTAGAGGACATAGCTACGATGAAAGAACTGTTACAGTGGATATTAACACAAAGGGCTTATGTTGACGAAGAAGCTGAGAGGATAGAAAGTCGTGGGTATGCACTGATAGCGAAGACGCTATGCGCCTTTCAAGCTTTTGCCGGTCCGAGTCTTACGCATAAAGAGAAGGAAGATCTGATATCCCGGATGGAAAATACTACAGATACCAGAGGCTCATGGAGATGGCCAACACCGGAAGAGGTCGACACCTATGTACAGTCCGATTTACGGGGCGGTTCATGGAGACTTCAGCAGAGGATTTTAGCCAAGCTGTGGCATAAATCCTCACAGGAGGAGAGTGAAAAGGAAATGGGCTAAATATCCACATAAATAAATGTACAGTATCAATATTAAAAATACCCTATCATGATATATATCAACATACTATATTTCTGCTTAGAGTTACGTTGTATAAGAACAATACTGTTGCTCATAAACTAGTCTCTAACTTTTAACTTATACTCCGCTGTTTAGATGTCGTTCTCAAACAATACTACTACGAATAGAAGTATATAATAACCACTACATCCGTGGTTACGAATTAATTTCAAACCGAAGACATCACCAAAAAATTGCAATTAGCATTTTCGTGAATACTTACATAAAATACCATAACTACTAATATCTTAAGAAAGAACCTTTATTGGGAATAAACATCCTTTAAAACGCAACCATGAGTGATAGATATACGAGCTATCCGATTGTTTACCCCCACTTTCCTGGTGGCCATGGAGGAGTGAACAACTCAACACGCACGCAAATGTTTGGTAACCCAATTCCATATCGTCCTGGTGTTGAAACGCCTTTAGGACAATTGCTTTCAACGCATGCGAGCCTGAGGAACGTACACCTATCAGAACTATCTTTCCGTAATCCGATGGAGGAACGAAGTTTACTAGGAGTACCGAATAGGCTGGCTCTACAATCCAGCCAGGACTCCGACACGGAAACCCTGTTCTCCGACCCAGGGGGACTCTTCCGAAGAGCTGTTATACGAAGTGCTTTCGTCCAAGCCCGCAATGTCAGCGACAAAGAAGAGAGTCCGTCCGAGGAAGGTAGAGCAAGCCAGAAATCCGACAATGACACGGGTGTTATAACTCGTAGCGGTATTACCTTATACGGCGAAGTCCGCGACCTTTTTGAACATGAACCTGATCCCGAGGTGTTGGAGCCCGAAGTACATGTTATCATAAAATGTCCAATTTGTTCGGAAAAACTTAGATTCTTCCATCCAACTAATCCTGATAGGTTCCCTGATTCCTTGAATGGTGGGGAGCAGCTTACTGTCCTCGCTTGTGGACACATGATAGGCATTCATTGTCTGCTAGGATGGATGACGGAATGTGCTCAGAGGGGACGTGAACCTACTTGCCCCATGTGCCGCTTTAATTTGCTACATCCTCTTCGTGTCTGCAGACATGTCATAGGTTTTGGTATGGTTACATTAGGGGAGCCCCTCCCGCCATTGACTATACCAGAAGGAGGCAGGGTACCTGCTATGTGCAAACCATGTTACCGTGATGCACATGAGCGAGTTTATGATAGGACAGTATGGGGATTATGATAGGGCAGCGTTGAGATTCTAGCAATAGATAGGTATGTACCATTAGATAAAGTTATTTAAATCTAGTAGTATCTCAAGTGAGATATTTATTAGTTAATTCCTATCATGACCTCTTTTACATGATTACCTGTATCAAATATAGTGAATTATCAAGGACTAAGGAGTCGTTTATAATAATATTGTTGTTGTCTTTCAACTAAATAGTTAAAAGAATGATAGACTCTTACACGTCAAAATGTATACAAATTTATTGTAACTCTTTCTCCGATATAGCTCTTCGCTTGTGGAATCGAAATGGAATGTGGTAATTTCACTGACACTTCGAAGCTTTCCGAAAGTGGGTAGATGATCTTGAGTTAGGTACTTAGCCCAGTGTTGATGTATTGGTATTCACAGACGCTGTACTTATATGTAACGAAACATATTCTATTATACTTAGGGTTAGCTGCCTAAGTTTAAACTCGTAGGGGTTTAACAATAGACCTTTTTTATTGACTACGTATTAAAGAGGACACTCACATCTCTCACGCCTCGCTTCATCGCCACTGGCTTCCCATCCTCGTATTCTATTCCGGCCTCTCCACCGTCGCCGGAAAGTCCCGACATCTTTCGTTGTAATTCAGCATCTATTTCTGCCATAGTCTTCTTCTTTCCTTGGCTCTTAATTGTTGTCGCGCTTGCTCGGTCTATTGAAATTGAATTTTGCTTTTGTTCTTGATACTGTGAATGGGATTGAGAACTGGCCGATCGCTGACCGAAAGTGAGCAATCTGGACAGTGGAAACACCAGGGAACTCCGAGCTCCGAGTAGACGCATTTTTAAATTAATAATAATAAATTAAAGAACAATTTCTCGATTATACGTGTTGAAATAGTATTATACTTGTTTTATATATTTATAAGGCAGAGTAGTTCTTAAACTACCTTGATGATGAATACTGTTCCTGGTACACATTCATCCATATGACGACATGTATTCTATATTCTTTCTATATTCTTTTCACGTCATTAAGCGGGTCCAACCCCTATTCTAAGAATTTATGCCATACATCTATTCATATCATACTACTGTATAAATACATATATCAGGAGCGGTTAAATACATACCCCCTGACCTGGCAACCCTTCATCTACAACCACTATCACGAAAGGAACAAGATGATATCAAATCAAATATAAAATAATCAAGCATATAAAGTACCATATATCAAATGTGCCTTTGGGGTTAAGCTGGGATTTTATTACTTTATGGAAGATACTATTCCATCTAAAGTCCAGTCCATGCTTTTATGTTATGCACATCCCAGTCTAATATTAATAGCCTCGATCATCATGTGCTTCAACAAAGGAGACTGCAATGGCGACTAGTCGTATCAATGGGCCGAATAAGCCAAATGTGCTCAAGTTGTAAGCGTTACTATTTTGTCACCATTATAAGCGGTATGGAGATAAGTAGATGAAGCGATTATGGAGAGAAACCCGGCGGAGGAGCGCAAGGGTCGACGCCAAAGTAGACATAGACTTCCCTCCAGTTTTGAGTATCGAGCTCAGACAAGTCCGTTCGGGTCTTCTCTCGCGCAATCGACTGGCGCGCAGACTCGGCTTGGCAACGAAAGCTTCCAAAGCGCCACTCCTGACGAGTGTACAAGCTGTTAATAGACAATGTCAGGACGGCCTCTAGCTCATAGTTGAATTTAGACCGGAAGAAGGCGTGTAGGAACCGCTCGTTCACGATGCAGTTAGGGCCTTCGATGTGTAGGACGCGACAGTGCGGGCTTGGGTCGCGCGGTGCCGATCTAATACGGTTCATCTTAATCTTAGGAACATAGCCTTCAACTGAAAATTCGCCTGCCTCTGACTTAGCGAGAAGATTGTCGACGCCAGAACGGTCGAAGAAGACTAGCTTAGACGCCGAGGTTGTATGAGGAGCTCGCTGTCTGAATCGGTTAGTAGACTCGCTGGGCGGGTTGATGACTGCGGCAAATATCTTCCCGCAGTTGCGGATAGCGCCTAGGAGCATCTGATGAGTGCACTTAGGCGGAAGATTAGTTAACCAGAGCGAAGTGCTTTCGTTCTCGGGTACATTTGCGGATTGATTAGAGGGCAGGAAAATATTGCCTCCGTAGTTCTCCGATATACCAGTGATGGCGAGCTGTTGATCCCGTACGCTTGGAGGGACTTGGTTTCTAGCGAGCCAGGAATTCCCTTGACCCATAGGAATATATCCTCCGTTAGTTCCCCAACCTCCCCCACTCGATGGTGTACTGAAGAACCGGGATGTAGATATTGGGTGGATCGACGGGGATGGGAAGACTGGATCGAAGTATGTAAGTCCTTGGTTGGCTGTATTATCTTCTAGCCAGAAAGAGCGGCTGTTATTATGATCTGGAGGATGAGTTCCAAAAGTAGGAGCGGTCGAACTAATCAAGCCATTTTGAAACCAGGGAGACGAAGGCGTTTCCGCACGCGCGCCATACGAACAGCGCCCGTATTGAGAAGACGCCTCGCTAGAGGAGGCATTTTGGTAGTTATCGGAAGCGTTGATGTATCGCATTGTGGATGAAGACAAGTTGGAGTTTAAAAATACGTGTGGAGGAGCGTGTTGCCTAGTTAGTAAACTCTTAGTTAGTATTCGTATATAAATAACTATCCCAGAAGATAGAGAAGGGCCGTAGGATAAGTAGCTGTAGGCGAATTGATGGGTGTCATGGCGGTGCCGGTGTTAGGTATAAGGACTTTAGAATAGTTTAGAGATATACTCCAATGTTGGATCATTTGGTAGATAGGCCTAGTAATGTTGAAAAATCATTGATGAAATTACAATGAAATTAATTTAAGTTAGTCTTGGAGGTATTGGGTCTTGGTGTTGTTGTTATTGATGATGTATTAGATATTGATGGAAGATGTGTTGGATTAGGCTATTGGAAAGTAGGAAATATTTAAAACCTTCCTACCTTCTATTGGCAAATGTTGTATGTGTTACTGATGTTGTGTATTGTGTAGAGATGGTTTGTGGAAGTTGAAGTTTGAATGCGTTGAGAAATATCTGGAAGGGGGATTAAATAAGTTTTTTTGTGGTTGCTGTAGCTGAGAGTTGTGTCTTCCTCGGGGCTGAATCGACTTTTATTTGTGCCTAAGGAAAATTACTGTTACCACGACGATCAATGTGAAAAGGCTTGGGTATCCGTATTTTCGTGAAGTAACTAAAGTAACAGTTTCTACGCAGCAGGCAACTACCTTAGAGGCTGGGGGCAACTGAAAGTAAGGAACTGGGCAATGAACTTATCATGGAGACCAAATAGATGCCTAATTGGCAACCTAATGAACCCTTTAAATTTTCTAAGACAGCCTTTCCATTACTACCAATACAAGATGAATGGACTTAATTGCATCAAAGACAAGTGATTTCACCATCAGAGTCGAGAGCATCTTCTTACAGTGAAAACATTATTTATAATAAAACAATCTGCGAGTTGAACTTATATAAGGAAAAAAAGGAAAATAAAGACAGAAACCATGATATCTGTGCTATATGAACCATCATATTATGTATCTAGCGGAGCCCCTGAAGTCACACAGCACACACCGAGTAACGGTGAGGGTCTTGTCAAGTACCCCCTATTTAGACTAAGAGTAGAGAAATCATCTACTGGGTATCGATAAGGTATAGCTGCATCGAAGAAGCCCTTATAAAGAGACTCATTGGACCAAGAGTGAAACCTAGTGCTGGGAATAGATATAATAGAAGACCAAACTAGTGGATAAAGGCTAAGACCACTGACCAAGTATAAAGGGAACAGTTTGAAATTAATGAGGTAGGCAAATAGTTGCGATACTTAAACTCGGTTTCGATTTTACTTGACTTGACAGGTAGTAATGTTGCGGAACTGATGGTAATAGAAGCGCAATGTGAAAAATCACAAGTATTATGCTAAGGTATCTCTAGCTAGACCTATTGAAATATAACTCAAACAGGCATAAAAAAACAAACCGAACAACTTCACATAGGTTATAACTAATAAATATGATTAGATTTATCATATTGAAGAAACTCCAAAATAGAATAGGCCTTGTGATGACAAGGCAGTCTTCTAACTGTACTTGATATGGCAAGACTCACCTCATTTCAAGGGGAGCACTTTGGCCCAACCATTGACATCCATACGATGGCTATAGAATCTCTCACATGCAAGTATAAGACCTCGGGAACTTAACATGCTGTTAACTACTGCAACTACTTTTCTAAGGGAATTAATTTGCTTATCGTATTGACACGCATGATCATCGTAGTCGAGTAGTCAATCCACTCCTCACGGGTAACTCTGCAAGGGGACCTCTTCATCAACATATCGAAGGATGGAGCTGTCACGAGCTCGACGGGATGCTGAACTTCAGGTTCACAGCTGACAGCTAACTCAAATTTGACAAACTTCATCAAAATATTGAAATGTGATAATAATAAATAGGCACCTATTGAGTTGCAACTCGAAGCCTCGAATTTCCATGCAAAACCTGGAACGCACCATCCGAATTTCCCATTCATGCGCCCATCTTCGTACACAAAAGGAACAAAAAACTGTCCCGTATATACATATCGTAACTCTTCTTCCCCTTCTTACAGTTTCATACCCGACATCTTAGCGACTCTTAAGCTCTGTCTCATGCTGAGGTCAAGCATAATCTCTTCGCTACCACCAGGAATAGCGTACGCGCGTACGTCGCGGTACAATCGCTCGACCTTGCCGCCTTGGCCACCTCGCGAGTAACTCAGACCACCAAAAATTTGGCTGGCCTCGCGCGCACAGAACTCAAAGGTGAGCGTGCTCTGGGCCTTGAGACCAGCGATAGGTCCACCGAGTCTGAGCATAGCCTCTGTCTCGCCCATCTTCTGGCATTGATAGATAAGGTTCTCTAGCCAATTGTAAGAGGCCTCGATCTGCCTCGCCATATGCGCTAGCTTCATGCGGATCACAGGGTGCTCGATCAACTTCTTGCCAAACGTTCGTCGCTTGTTCGCGTATTTGACGGATTCCTCGTAGCAGACACGGGAGAAGCGCAGGCATTGGATGATGATACCCATACGTTCGTGGTTGAAGTTGGTCATAATGACTGGATTCAAAATTAGTAACCCTAATCAGGAATTGATGTTGAGGCTTGCTTACCCTTGAAACCCTGGTTCTCCTTGCCAATGAGGTTCTCAACAGGCACCTTAACATCTTCGAAAGTGATGTACGTAGTACCAGACGACCATACACCCTGGCAGTCCATCCGTCTTGTGCTTACACCACCGAAGTCACGCTCGATAAGGAGTAAGGAGACACCGGTCATACCCTCGCCACCTGTCCGTACGGCGACAGTGAAGTAATCACACCAGATACCATTCGTAATCCATTTCTTTTCACCGTTAACAATGTAATGTTTTCCGTCTTCGCTCAGTTTGGCTTCGCAAGTTAGGTTAGCAACATCACTTCCCGCGTCGGGTTCCGTAATTGCTAAGCAAATCCGCTTCTCTCCCGTAAGAAGTCCAGGTAGAATGCGGTCTTTCAGGGCCTTCTTGCCGAACTTGACGAGTGGCGGGCAACCAATACCGAAGCCACCGAGAATGTTCCAGACGAAGCCGCCAGATCCGACACGTGATAGTTCATCAGTGACGACCAATTCATGGAACAGATCCCATTGTTCCGGTGCTACCGACTTCACAGTATTTTTCGTGTACTCTTTAGGGTAATGTACACCTAGCAGGCCAGCAAGATAACCACGACGACCTGCCTCGAGGAAGATCTCGCGTGGAACCTCTTTCTTTTCGTCCCATTCTGTAACATTCGGCTCGATATCGCGTTCGACCCATTCGCGAATTTCGGCTCGGAGAGCGACGTGGGATTCGTTGAAATAAGGAGAGTGGAACTACGAGCAAATAATTAGCAAGGATAATTGAGACATTCAACTGGGCTAAGGCGAAGACATACACCCTGGTACCAACTGGGATCCGCAAATGGAATAAGAGCACCGAATGGTTCCAGCGCCTCAGTCTCTTGTTGCGCAGTAGAGGGAACAACGGCTTTCTTAGTCTCCTTCGTCGGCTGAGGAGCAGCGTAGGTCTTGGAAGGCTCTGGTGTTGGTTCGGACTTGGGCTTGGTATCTAACGAGCCGATTTGGAGTGATGGCTTGTACTTCTTGAGAATACCCTCATTATGATATTTCCAAAATTGCTTGGACGCGTCCTTTCCAGCAACTCGGGTTAGGATCTTCTTCCCACCTATACGGCAATGAGACTATGGTTAGCTATTTTGACTTGAGCCTGTTTGATTTAGATAAATGCATTGCGCTGAGCTCTCAACATCCCGGGAGTCGCATCGTGATGATGTAAAATAATCTAAAGAGGTCAAGTGAGGACATACCAGGGTGATCATCTTGAAATTTAGTTAGGTCGTAGACATCGTCATCGACAACGATCCATAGAGAATCGCCTTTGTTATGCGACGCGACGTCGCTCTTGGAAAATGTCTTGGACATACTGAAGGAAAACTCTGGGTATATAGAAATAGAATATCTATTTGGAATTATAGCAGTAACGTAAAATGGGTAAAAGTACAAGTGAGGAAAAAGGAAAGATATCTTTTAAAGGGAAGAGGAATTAAAAAGTTAGGTATGTTTGGCGCGAAGCCATTCTAATAGCTTTAAAGGCTCGGCGATTAGACTTTCTTACCGAGCCTATGCTCTCGTACTGTAACGTCTTACGGCTAAGAGCTGCTTGTAAGCTCAACATGTGATTCTGGAAAGGGACCCTGTAATGTTCGGCCTATTCTGGAACCTATACCGCAAGCAGCTACTGTTTAGCTCCTTACAAATGCACTAACACGTCTTCTAAGCCACTCAATGCTTCGCTATTGGCAATGAGAATCTGCGACATTGCTCTCAACATGGGGCCGAACTCCACAATAATAACCTAGGTAGGCGGAGCGGACCTACGCGTAAGAGTCAAATAGAAATTCCGGGGGATTCGTGGGGAAAGGAATACATACCTTAGTGTACATCTATGACTTGGGATGTTTTAGTGTTCCCTCGCCATTACTCGTGTCATGTGTACGTCTTAACTTAAGATATTGTTGGCATGTGATTCAAAGTTTCCTCCCTACTTGGAGCTGAGAATGTGGGGGATATAGTAAAGGGAATGATGAGGTCATGCCTAAGATCTCTTAATTATGACCAATTGGAGAAGTTGGAGATTGAAAGTACCGGGGTTACACACTGCCGAGGTACGCTTAGAGGATCCACAGTAAGTCGCCCGCACCGGACTGCAAGAGCTGTAAGAAACTTGAGACTTCTCTTGCCGACTCTATGCTATCACTACAAGATTTTCGGGGCAAGCACATGGCATCCGCCTCCAGTTTCCCCGGGATAATCTATCCGCTTATAACAGGTAGGTATGTTTCTGCATTGCCATATATCAATTTAGCGAGCCGATTCTTTCTCAATTTTATGTTTCCGACGTTAATCTATTCTATGGTGATGGAATAGAAACAGTCGACTCAGATTATCGACATATGAAATTAAACAAGAGCAAATGTTTAAGGGGGCCTTCTACAATGCCCAAGATATTCCAAATCTTCCGCAATGACACATTACTTCCTCGCAAATAATAGTTACATGTTAAAAGTTTGGCAGTTGTAAGTTTTAGTATTGCCTTATGCTACAAGTTATTCGTCATATTACTATGGGTAAATTGTAGCGTAGAACCATAGCTGGTGTACAGTCCGAGTTTCGCTCTTTGACACGTCTCTCAACACGTCTCTCGCTACAGTCAACATATCATCACTAAACACTGTACGTTGTGTTACCTGTAACGAACAGAGTTACGTCAGATTGTTTCGAGATTGAAAAAACAGTCCCTTTTGTACGTGATGGTTCAATTATACAAGAACCACCACGATGGATCGCCGCGCCTATTAGCGCTGTCATAATTTCATACTCAAGCCTGAGATGGGTTATTAAGCGCCTGCGTCTCAAGCTGGACGGCACCATAGCCAGTCATTCTTTTTGTTACCGCTGGACAAGGGACAAAACCACAAGCACAGACCACTGTCGATTAGGTCCTTGATTGGCCAACAGCACTTCAATTGGGAAACTCCCGATTTAGAAGCCTTTCGAACTGACCTGCGACTGAAAGCTCAAAGGCCAGTTGACCATCTTTGTTGGCCCTGTTGTATCAACTTACGCAGTATTGGGCGCTTGTTTGTCAATGGATTCACAGATTCAAATATAGCTGTGTTTCCATTGTTTTCATATTTAAATATCATTCAATGTTCCTCAAGGACTGAGTCTACTTTCTTGTACACATGTTTCCTTCGTCACTACTCTAACACATACGACACTGGATGTCTTTGATTCACTCTGCATTCATTTAGCATCATTAGCATATAATTACTTAACAGTCTTTTAACTGAAGGTTTCTACGGTTTACCATTTATCGTTTATTTGCCTAGATTATCTTGGAATCATATACAGCCTCAGCAAAATTTCATATACATACCTAATAGCCAGACGAGAAAAAGCAAAGGGAAATAATGGCTATCAAATCCCTCATCACACGATTTGGCAAAGGTGCCGCCACCAAGCAGATGTACATCTACGAGACATGGCTACGTTGGGTCGTCCGCGGAATCCAGTTCGTACTCGCCGTCGTTGTCTGTGGTCTATATGGACGTCGCGTCGACCATGATCATAGGCACGGGAACGGTCAGTCAGCCGCGTGGATTTACGCGCTATTCGTCGCCGGGTTTTCATGCATCACCTGTCTTTTATACTCTATCCCCAACCCGTTCGGCCGCCTGCAGTCCCACCGCCTCTTTGCCTGGGACCTTATCCTCTTCGTCCTTTGGGTTGCCCTCTTCGGCACCTTTGCCGCCATCTTCCTCAAACGTGAGGAAGATGAGTACGAGGGCACCAGCGTCGCACTAATGAAGTGCGCTGTCTGGATTGATCTCGTGAATTGCGTTTTCTGGCTCTGCACCGGCCTTTACGGCTGCTTCCGTACTTTTGTCGGCAGGAAGGTGAATGGGAAGATCGATGAGTATTCTAACAAGGTTGAGGATGGAATCAACGCCAAGGTGGACCAATACGCGGGTTCCGCAAAGAACAACTTCAGTATGAAACTTAATCCTTTGCGCAACGAGACAGTATGAGCTAGGAATACGTGGGAAGAGCTGGTTACCTCATACGTTGAATAACGATACTCACGGCTGTATGATAGGATTGGGTTATGGGGGTGTTTTTCATGCATAGCATTACGGGCGGTTGCATATAGACTACTAGACGGGCTTCATCAGTTAGAAGCGATGTCTCAGACTGGTCCCCTTGGGTTCCATTTTTCGGGAACCACCAAGGGCATCCATTAATAATATTATTGTCTTTTACATCACCATATATTCCTTACAATAAATATGATTTGTATTGGATTTTAACTTTGCACGAACTAGATATTGTGTCCTAGGTGACACCTCTGGCCCTCTAACCACTTCTACAGTAGCCAAAGGAAGACTAAATCAAGCTTCAAATATATCGTAACACTACCTCCTAAGAATTATTTTATAGTTATAACTTCCTTGTATATACTTCTCTACCTCTGGTTCGTTCATTCATACTCTAATCTTGTTTGAAATGTCTTTGTTTAACTAGTATATTATATCTAGCTGAGTATCTCAGGTAAGTAGGTCAGAAGGTAGTTATCACGGTTTTCCAATACCTTCTCATCCATATGTCTTCAATATGCCTAATTCTTCTATGATAAATATGCTCTACCATCCATATATTGGTTCAGGAGCTATGCTGCCACGGCGATGAACTTCTAGCTAATCAAAACTTTCTAGCCCAGCGATTTGGCACTACAACAACTAGTCGTAACAAAGTGATGCTTTGGAGAGGTCGTATAGGCAACTCCTATGTATAGATGTTCTAGACCACCATGCTATATTAAGATACAAAAGAAATCATAATTTAGCAATGCCACTTTTTATCAAAAGCATTATTCAACATTTCCCTTGTTATGTATCTACTTCCTTTGATGAACTATACAAACCATGTAATCAGATGTCGATATAATCCCCCGTTCCTCTAACTAGATAGCGAAATTTGATCCACACAAATCCTTTACAGTCAATATTGTTTCAAACCAATTCTTTCTCCGATTTTAACCCTAATCTAAGCAAAATGTCTACTAAGGATACTCGCCTTACACACAAATCCCTCCCACGACTTATAATTCCATCAGGGAGTCGTCGGGCGGAGCCTGAGGAGATTACTGTGAGTCGTGTCGAGGACTTCCTAGACTACTGTATCAAGCACAAAAAGGCACCTATCACGCGGCTCCCAGATATCGCCTTTATCCCCCCTCCGGGCTCTCTGGGCTCGAGTTCGGATAATACAGAAGACCAGAGGAAGGTAAAGGAGCCCGAAAAGAAGCCCAGCAGTCATGAAGATCTGGAAGATCCGCGTACTCTCGCATTTACAGATTGTGAATACGACTTGTTAGATGCGTTGCAAGCACAGCTTGCTGGGGTGAAGGTGTTGCATCATAATTTATATCACGAGACGACCGTCGACCCGGATAATAAGGAAGCAATGGCGAAGTGCAAAAAAGCTAGAACTGAGCGGGAGCAGATTAATAACGAGATCTCGGAAATTTATCGAAAAAGGGGTATTCGCCGAGACTTTAGACGGGATGCTAACCACCCTAAAGGCATACTGAATTGGTGATTGCCTAGGCGGGCGAGTATTAGGGGATATCAATGGGCGACTATGGAAAGGGGGTAAGTGCGCGAAACCTCCTTTGTTAATGATTTTTATGATGTTTATGATTGCTACGATTATCGGTATACCAATGAAGTCGCACAGGATGTGACATTTCTGCACTATGTAAAATAGGGGAGGAAGGCTAGGAATAATAAACAAAACAATAATTCTTCAACTTGCTCTCTTATTATCGTCGAGGTTGTTCCTAGCGATATTTCAAGCACTTTAGGTAATATCTTGAGTTTCGACTTTGAGCCTCAAAATTGGCCTTGAAAATAAGTAATGGGTTTCCACATGGCCATAAACCCTTAAGATTATTGTTTGGAAACTACATGGACTTAGTAGAATCTCAAGCATATCGATGAGTAATCTAACTAGGCTGCAAAGAATGTAAGTTGGTGAACAATGAGAGTGTTCCCGAACAGCTGAGAAGTTCACAAACAATCTCTTTGTTTCCATTGCTTGAGTAAATTGAATTGTTCCAACAGAAACATAAATATATGCGACTTCGCGCACAAGGTCATTCATCGATCTATGAACAACAAAGGACATAACATAGTATCTAAGTTGGCTATCTCAATATAAATTCGTGAACATTTCAACTTGCAAATCCAACGCAGATCTCACATATCCAATCCTTAAAATACCAATATCTAAGTTATTCAGGCCAAAACTAAAAAAAAGATCTTATCGAATACAACTTTCACTTTACATACTATGTCTAGCCAAGGTTCGTTAAGAAAAGGCTCGTTCAGAGAACACGCTGAACAAGAGATGTCGACTCGAGGGCAGGCAACCACGGGCCAGTCTCAAAACGAGGAGACGCCCTTAAAAAGCCCCTCACGGAAACTCTCCTATGAGTTACTTCCCGAGATTCTCTCCGTGATTAGGGCAGCCCCGCCGGTCTTGACGAAGGGCGATGGGAATGTGGTGGTGCTAGATCCTCTAGGCAATCTACCTGACCATCAAGATTCAAACCAGGTAGGACAAAACACATTGGGACCGAAACCGACGCTCCTTAGACGCAACGCGCTCTGCCGACGCGTGACAGCGCCCGTGGGGTTTAAAAAAGAGATTCCTGACGATGACAGTGGTCCAAAGGACTACTTTTCTTTCCCATTCGTGGAACCCCCTCCGCCGTGCTCACCTGCGGCAGAGGAACTTCGCAACGCATGGGAGAGCCTTCAAAGGCCTATCCGAGCTCACTCGTTGCCCTCGCGTCAATTCCACAAACCTGAGAATTCTCGCAGCTAGTAATTGTACGTGACCGGGGAGTATTGCGGGAGGCCGGTCTATGCATATTTTAAAAAAAACACCAAGTTGTATATAAAGGAAGAGAGAGAGGTGATGTGGAGTAGACGTGTTTCCCTTGTTTCGCTATTTATTTCCCTGTTTATTTCTAAATGTTTTCTGGGGTTAGGAGTTAGAATTAGCAATGTTATGAGAATCAATCCTCTAACATGAAGCGTAAATGTTTCTACAACCATAGTAAGTCTTAGACCCCCGAGTGTGGGGATTCGTCCATAGACTAAAAGAGGTAGCAATGCAATAAAGTGAATAACGGCTTCGGCTCGGGTTTGGCCTAGCGTAGCCTAATTAAAGAGTTTGTCGATTGCTTAACCTACTACAGTTTAGTAAAGCTGCGTGACCATAGATGATCGGCGTAGCGGTAATGGTGATAAACAGAACCATGAAGTACATAAGTGGCCATAGCTTATAGATATCGATAGATATCTTGGATTGACCCATGGGGGAACTCCTAGGAGGGGTTTCAGTACTTGGTAAGTGCGGGAGACTCGATTTCTTTTTTTAGATAGATATCAAGTCTGTGCCCTTCAGAGCGTTGGTACATAGACAAGGGGATGGGATAATCAATAAGTAGAACTGTATGATGATTCCCGTGTTCGGAAAGAAGAGTCTTTTATTTTATTTTTATTTTTTGAGACCTCGTAAAGGTTAAATGAGCGTACAATAAAAATTTCAGCATCGCTTTTGACATTGTAACTGTAGTATAGTAGTTAAATACTGAGTTGTTATGATGAATGCTGTTAATGTTACTCTATTAGGATGTTGTTGGCTACGTTCATGATATCTTGGGCACCACCAGCACTAGTTGCACTTAGGAGTGGTATGTAAGTTTGCTTTCTCGTGTGAATTGGCATTTTCAGCTTAGACTAGCCCAGCCAACAAATAACCACCCTACCATGTAGTCATTTCTATCATAATGTAGAGACGACTTTAGGACCTAGGTTTCCTGGGACGGGAAATGGATTCAACAATGCGTCAAATAAATCGCCCCTTGTGGAAATTCTGCAGTATTTATGGTCGCCGACTAACAAAAACGACGAAGTGATCGATCTAGTCGGGTTAAGACGCCATGGCAAACGGTGGCTGAGGCTACTTTTCCCGGCGAAATGGACGGTTGATGGAGATCGACAAGGGTACCGGCTCGTAAAGCTGAGAGCTGAGAGAACAGACAAAGAAATTCGTAAATATTGCATCACATGAGCATAAGTGATGTAGGTATATGGAATACAAGATTGTCGAGTGACAGCATATGAAACCGATATCATATCAAGAGCTGCCTGTCCCCGGAATAGCGGTGCAGAGCTTGTATACGTGGTGGACGGGTGTCACTACGTCACAACTGTCAAACAGTAATATGTGTTATCAGATCTGGTGAACATTAGACCTGTCATATGCAAGGCTAAGGTTCCTCCTGGCTCGTCATACGAAGCACATGTACGCAGGTATGCGCTGCATCCATGCGAGGAAGCAGGAGGATCTTTGGACGATGTTTCGAGATTTCTGCAGTCATCAAAATTCCAGCACGAGACTAGTAACGCTGAAAGGATAACGGCATCGCCCCGACGTGCTGGTATTGGGTACGCATTTGAGAATCGATTCGCTACCCAACGGCGTTCCTGCGTCGGCGGATGGCATTGCAGCACTAAAGTGTATGCAGCCCTGTCTCCCGATCAATGTACGTATGTACTAGGCTAGGTTGAGCTGACAATGGACATACCCGACATAGTCACGATGGTCAAGAGGACGGTCGTAATTCTAAAATACTCCGAAACCCCAGAAGTACCGGGAACAAGCGCGCTAAATAAGTGCATCTTGGTCTATTCCCACGAATGAAATTCATCTGGGGTGATCGTAGTGGGAGCTTTTTGGTTCTTGGCATGTGTTTGATGGTTTACCTTTGATTATCAGTATGTAGTTCATCCCGAGAGTCTGGAGCCCCTAAGCGTTGAAGTATCTCTCATTTAATATCGAATACTAATGACTGGATTTGAAAAAGCAAGGGAGAAATATGCAATAGACTTATTATTCTCTCAAGGATGGAATTAATGGTAAACCATACAGTAAATGTAGCTGACGATGGGTAAGA